CAATGAAACATCTCTTCCACTGCAGTACCTTTTCTGGTTTGCTGCCAAATGAGCGCAGCGTGTACTTCACATCATCGGAGTCAAGCAGGCAGCACTGAGAAGGCAGGTGTATTATAAATCTGCTGCCCATCCAAAGGAACTAAGTAGCTGTTGACAGGTGCCGGTGGCATCTCAGGAAATGGGAGAGAAAGCTGACAAAGGTTGGTGAAGCTGAGCGTGACGCAGCGCATGTGATTTCACATCGTGCCTTCAAACAGCGATGATCAGATTTTGGGGTATTTTCAACGCATAGCTTGCCAAGCAGTTTTTGTTTTATGATGGCGCGTTGACTTTATTAGGGAGAAAGAAAAACAGCCCTTGTGCTTTGAACAAGAGTTTTGCTTTTACCCCTCCCCAACCCCCATTCCCAGTAACAACTTAGTTCTGGGCAGTCGTCCATCAGAGTCCGAACACAGAGTGATGGAGGGAGAGCAAGAGAGAGGGGAAAAGAGGACAAGCGCAGCCATTTAGTCCAGCTTGCTACATCCAAAGCCCTCATCTCTTGCCTGGTTGGCTGCCAGGCAAACCAGCAATCCCTGTGCACATGCTGGCCTGTCCTCTCCAGCTATTAAAAAAGTCTGATGAATACACCCCAGTCCTATTTCATTCCTACAGCAAGCTACATCTGCATTAAGAAACGTTCTCGCTGCCACACCTGTGATTGAGCTCGAGCCGGGCAAAAGAAAGGTTGAGATATTAAAAAGCTGTAATGTACGAGGCAGCTTGAAGCGTGTGAGGTGAATGATTGATGGCTCGTCTCTCACACGGTTATGTTAAGTTGGATGTTTTTTTTTTTTCTTTTACAGGGAAGTAATGGTTCTTCCGGCCCCTGGGCGACTGCACTCCTTGTGCTTTCTGTATGTATCATGCGTCACTGCGTGCCCATGGATGAGCATGATAATGGAACAGCAGCAGCATGTCTGGGGGTCTGACCAGGGGTGGGGGAGCGTAGTATATACGAAGAGAGAAGCCAATTAGAGGATTCAGCAGTTACTCGTATAACCAGTGCGGTGCAGAGGTCCCTGTTAAATTAAACTACAAATGTGAACTTGCCAATAGGGGGCAAGAGTGCTTGTAAATCACATCACAGCACTTTAAGCAATCAGACAGGAGACACGGCGCAAAAGAAATATCTTAAAAAGTTGATAATAGGAAGAGAGAGAACAAGTCCTTCTCAAGAGGCACCTACTACTTCAGCCTAGGGTTACAAAAACATGACACGATTAGGTTCTCACATTGTGGGATTTGTTCTGATTCCTTCGCGGGAGACTTTTGTTTAATTGCCGTTCACATGGGAAATCATTCAGCCCTTGGGTGAATGAGCGGGAACGGCGCTCCTAAATTCTGCAGACTCACACTGACACACGGAATTCACATTCGTGCCTTAATACTGTTGAGCCCACTGGTACTCACTTAGCTGTCTGATTTGGTTGAAACAAAGCCCAAGAGGGAGTAAATTCCAAGTAACCAAAACAGAGCTGATTCAATTCTCTTTCACTGACTGAATGCCACCACTGCACTGCAGATGCTGCTGATCTGACGACATGATTCAAAAGAAAGACTGCTACCTTGGGCGTGATGCTACAGAGATATTATGCCATAAACCGTCTGAATCTAATGGATGAATTAGCCACAATACAGTAAAAACAGAGCGATGACAGCTGGAATAAACTGTATTCTCCATTAAGTAGATGCTGGTCTTGTGCTCTTAGGAATTCCATGTCTGCTGTAAAAAAAGCAAATTCCCAACTGAGAGCCTGTTAGTACAAGACAAGTTAAGAACCGGTTTAGATAGTGATGCTTCTATTTTAAGAATCTCATCAAGAAGTCATGCTTTCCCATAACTCTTCACTTGCTGAAACTGCATTAGATGGAGTGCATCCGCAACAGTGGATCTAGTCTCAGCTGATTTAATGCATTGACAGGTCTCATCTTGCATTGATCTGTACTACTTCCAAGAGATGTGCATTTCACCAGTCAAATTATGTTGTCACGCTTGCTAATTGCCACCAGAATTACCAGTTGTTTGAACCAATTGTGGTACTTTCATTATCGTAGGTCTGAAATATAATCTGTAGCACAGCCGCTTACTAGTCACTGGCTTTCCTTTTAGGATGTAAACAAGCTCAGATGACAGAAAAACATTGTGTCATGTGGTTCAGTTTGACTGTATTTTGATCAACAACATAGAGATAAAATTGTATGTCGGTTGTCTGGATTACCTGGCAGATAAACTCTAAACTGAAGCAACAACAACACAACAAACCTAAGTGTTAACCTGCAACAGTGAAAGCTCTCGTAATGTATTATTTATTAGCACTTCTGTTTTGTTTTTGTGAAATTAAATAAGTGGTATATGTTAACTGTGAACACGGTGCTATGATGTTTGTAAGAGTAAAATACTGTGTTATGCTTTGTTTACAACTGGTATAGCTAACAACAACTGACAACAGCTGATAACTGCTAACAACAGCTAAGAACGGTTAACAGTAGGTGTCCATCTTGGTTTTCCTACTTGTTTACTGTAACGCCGTCAACTCGGATGTAATGTCATTCCCAGCTCCGATGTCTGACTTCTGAGGTAACTGGAACGCAGCATAAGCCCCACCCTGCTAACCTGTTTGACGTTTGATCTGGAGTTGAATAAAGTTTTTTCGTTTGTGTGTGTGACTGCTTTCTGAGTGCTTTCGATCATAAAACTATTTAGTTAGCTTGACCGATTTCTATTTAGGACTAGGGAATAAGTCACTCTGATTGAATAATCTGGGTTTTTCCAATTCCTCGAAAAACAGTTTGGCGTCAGTGAAGTTTACCAAAAGAAAAATAGTATGAGGGCAAACAGCTAAAATCTATGAACACAAAAGTTTTACAAACCCTGACTTCGCCATTACCTCGGATCACCTCTGAAAGGAATTAAAACATTCCCTGATATCAGCGTCTGACCTCTAAATGGCTTTTTCACTGAATGATCACAAATTCCCGCAGTCAAACCTCATTCAGAGAGTGCAGCTGTTATTGCCACAAATGGAGAGAGAGGCTGTTTACTCTGGCTCTACATTAATACACATGGCAGGAGGAAAAACCCAAAAAGCTCATATATGTGTGTGCTTGTCAGGTTCCCCTTTTGGAGTTTTGGAAAAATAGGGAGAGTACTTTCAGATCTGATCTGCACCTCCGTCAGTCAGCCGGTCTGTCAAATTGTCTCACATGCATAAGGATAATGTGCTGAGCATGAAGCTTGCACCGGTCTGTGTGACCTGTTCTCATACTAACAGATTCACTGTAGCTCCAGTGAGAGTGAATCTGCTCCAGGGTTGACATTTAATCCATGCCAATTTATCACTACTGCAGCCCACCCCAGTGGATAGTACAGGGTGGTAAATTGCCTCGGAGTGGACCTCTGGCACAGACAAAGAGCAAATGACAGGTGCTTTTCCTTTTATTTCTTTTTGTCTGTGTATGAGAGGGTGCATGTGTTGCACAGAAGTGTGAGATGGGCTTACTCATATCTGAATAAAAAATAGGGTATGGTCATAAAGGAAGCCATTTTTCGCACCTTTTATGGCTGCATGGAAGCGGGCCAAGTTTGCTGTTGTGCAGAGATATAGTCATGAATCTCCTCCACAGCCTAGGGAGGAGAAAAGAATATTACAAAGTTTCTAGAGAGAATCATTACCATATTCGCTGCATTGAGAGAATAGTTGATGATCACTTTTGCATTAGGCTAATGTACAAGTACTCATTTCTTGTTTTTGACAGAAGTTTGTGTGAAGACGCCAAGCCTAATAGGAGCTGTCTATGTTCACAGGGCTCAACCTGTCAGACAGGATATTCTCCCAAAATCATCAGCAGCCCTCAGGAGCATCTCCTGCATCCTCTGTGAGACTCAAAAAAACACAGATTATATTATTTTCTGTCAGTTTCTCCACGCTCCGTGTGCATCATTGTGATTGATTTTCAGTTAATTCACTGCGGGAGGAGGATCAAATATGTGTCCCAGAAAGGTGGCACACCAACAGATTACAAGAGCCGCAGTCTGTCTACCATACAAAAACCTTGTTCGGTGTGATGTTGACATTCAGGCTGTCATGCACACTGGAATAGCACGTTGACTTTAATCTCGAACCAGACGAGGATGCATAACAATAAGTCAGAAAGAGAGAAAGCAGACCAACGTTGCGGCAATATTCCACCACATTATGTTGCCATGTGACGTGTCTGACTCTACAAGTAATGTCTGTAAATTAGATTCGTACTCTGAGTTGTGCCTTCCAGATATCTCTCTGTCCACATCTGTGTATTGCACCCACAACTCACCATCAATCAGCTTGATAAATGGTAAAAGTTAACATCTTGTTTAGGGGTTTTGTTCAGCAAACTCTTGTAAAAGGAGAATATTTATAGCTTTCGAAAAACTTCTGCCTGGAAGACTTAACTTTGAAAAATTAAGCAACCTGAGCGCAACCCACATCAGCTATTTCTGGCATGTGTTGCTACTGTATGTGGAGCAAACCATAAACAAGCTTGCCGTCTTAGAGCTCATGGCAAAGAGAGGAAGAAGTAGTTTATTTTCTACTTTTTCGCAGACAAAAATACACATGCATTTTTTGTTTCCCCCGCACACTCCCACCTCCGTATCTGTGTTCACATCCTTCCCTCCCTGATCTGTCTTCTTACTCCCAGCTCTGGGCTCTCAGAGGCCCATGACCCATCAGTTCTGCTAAGACCTCTAAGGAGCCATCCATCACCAGGGCCGCGCTGTAACCTAGGGATAGATTTCTTCTTCCCTTGCCCACTCATCAATCACCGGCGGCCACTGTGCATACCCAAGCAGGCTGCAGAAGGTGGGAAAGGCCGAGCAATGTCACTCACTAAGCCAAGTAGCCGTTACAGAATGGCAAAGAGCGTGTCTACTTGAAACTAGTCAGTGGAATGACTTTATTCCTTTCATTCCACATTTCACTTCCACTTCAGTTTAGGACTCAATATATGAATGAGGCACTCAGCATCTATTCAAAAAAAGGCAAAACACTTCCATGAGTGAGTGACACAAGAATTTTGTATGTAACTCTGAGATAAATCACACTTAACACCCGGATGTTTACAGATGATCTTGTTAAAATGTGTTAGTGAGGGGCAAATCAGAAGGACCAAAGTGATGAACTAGAGGAAAGAGAGGTTTTGAGGAGGGCTGTTGTGGTGAGGAAATTTCCCCTGTCAGGGCTTGACACTTACTTTTTTCACAAGGAGCACTTGTGCTCTTAAGTTAAAAGGTAAGGGGCACACCAAGAACCTTCGGGCCACAATGAAAATGTATCAAATAATGTTGACATAAGTACTATTATTTGAAATCAATTTCAGGTCTTTTGGTCACATGACATGAAAGCTATTGAAGAAGATGTTCAAAATTTGCCTTAAAACTTCACACAAAAATTTTTAGAGGACAAATTAGAGAAATAAAGAAGTGTGTTTTATTGTCAGACCTTAGTACAATTTAAAATCAATTTTAGGTCTTTTGGTCACATGACATGGAAGCTATTGAAGGAAAAAAGCCTTTTCTGAGAACATCAACTGGTAATTTATCGATGGTCCCTTATTCAACACCCAAAGATGACAGCAAGGGTGCCAAGTAGATTTGACTGCGTTGCTGTCGCTATTCCCGGTTCAGGAGAGTGACAAGACATGAAATTTCAGTAGCGGCGCACGTAATGAATGAGTGTAGGGGAAACATTGGTAAAACAGTATGATCCACAGCTTAACAGATTCATGAAGTGGACACATCTACAGCGTTCAGTGACTCGTATATTAGTGTTTGTTACATATTCGTTCACTGTTCTTCCTCCCCTTTCCTGATAGACCGAACAGCTTGTTCAAAAAGTCGCACAAGAACAAAGCAAGAGTGACAAGATTTGCTCAATCACAATGTCACCAACTGTTTAATCCCAGATCAAATTAAACATAATAAACATAGGACTTACCAAACAGAAACGTCCTGCTCTTTACTTTGTTGCTGGCGATTTTCTCCTTGTTCCCTTTCCACACTTTTTGGATCAGATTCAAAGGCCTTGAGGGGACAGTGTTAAAATGAAATGTATCAGACAGAGGCTGAAATTAGGGTTTTCAAAGACACCAGCCTGAGATACGGTATATTTTTGAGCTGTAAGTCATCTAACAAGCTATAAAGCACGAACATCGACATTAAATCAAATACTTACTCAAAACCAAACTTCCCCAAAAAGTAAGCACCTGCATATAAAGCCTTATAAACTCATATTTCATCTGTTATATAGCAGGAGGCAGATTTTTAGACCTGCCTTACAGCCTGCCACCAGGGGGAGCTCTGAAAGTTGTGGCTTCACCTAGAATAGCTGTTACTGTCCATGTTTTTGTACAATCTATGGTTTTACAGCCTTCTCACAGAGGCACACTGTAATAGTTCTACCTAAAGTTCGAATAATCGTGTGCATCACAAGCGTCTTACTGAGAGTTATTGGAGAGAGACAGGGGAGGCAAGAATTCATTGATAAATAATGTGAATGGAGGCGCTCTAAGTGGGGCCCAAAAGTGACGCAAAACAATGCAATAAACAAAACGACCGACTCAAGAGAGATGGGTTTATAAAGAGAGTTAATCATTCACTCTTCAGAGAAAATGAGTGGTGATGCAACCCAGTAGAAAGAACAAAGACAAGAGAAAAGCAGAATCGGTGTTTGAAAGACGGTGGAGGCACCTGCAGCAATGTCAGCGTCACACACAAAAGAGGCCGAAGCCACGGTTCAGGCTTTTCTCACGTCGATACGGCAGAGGCTGAGCACAGTTTGCTGGTGGCGTTGAGTCAGCCATGCCAGGTGTCCTTTTGACATGGGCACCACTCCCCTTAATGAGTGGTGGAGACAAGAGTGAGAGCGGCAGCCGCAGACACCCTTCCAATTAAAACCTCTAATTAATCAGAGCTATTTAAAGAAGCTCATTCATCCCCCGTGGCGGGAAACACGCAGACAAGGGAAGAGATAAACTGCACATCTTCTCTATGATTTACCTTTTTTCTCTAAACTGCCCTGTGGCATTGCCGCTCTCTTTCTTCCACTATGCAGGCAGATGTCACAGTCAGAAGAGGAAGAATAACTACATTTGACTGAATCTCGTGTTTTTACCTTTTATTCCTTTCACACAGAGGATAATAGAGTAATGTTTGACACACTGAAAATATAGAAATACTGTAGCTACATATTCTGCATGGAGGATTATAATTCTTTTCTGACCTTTATCATTTGAAATTATTAAGGCCATGATGATGACAAAAGGTCCCTGAGGCTTGAATGTAAGTAGTTGCCGCAAGGTTTTGGAATCAGTCGACTTTATTCCTGCATTTCTACAAAATTTAAAAGATGGGAGAGCAACTCTGGAGGAGGATCGATGGCTGATGGCTGATGTTTAAACCCAACAGCCCGACAAAAACACTCTCCCCACAGAGCTCTTTCAGAGGCGCTACCTCCCACACTCATTAAAGTGCTTATTACTTCAAAGAACATTAAATACTGGGCAATATGACAGCGAGACGGCTACCTAAGGGTAAACAGCATTATTCAAGCAAGAAATATTAATCAAACTGTAGCTGAGACAAGGACCTTAAAAGTGGTAAATAGACCTCAGACATAGAGAGGGAAAGGCAAAAAGTCAGAGTGCACAAACTCCACCTGTTGCTACTTAACTTGGATCATGTTGTGTAACCCATTAAGAGCTGCTGCAGCTGCATTTACAAGGACTACTAATGATCCGAAAAGTCACGTAAGCACCTCCATCTGGAAAGACTGACCCAATATGGCCCATTAGAAAAGACAATTTAGTCCAATCAAGAGGGGTAGTTTCAGTGTCTGTTATCTGGACCTACATCCATGTAAACACCAAATCTAGGGATGCACCGATCAGAAATTTGGATCAGATATCGACTCCGATGTTGACAAATTAACTGGATCGGATATCTGATGAATGACGCCGATCCAGCATTCCGATCTAGTCTTTGTTTTCTTTTAATTAATATCATACACAGCAACACAGCGATTTTGTTCGCTCTAAATTCTATGTTTGTCTATCCTTTTGTACTAAATTTTTACATGGAAGTCTTACTTCTTTTTGCTGTGTGTTAATGTGCAATTTTTATTTGTTAAGTACATTTATATCTGTGTTAATTTGTTACCTTTTTTTAATAAGGCTAATGTCACTCACAGGGCAAGGTATACGGTTCATTTATTCAACAGTAGTATTGGATCAGTATCGGCCGATACGCTCAGCCCAGGTATCGGTATCGGATTGGATCGAAAAAAAAATGGATCATTCTCATCTATTTATTTCTTCCTGGTCGGGGTGAAGATATTCTAGGGACACTATAAAATAAAGCAAATAGCAAAGACGGATTCTTTAATCAGAATGATTTTGATGAAAACTGAATAAAAACTGAAGTATAGCTTGTGTTTGCTAACTCATTTACAAAAGCAGACTTGCTGGCAAACTTCATGAAAAATAAGCTTGCACTCAACAAGGTAAAGAGTCAAATTCAAACAGGATTGTGTTCTCCATCTTTAACTTAAGAAGGCCATCATACAAAACAGTCTATGTTTCAATAGCGCCATTCACACGACCTGATAAAGGTTGTGTATTTCTCGACTGCGACCCATAATGGTCCAGTGTTGTGAGTCTATCTTCAGCTCTTGGCTCACATCTGGCGCTCTTTTTGTGTCTGGCACAAAGCGATATTGCAGAACTGTTTCATGACCAAGGGCAATTGTAAAAGTTGGCATTTGTTACACACTCAGAGTCTCCAGTAAAAAAAAAAAAGGCTGTTATTGTTACAACACTGATTCTGCTCAAGGTCAGTTGGATTCTTCTTCTGCTGGCTTAGAAATAGTGAGATCACTTCACCCCGGGGGGAGTTTTGAACAAAAAAAGTCGTTTTTAAGTGTAAAACTTAGTTTTCAGTCATGCAGTATTTAGTTTCTGCTGTTTTCAGTTTAGACGACTGTCAATTCAAACTTGTGATGTTGAAGATGTTGTCAATGTTTTTTTTTAAAACATTTTTAATTAAATAAAAACAGATTGTGCTTCTTCTCTTGTAATAAATTTGATGAATATTGCCCCATGTGATCTCATCCTGCCTACATTGTACCATTACATACTCCATTACTCATTGGCTGATCAATTTGTGGGATTAAAATACAATTTTTATTAAATTCTTTTGTATTAATTGAGTTGATGCAGACATTTGTAACACTGAGTTTTCTCTCTGCAGTGAATAGTTTTGTCTCAATTAGCCGAAACACAGTGATAGCTAGGGCTGGACAATATGGCCTCAAATCAATATCACAGTATATTGAGCAGTTCACCTTGATAACGATAAATGAATGATAACTACACCGTAATGAGTTAGACACCCCCTCGAGGGATGAATGTTGCCGACCGCTTACATTTGTATCATTTTGCATCATTTTTTCATGAAAATACAATCAGACCAAGACACTAAGGCAGAAGAACTACTGCGTCTGCAGTGCAAAATGATTAATATGATGATTATTACTTCAAGGAAATGATAAAGTAATGATCATAAATATTCTTCCTACAGCTGCGTCACCCTGCTATAGTCCGTAATGGACTGGCCCGAGGTCTCGCTACAAACAAGCGGCTGCTGGAAGGGAGTAGGTGAGTTGTGTTTAGTCTCGAATTGTGGCTGGGACCCGTACTGTTGATGAAGTTAGGTGCTGTTCTGAACATTATTTGTGGCTATAGAGTGGTGTTTTGGCTGAGGTTTGTTTATGGTTGTTGGTATAACTAGAGAGGCAAGCAGTCAGCAACATTCATTTTTCGGGGGGATGTCTAACTCTGTGTTACGTGTGTTTGACCCTAAATTAATTTTACGCCGGAATATCCCTTTAAGTTTGTCTACTTCAGCCGTCGCTCCAGCCGCTACAACTTTTGAACCATCCTCCATCTCCTCACCTGTCTTTCCCTCCTTGTTCTAAGGCAGAAGAACTACTGCCTACCTACACACATCCAAAACCAACTTTTATTTATTTATTTCTTCGCCACCAAATATACTGACATGGGCAAAATGACGCCGGTTATTGTCAAAAATTTCTGTATCGGTAAATTTGCTGTTTATCGCCCAGCCCTATTGATAGCTTTAATGACCTGTGCATATATGTGTTTCTTCTTAGAAAGTTGACAAGTGTATTCGAGTAATCTGTCAGATATAAAGGAAAATGTGAAAAATGTTACAATTACCCTCAGCCCCTCCTACAACAGCTCCCTGTAGGAACAAAGTGCAGATAAAACAACCGGCGTTAAAGTGAGGAAACAGGGGAAATAAGTTACAAGATGTGATGACCCCAACGCTCATAGATCTGGCCTGAAATATTGGATATCTGTCAGTATTTCTGAGCCCACATGAGCCTCAAATCAGACCACAGACATTTTGGGAAACACACAAAGCGAACACGTACATTTTGGCAGCCTGCATTTAAATGCTGTGAAAACAGCTCATTAGCTCCTCTTGCCCCAAACTGTGCTTCCTCCTTCATGCTGAATATAAATCCCATCTCCTTAAGTGGCATTGGGACAACCCAGACCTAAACAGAGCCCCAACCCTGACAGTTTCAAACCTTAATCAAATACGACCATTAATTAACTAAACATTTGGGTGGCACTGCAAGGCCGGGAGCCTACATATCTAAATAGGTCAAATCAGGACAGAAACAAATGAGAGCGACTTTCTCTGTCTCAAGCTTACAAAGCTGGCTAGCTCCAGAACAAATTCCAGCGGGTGCATGTACAAAGTTTATGTAATATCCCATGGGTCGAATATTCCTGCTGCTCCAGACTGCTCACAAAGTTATAGAGAGGCAGGCTTACACAGAGAAATATTAAAGTCTTCCTCAATATACAACGTGCGTTACTGCTGTCAGTGGATTTGGGTTGTGAGAATCTGCATTCTTAGACGACGTCTCGCAGATTGATTCTGTAAGAAAACTGGAGTCAAACTTTTAAACACACTCGCTTTTACGTTGACATAAACCAGAGAAGCAGGACCAGAATAAAAATGACCTAACATTTAAAAGCCTCTTCGTCCCCTTCATTTTTGTGCTACTAATCCATAAAAGGATAAAGAGTTACAAATGCGTCAGCCTTTGTTAAGGGGACTTGTTCGTCAAATCTCAGGTATCAGGAAACCCAATCTACATTCACACTTATTCTCCACGTACAGTTTCATGGAGGGGCTATTGAACTGTAATGCCTGCGGTACTTAAATATGTCAAAGGAGATGATCCTTTTGTATGTCTTGTAGCTCAAAAAGCTTGTTTTACAGCTCTAAATCTTTCTAAGCTAAAGATACTTGACTCACTTTGTGATTAAAGTGCCAATGACAAAAGCTTCTCTGTTTACTCAGGTCAAAAAAAAAGTGCTCCGTGCACACCTGCTCTCAATCCCATTGTGTCAAGAACAGCCTCTTTAGACACTGACTAAACACTTTCAATATTTTATCATCAGAGGTATCACGGTGTCGAGTGCTTTAGATACTGTCCTCAGGCTTATTGTTTTTGACTGGCTGTTATAGCGAGGTGACGTAGTGTGAATGCTAAGAATGCTTATGCTTGTGTTCACGCCTCGTTTCCACTTAGGTTACTGGTGTTTGTACAACCGTAAATAAGTGGATAATACCTCTAGTGGAAGAGCATTTCTTTACGGATGAATAGGAATCTGATACAAACTATCTGTCGCCACGGGAGAAAGGCTAATCTGGCTGATAAGTGATGATTCTGTCTATTTCACATACAAGATTGAAAACAGCCTGACTGTATATCTTAGCAGGATAAGAGTATTTGATTTGCACATTGTAAAAACTAGATAAATAAGCCCTTTTGAATCATACAAACCCACTTGAAAATCAACACAGGGGGGAATGAAGTGAAGGAAGCAGCCTGTCAGATTTCTCATCTAGTTAGTTGACCTAACACACCATCATATAGATTCACCTAAATCCACTGTTTACTTCTTTGAACCTAATCGAGGCAAGCCAAAATGTTACAGAGGGGAGAAGTTTCAGAGACACACCTGACAGAGATTAACACAGAAATAACTTGACTTCGATCGACTCACCTCTATATACATACACAAAAATGAGTCGCAAAGACAAGGCAAAAAGTTTCCTATCAACCATGAGACATGACAGTGTTGTGTAGTTTGTAAATGATTCGTTCAAAAGAACCGAATCTTTTAAGTGAACGTACTGAACCGAATCACTTCCTCTAGTGATTCGTTCATTTCTCACTTCAGTTGAGCTGAAGTGAGAACCAGCATTGCCAGGCCAGGAGGTCGGAGTCGCAGGCTTCTCCCTCTAAATGATTTGCTGATTTGGTGAACGAATCTTATGAACAAGTCTTTTTAGTGAACTGATTCTAGTGATTCAGTACATCTAAAAGAACTGCCATGCCCATCACTAAGACATAAACCTGAGTGAAAGCAGAAGACAGTGACAGGTTACCTGGATACATGAAGATAGGTAGGTTGGTAACACAATGTCCATAACCAAAAGTTTTAACCCTAAACTTTGCAAAATCTATTTGAGGCCTATATGACCAAACTTCAACTCTAGGTGCTTACATATACTGACACTTGAAGGCAGGATATTGATGCCCCTGTTTTGCCTTGTAAGCAATGTGTAACACTGAATCATTCTGCCTGTGATCCTCCCTCAGAGGTAGTAACAGAGGAAGAATGTTGGGACGAAGGTGTGGAATAAATGTTGATGTATAGAGTCTGAGTCTGCGGCAGAGAACAGCGCTGTGTATATTTACGCGTCTGTTTGTGTGTGTACATGGGGCTCCCGCTGTGTGTTAACAAGTTGTGCCTCTCTAGCACCCGCAACGCAATGTGAAATCACATGCTGGGACACCAAGATCACGCAGTTGTGGAGGCGTAAGTACAAAGGCGCGGTGATGTCCCTGTTCTGTTCTAGCGATGTTGCAGAATTGGAGTGTGTAAGAGGCTTGTGTCACAATAATAGCCACATGTTAGTTGTTGCTGAAAATCTGACACTGTGAAATATTCTTTAACCAACATCGTTTTGATGCAGACTGTCACTTTTATTTACCACTAAAAGTTACAATTCTAACAATGTGCCATTATCACTAAAGCTGCCCGGTACTTCAGCCAAAACTTTATGTTTTTGTAGCATACCCAGCCACTGACCAAGCTGCAGTATCAGATAAGTTTGGAATAAAATAAATAAAGCTGCAACAATCTGCTTTACGTTCTGCTAAACTCAAACTCAATCTTAAAGTAGATTATCTGAAGTCACGCTGACATTTTCTCCTCAGGTCCTCTGACAGGGTCTTAAATTCAGAGGGGATCTTGCCTTTGCAGCAGCAGCCCCTAAACTCTGGATGTTCCCCCTGAACATGTGGTCAGATTCTGTGGTCTGATTTTAAACAGCTTCTAAAAACTTGCTTTTATAGTTAAGCATAAACTGTACTTCTTGCTGGTGTTTGTATAACTATGCTGTGACAAATGATTATCGTTACCATGTTTGAATGTATTCTCTGATAGTTGTGCATATGATTTTTGATGATGCACTTTGTGTTTGAAAAAATGCCATACAAATAATGTCATTATTATTGTATGGCCTTTAAGACCTGGCTCTGGTATGAGGAGCACAAACTAGGGATGCAACGATCCGATATTTGATATCGATACTGGTCCCAATACCGATGAAAATTCTAGATCGGTTTCGTGACAATGAGCCCGATTGATAGGGGCCGATCTGTTCAGTCTGACTCTATGCTATGCGCTGTGTGTGGCATCCACATGTAAACACGCTGAGCGGATGTCCACATAGTTTTCAAAATGGAGTGAGTACAGGGGTCTGCTATCTTGAACTTTATCACAATACCTCAGCCTACAAGCTGGATGGCCACTTGCAGTACCTGCACAGTAAACGTTCCCAGGGGCAGTGGTAAAACTACAGGTTACAACAAAAGGGAATTGGATCAGTATCGGCCGATACTAAACTGTAGATATCTGTAGCGGTATCGGAAGTGAAAAAAGCGGATCAGTGCATCCCTAGCACAACCACAATCTGAGGTTTACCTATGGCTGCAGAGGAAGGAACAATATCCAAGGAAAACTGGCTAAAGCTTCTATGGGGAGTTTTTAGCTCACAGCCTGAAATAAGGAATTTTAACCGACAAATACAAGAAAAAGGCCAAATTATAAGAGAGTAAAGTGTACCTCTTTGTCCACAGGGGGCACCGAACTCAACACAAGTGGCGTTTTAGACATCTTATTCTCCCTTAAGCTGTCGCTGGAAAAGACAATTCCTGAAAATATGACCTTTCATAAAGAAAAAACAGAGAATCTATTATGGCATATCATGTACACAAATTACTGGTTAGTGAAAATGCAGTCCCCCCTTATTCACAAAAAAAAAGGATTAATTTCAGTTTAATCAAGTTTCAGTTTAACTTGATTAACAAAAACAACAACTTCTGCATAAAGGTTTTCCTCTGTGCCGGACTCTTGCTTGATCCTAGGCCAACAGTAGTAAAAGAAGAAGCAATTTTCTGCTCCTTTTTTCTTTTATTTTCTGTTTAACAAATGACAGAGTAAATGAGAGGGTTTTTTTTCAGTTTAATATCTTCCTTTGTTGCCTCTGAAGCTGAATATCAACAATAAAAAGGGACTGTTGCTGCTGTGGCCTGCAGCAAACTGATTTAAATGAAATACTTGAAGAGAGAGCTTGTTCCCTCTGTTGGGATTTGTTAAATGTGACTTTATAATAGAAACTTTAATCAATTTGGGATTTGGTGTCTCATACACAAGATTGACAGTGTTATACACATAGCAATTTAGCAACAATATAGATTCCATCTCATGCTGCTAGCTGATATTTGAGTAATTTGGCCCATGGCTGTGTTTCTGTCCTTTAGCTTTGATTGCAGTCTCACAGGTGCTATCATAATACCTTCCTCAGAGGAGCTTACTGCAGGTTCATGCATTCTTGGAGAATTCCAGCAATGTCGCAGGAACCAGGTTTATGCAGAATGGTGAGATGTGAGAAAACAGAGGTAGAAACCCCACGGAAAATAAGCCTCAAGCTGTGCCGCAGGACTGAACACGAAGCAGCGATTAATCTGAAGGACTTTTATTTATAAACCTACAATGAAGTTACATGAAAGCATTTGCAGGAGTCGATTGTTTATTCATGAATTTCATCACACGTATCACAAAGCAGTTGAGTGGTGAAATTCTCTAAACCTAAAATATTAATAATTCAAAGACTGTCCTACTGATCTTATTTAACAGTATAGTGAGATCAGATGCAATAGGACCACACACAGCAGCTGAAAAGCTTTAAAGGTTTCCCTCAGTCTTTGCCTTTTTTCCTGCAGCAACTACTGGAGGAATCGAGATCTTAAATCTTTAATCACCTGTGGTGCAGTAGGCAGAGAAATAATTGCTTCTTTTGTATCTGAGCAGCACCTACAATAATAAATGGGGCATTACACAACACTTAGAGATACAGACACTGAATCTCTGCCAGAAGATGACTCTATTTGTGTCAGTATTACAATACTGGCTTGAGGGATTGTTTATGATCAACAAGTTGTTTCTCTCGAGTAGAACCATCATAATAAAAACTTGAAAAGCCTCAGAACTGGGTCCATTAAGCTGCAGGTTGACTCGTGGTTGTAGAATAATATAAAATATACAAAATACTCAAACCAAATGAAGACATTCGCCATGAGACGATCAACAGCTTCTCAAGTCTTACAGCTGATTTATCTTTTGAGTGAGAAACAGTTCGTCTACACACAAACCATCACCACCTACTTTCATGTAAGATTCAGGTGCCTCAGCCCCACAGGACTATTGTGAATTTAAGCTCAGCCGCAGGCCCACACTTCTTCATGTAACTTCTTAGGAGCTCACACAACATGGTTAAATTTTTAAACAAGGTAAAAAAAAAAACGCCAATAATCATTACGGATTTTTAAAACCTCTCATCTAAAAAAGTTTTTTGGCTCATTTTATCTTACTATTCTCATTATAAGTATTCATTCACAAAAAGCTAAAGGTGCAATAAGCAATCTCAGAATTGTTTCATCCTTCTCATTAGAAGAAAAAAAAAGTCTGGCTACAACATTTTAATCCAATGTAAAAGAAGAGGCAGGTCATCTTTTACAATATTACTACTCACATCTTCTTGCCAAAGAATCCTTCCAGATTTCTCAGCATAATGTTAAAGCACTTAGGCGGCTCCAATCTAATCATTCGGTGAGAGATAATAGATGCTGTTAACAAGTAAATGGTGGTAGGTCAGGTGAAATCACACATCTCTTCTCTACATTACTAAGTATTTGATCAAACGCTGCTTTATTTCTGTGCACGAACCTCCGAGCAGGTTACTTTTCTATCAGTACCCTGTGATGACGTTACTGCAGGTGCTGTTGCAGCTGGCTTGAGCTGCCTCAAGGAGTATTTTATCTGCTGTTTTTACGGTATTATGTGCTTCCCCTTTTATTGCCCCCACCACGCCGAGCAGGGGTGCCAGGATGCAGAGCTGTCTCCCAGCTGTGTCAGGCGCAGGATGTTGGCTGGGTCCAGCTGCCTTATTGAAAGGCTGACCTTTAACGCATCTTGAGACTAAAGGCTTTGCATGCTAATGATGATCTGATTCCTCAGTCGTTTGACCAGTCAGGCTACGCCACAGCACAGAACAGCACCGCTGGATTCTCCCTCATCTGCATTTCACAACAGAGATTTTTAATTTCTGTGAAGTATGACTGGATTATTCCAAATAAACCTCATATTTTATCAATCTTACCTCTATTGTAATTTACTTTTCTTGCCTGCTGTTGTGAATAAGATGAATACAAAAGTAGGGCACATGCTAATTTGTGGATATTCAATTAGTCATTATAGGCGGTATGGTTTTCAAGCAAGTGAAATTTAATCAGGTATGCAAATGAATGGCCTATATTGAAAACAAAATTATGCAGACAGGAGAGTGGAGGCAAATGCAGTTAGTCTTGCTAAAGGAATTATACAACAGTGCCTCCTACTGAGAACTATCTGCATGTGCTGTGATCTCTCTCAAGTTTACAATGCAATGAACCTTTCTGTGCAAGAAGATGCATGCACTTATTTCTACAATGCTTCCATCAAACTCCTGCAAATATAAGTTCAAATGCAAGAATATAATGGTGAGGTTTGAACTGCTTAGTTCCCAATCAACATCCCACGACTTTGAATTTAGAAGACTTAAAAATGATAACTGACTTCACTATGGTACTATTCTGAGTACAGTATGTGGGTATGGGGGGGTGATAACTCAACACCAGTACTGCCACTTCAAAACTTGCCTCAAGAACCAGTGCGTGACGCTACTGAGACTGGGTCGTTAAGTTTTATTAAATCTAAGGATAAAAGTTGGGTCCCTGAGTCGCTGTGAATGTGAGTAGAAAGCTCATTATGCAGGGCGGGTAGGAATGCATCTGCAAAATAACATCAGCTGGGCATACTGGTCCAAGCATGTCAAATACAACTGATGTGTTAAATCCTTGATTTTCTACTTTAAAAAATTGTGGGCTATTTAGTCCTGTAAATTCAGAAATCATGTCAGTAATTGCTCTAGCTTTTGGATCGTCTGTGGTAAACTTCTAACAGTTCTCAAATGCCTGATATATCAGCACCAAGACACTCACTGTTGTATCTGTGCTGTTCCTAACTGCAGCTACTGCTTCTTTGTGTTCATGCCAATATGTCTTTATTGCAGGACAAAATTATATTATCATGCAGTCTATTGGCCCCTTACACTATTTTGTGCAACCCAAGAAATTAACACATGACATACCACTCTTGTTGCTGAACCTGGTGTTAGAAGTACGAAAACTGTAGTGCTCAAAAGAAAACTGTGTCTTCCCATAAGATTTAAAACATTGTTGCTTCCTGGGTGTTTCTTTATGAGTATAAAACTGCACCCAAGTCATGTTGTAAAAGCTGTCTAGAATTTGTTATTTCTGTGCACACTGGCTCGGTCAGCTTCTGTTAGCTTACACAGTGATGTGATGAAACAATAAATAAGAGAAAACTCCATCAAATAGTTGAAAATGTCTAGTTTCAGCTAAAAGTGACACATTATCAAGTAGTGCTACACAGAACCGTCCTTGGAGGGTTTTTTTGAAAGCCCAGCTCTTAACATCCGTTTCAATTATCTTTTTCAGGGAACATGTACAGTGCTGTTTATGAGTGTCAACAAAGTCTTACTCAGACAGTGTTAACAAAAGAAAAAGATTTGCTTTCAGGGGAAAGTAAGTGCATCAGCAAATGCTCTAACTGGATTACCACGGATCAAGTCAGGAGGCGGACTGGGGTTGAATAAGGCTAGTGTGAACAATTGAATCTAAATCGGGTCCACATCATTAGGTGAGGCACAATTCAGAGTTTTTGAGGTGAGCGTGTACCAGATACTTAACAATGAGAAGTGGACTATATACAGTAAAGAACAGCCTCACCACTTCTGTTTGAAGAAGACTTTATGTGATTCACACATAGAGGCTTCACTGCAGACAGGTCAAGAGAAATGTACTTCAGTCCCTTAAAAAACATTTCAGATGTAGCAGTAGCTTCCCTAATGCCTAGAAACTGTTGCCCTCATTAGCAAAACTCTTGCCAGATGATTTGGCAATGGTTTAAATCCTCTTTGGAAAACTGACCGGTGCCGACAGGGAGTTGCCTCATTGATTCATATAGGGTGGTTGCTTTCAACTGAGTAAGCCACTGCTGTCTTTAATAAAGTATTACTCACCAGAACACAATGGAATTATTGAGTCTGGTGGTTTGGTGTCAGGACACACTTAGTATGAACATAAGCAAACTCAAGTTGTGACATCCTCAAAACAGCCAAGTTTGATTTTAGTTTCCTGACACTTTCTGACCCAGCTGACATACATTGGAACAGAATACATTGCGTTATCTGCTTGAGAATGCTGGACAGTTAGACATCTGTGTAAGACCTCACAGAAGTGGCGGGTACATGTTTCACGTGATCCTGTCCAAAGCAGGACATAAATTTGCTTCTGTTTTAATACTAGGGGTGAAAACTCACAATATAGAGCCCAACATATTACCCATAATAATACAAATTTGATAGTGATTTTGCAACAACTGATCAATTGAAAGCGTATCAATAATACACAATGATAGCCTATCTGGTATTTGATTTAGGCTACTAAACAAGGTGCAGGATTGCTATCATGAGCCCCAACAAAAAGTAGAAGTGACATGTCCATGTCTTTGTGCTGCTATTATAGAAAGGTAAAACCCTGTTTAAAAAACCCATCAAGTCTATTTTTTTTTAAATACGAATCATGAAATACATGTGATGTTAAAGGGATATTTTGGGGTAAAATGAATTTAGGGTCAAACACACCGTAACACTGAGTTAGACACCCCCTCGAGAGATGAATGTTGCCGACCGCTTGCTTCTCTAATTATACCGACTTTACTGACGACTGCGGTCATTACTAAAGTTGGTATAACTACAGAAGCAAGCGGTCGGCAACATTCATCTCTCGAGGGGGTGTCTAACTCAGTGTGTTTGACCCCAGATTAATTTTAAACCGGAATATCCCTTTAAATCCATGGATAATTCCAGTCCTACTCTTAAATTTGACAGCCGCGCGGCTATCACGCTTCCGGGTTGCCTTGGTTACCCCTAGCCGTTAGCCTGCACTTACTTTCCCAAGGTTTCGACCAACACGAAGTCCTTAATGCAGTTTGCTAACTTTACACCATGCAGCTACAGACAACTGAATACTCAATCTGTTTGCTGCTATGATGAGCAGAAAAACTCATATTCATCAACTTAGCCTCGGTGCTCATGTGACAATTCGTGAAAAAGACGTTTCCTCACCTTTGCGGCGCTTTGGACTGCGGTTGCCACTCTAATACGTGTTAGCACAGTTTGGTGCCTGAAAATACTGAGAGGTCGTCCATTTTGTCTGAAAAACTTTTCTGTACACCTACGGAAATGCAGTGTAGTTTATTGGATTCACTTCGGCATGGGAGAACTTGTTCGTCGCTTTTCGGCAAACGCGTGACTGCATTTGAATCTGAGTGGGTGGGTTAATGCTAATTAAAGCCGCACGACCATTGGCTACCTAGTTGTTACGTAGGAACTTAATCGCATTCTTATTGGCTTATGCTGCGTTCGCGTTGCCTCGAAAGTCAGAAGCCCGAGCGGAAAATCACGTCACAACCGAGATACACCGAGCAGAGAACTGGGCGTGACGTCATTTTCGGCTCCGACATCTGACTTCCGAGGTTACCCGAACGCAGCATTATTTCTGGAGGCTTTTCATCAAGAAATCGCACAAAATATTCAGACCCAATAATGGTATTTTTAAAATATTTATTTTTTCAGAAATAAAGTTGCCACATCTTACTTTTAAGTGTGTTCTACATTTATTAAGGTTTAAAAAATGCATGCAAAAATGATATATACAAAAATGCTTTTAACCAGAAAGGCACCAAAGAAACATTGCATCATTACAACATACAAACAAGATGTGGATCAAACTGTGTTTAGTTAGCCCATAGAAAACGACATTAGCTACAGACCTAAAGATTTTAGTTTTCTCTCGAAAGAAACAGTCTTTATTTCATAGATCAGAGAGCTAATAAGACAACAGTGGTGATGTGATAGCTAAAATATATATTATTTATTACATAAATACAATAGTCTTAAAATAACACACTATATGCTTGCATTATTTACTCCCTTTTGTGGCTACAGTGTCCACTTTGTGTGCAAGGGCAAAAGAGCAAGGTGAGAACATCCTTAATATAAAGTAAAACTTCTCTTAAACTTGAAACTTTTATTTATAAAACATACAAGTTTGTAATAAATTATTCTTAGTACACTTTTCAGTTTATTACTATTAGAAAACTATTGTTATATCCTTGTTACTGCTGTGAAAAAAAGAAAAAAATATTGATGATATTTCTGTGATTGTCTGAATGTTGGAGTTTTGTGTCGTTTCCATGTGATTCACCGGGTAGGGACAGCTGTCTCCAACAAAACCTCACTCATCCCGGGGTAGACACTTAAGATTTTAAGGTCAACCTTGAGCATAGTGATGGTGCTTTAAATCTTCACAACAGCTAGTAAACCTAGAAAGTGGCACGCTTGAGACTAATGAAAAATGTAGGTTATGAACTGTCGGTTCAGTGATGTTGTGGGTCAGAGCACGTCCACTTCTCGCTGAAAAGAGTAAACAGGAGAGGTAACTTTCTCGCAGGAACAAACACTCAGTCTGAAGATGTCAGCAGCACTCGTCCTCCTCCTTCTTTTCCTCCTTTTTAATGTCTCACATTTGGAAGGAAATGCCATAACAGGCTGTGGAATAAGCACTCGTACCATTATGGTGTCTTAGATCTCTGCAGCACTTTTTTTTTTATTTAACCAAAACTAGAAAACTCTTGTGGCCAAGATTTTGAACAGTAAAATAAGCCTGCGCTTTAGGTGGCCTCTGTAACTACGATAATGTAATGTAAGCCATAAGGACACACTGTGAGCACCATCCCCTCTGCCCACCCAGGGCACCTCTCTTAAAAAAATGAGGCACCTTATTTGGCGGTCCACTCACAGTGCCTTGGCGTCCTTGTGATTGGTCCCATTGGAGGGAGTGCATCCAGTTTGGCGAGGTGATCATTTCTTCTTCTCTTGTTCCTCAAATGTGTGTCATTCATTAAGGGTAATGGTGACATAGGATGTAGGTATATAGCCTTCATCCCCATTGTTCCTTCTGACCCTGGTCCAGCCATCGCCTTTATCCTCTTCCACCACAGCCAGCACCTCTCCCTCCTGCATAGAGATGGTCCCCTCACTGGCACCTGAAAGAGCAAAAACACTGAATAACAGAATATATCCCAGACCTGTAATCATCCAAGTCCCCTCCGTCTAAGTGTGGTAAGTCAAAAGTTCACAGCTTGGAAAACAACATCGACACACAGACATGAGTGAATCACTTTGTTACAAGTCGAATTTACAGGACGGCCCCTGATTTGCAAGGAGATGTCTGTCTTGTGAATAAAACTGATCCCCTTTTATCATGATATTCAAGCAGTCATCAATTTTTCATGCCCTCCTCTGCAGAGTTCACTTGCTCTCGAAGGATAGAGAGAAAGGCAAACATCTAAGAAGCCTGTGACATACCGGGGAAGTTGTACATGGCTGTGCATTTCCCAATAGGAGCAGTGAGTTCCTCGTCCTCAAAGTCATCGTCAAACTCGGCGTAGATGGCCTGTGAGGGATCCGGAGTGCTTTCATCAGAGTGTGCTCCGTCAGGGCTGCAGGAAAATGAAACACGAGAGACTCCTTTGTAGAGGCGAAAACACATTGTGGTACCAAAGCACTGTCTGTTATCCTGATGTCCTGTCACTTACTTGTGTGCATCATGAGCGCCGTTGTTGTTGAATGAATGTGTTTTGTATCGCAGACTCTCCCCTCGACCTCCTGCCTCAGCTAGCCACGTCTGAATAAGAGTAAAATAAAAAAATACTGTTTGTTGTTGATGAAACATTAAGACAGCTCCAGTTGGGTTAACTGGGTTCACAAGCCCACATATGAGTGGTTCACATGACTATTCCACACCTGTACATGAAACAAGTTCTTTAATGTTGAGAACTCCCCATTTACCTTAAGGCAGGTACGTCCAAACTATTCCACAAAGGGCCGGTGTGGCTGCAGGTTTTTCTTCCAACCAAACAGCAGCACACCAGACTTGATTCATTTCATCAGCTGATCGCAGTCTTCAGACAGCTGATTGGTCAGACTGCGTGCTCTTGATTGGTTGGAAGAAAAACCTGCAGCCACACCGGCCCTTTGTGGAGTAGTTTGGACATGCCCGCCTTAATGCTAAAACATACAGGGTGCGTATTTGGAGTGTGGCAGCAGCGTCGCGTACCACGCAGCAAATAGGTTGCCATTCTGATCGATGCAGCAAAGCATACAGGACGCGTATCAGCTCCGTCGCAGCATCGTATCGAGAGCAGCACTGCTAAAGACACGCGGTGAGTCTATTTTTGCTGCTCTACGATTCCAATGCGCGTCAATCCACACAGAAAAGATCGCCCTAGACAGGAAGTCAAGCACGGACCCTAACAGGACTTTTAACGGCTAACTCTGTCTGAAGGTAACAGGACAGCATAAAGGAACATAATTTACTTTATGAAACACGAGTAAACCTGAAAAAAACGACACTGTAAAATCACGTAGCTTTTTCACATACAGTAGAGGCTCAACGGTCACTGAATTACATCTAAATTAGCAGGAAATAGACCACAGAAAGGCAAAACAACCTGTTGAGAGCATGTTGTTTCCTCTATACTGAGCCCAGCTGACCGGGGCTACACTACGCTGCTGCCACGCCCCAAATACGCATCCTGTATGCAATACCCAATGCTGCTGCAAATACGGAATGTGCTCAATACGGATCCTGTATGTTTTCAGCTTTACTATCAGTTTACATTAACAGCCAAGGACCTCATTACATCGTGCTACTTCAGTAAAGAGCCAGTAAATTCTAACTATATTACAGCTTCCTAAGCAACAAGCACTCACCCCCTGATACACTGGAAAAACAGCTGACAGCCAAATTGCTTCGTAAAATCTTATATCAAGACACTAACACATATGACATCATAACATTAAATAACGATCTCATGAGACCTATGAAAAGCAGAGATTGGGATTACCTCGTACTTATTGAGCTCTCCTCTGAGCCTCTCTATATTCTGGGACGTCTGGTTGATCTGGGATGCCAAGCTAGCAGGGTCTCCCATCTGAGGATTTTTCTCATAAACATCTTTCATCTTCCCCAGGGCCTCGCTGAACACATGAGAGAGGAACAAGGGGGGGAAGAGGGGAAAGGAGGAGGGGGGGGGTGACTTTCAGTAGAAATTGGTTCCCTGCAAAGCTCAGGGCTGTGTAAACAATTCAAACACTCACACAGACACCCCACAGTTATTCACACAGTAATGTGCACTGCAGGAATATCACATTGGCACTTCTAGCTGAGATGCCTATTAATAAACAAAGAGTTACACATAGATGCACACACACACATGCACAATCACACACACACACACACACCTCTGATCCACTTCCTTTTGCAGTTCTTTGCAAATTTCCTCTAGTCTCTGTTGTAACCTCTTCCTGCGCTGCTCAGGGGGGAGATGGGCGAAATCCTCTGTGACCGTGGGCTGAAAGAGTTGACGGACAGGGCGGGTTAACACTGAACGTCGGTTTGCACATGACCACAGAAACCGCGGTGAGAAAAACACACCTCAGAAGGAACACCAAGCCTGTTGTTTGAGTTCAGCTCAAAGGACAATGTTTAACGGATAAAACAGAAGTTTTAAACCTTGTAGTTACACATTTGCTCGGCTTTAAGTAAAGCTTGCTCGTCTGTGACAATGAGCTGAACCCAAATCCACCAACCACCAAACAAATACAGAACAGCACACAGTACTTTTTTTTTCCTAACCACAAGTTAAAAACAAATCTAAATCCAAAAATGTGACCCAAGAAAGAAACAAATTTGCCTTTTTTTTTAAACCAGGTTAAGAAATGATGAGTTTCCTCATGTGCCCCTGAGCAGTCGTCCCTTACTCCACCACCAGGTGGCCACCTCCTCAACACAAACTCAAAGAAGACTCCACATTTTGCCTCACAACAGTATTACTCTCAAATAGAGTTCTTAAAATCAATTTAGCTAAAGTTTAAGTATTGAAGAGGTGGCTTTTTTTCTGTGCCACTAAACTGACACCCCCACACAAACGTGTTGTTCATTTTTACCATGATTCTCTCTGGGGTAAATTTCTGAGGGAAAAAGAAACAGTTTGTGTACAGAAACTTCTCACAACACTCATCATCATGGCTCTTCGTTTCCCTGAAAATACTCTAACACTTCTGTAACAGGTATGAGTATGAAGGAGAGCAGACAGAGCTACTGTACAGGACACAATGACTGCTACATGTTATTGATAACGTGACTGTCCGAGCCTTCTAGGGAATTAGGATGGGATGATGTGCAGGCCCCTAAGAGTGGGAGTCTACTGGCACCCAAACCTTTTCCTCATGTAACTCACCGATCTCCTGAGCGTCCGGAAGGAAGAGATTCTGGGTTTGACTGTCTTATTGATCTCCTTCAAACAGTACGACAGAGGGTCCCGGCCAAACTTTGGGGAAGGGGGTCCGTTAGCGGGCGAGGGGGCAGGGGGTGTGGAAAAAGGTGGGAGCATGGAGGGGGAGAGCTGGGGAGGGGTGACACCAAAGCACCAGCACCCGAGCATGAGGTACGCAGGACAAGGGGGGGGGTGTACAGAGTGTACAGGACAGGAGGAGAGGAGGGGGAGGAAAGGTTTTTTTAAAAAGGAGGGAAGGAGACAAGGAAGACAACAAAGGTGAAAAGGGAAGGAAAAAAAACACCATCAACACCTTGAAGCACACCACAAAGCCAGGAAGACAACACTGAGCGAACCCAGCACATGAGCTCTGACAGCATGGATGCAGAAACACTCTTCTGTTTCTTCTGCCTCCATCAGCATAGACATCAAAAATCAGCTAGACCCATCGCAGCTCCTGCACCAGCAGCCTAACACTGGACTGGACTGCGTTTGTTTGAATCGATCTAATTTTTACATTTTATACTGCCTGGTTTTCAGAGATCGAAATATTTTACTACAGCCTTATAGACACTGCAAAAGAAACTTAGAAAATTATGCAACATGTGATAATAATAAGCACCTCCAATTCCCATTACTTCATACTTGGAATGAAAGCAAGCAGAGAAGTGTGTCAGCCAAGCTGTCTTTTGTCAACATTAATATTTAGGAGCCACTTGTGTTAGTTTTTATTTTCTTTGTACTGTCATACTCTACCCAGTTACATTTATCATTTTATGTTTAGGTGAACATTACCACAAAAGTTTCCATAAATGACAGTTGTGTTGGCACAAACTCTGAAAAAAAACAAGAGCCAAGTAATCAGAAAAGAAAAAAAACACATTCCTCCAGCTGAGTTCACCAGTTCACCAGCTTGCTCTGTAGGCCAGAACCTGTGCTATGCAGAGTCTGACCTATATAGATAAAATACTGAGGCATATAGGTTGCAGTTGTTATAAATAGCTCTCTTAATAACCAGAGTGTCAGATGTGAATGCAGTCGGGAAAGGGGGCTTCTTACATTCCCCAAATGACCTCTCGAAAAGAGGTTAAGTTGAAAACATGCCTAGGGGTGAACTTTGTAAAATATCAGTCTCAGTGGGATGTCTTAGTGGGAACGTAGGGGTGGGCTCTATTAGCTAAATTACACAGGAGGCTGATGTCTTCTAGTCTTCAATAGCGAGGGTCTAAAACAGCCCTACAACAGGGTCCCTTGTGTAAATAGTAAGAGCTGGAAGTACAGCACTATCATTATGTGAACATGTACGGGCTGGGTGCTATTTTTCCCGAGAGTTATGGGAACCTAGGTACAGGAGGGCTGTTAAGAGGCCAGACATAAACCAAAAGCTCACCCAGGCTAGTATAGCCAGCCCCCCTATTCATACCGCTACAGGCCTAATTGGGAGAGCATGACTGATGACACAGAGCAGTGTGCCACACACATACACAGAACAGGAAGGGTGCACAGCCGAGCACAGCCAGTAAGACATGCAGAGAGAAGAGAGGCGCTGAACAAGCAAACACTGCGAGGGGAGAAAGAAGGGATCATTCAGAGCTGGGGCAGGAGGAGGGGGGGCGCGTTAGCTGCTGCGCGGTCAGCTTCTCATACCCCCCCTCCCTCAGTTACGGTTTGAATCGCAGAGATAAAAGCTTTGATTTAGGACGAGGTGAAGCGCTCTGGACCCAAATATAAATGTGCGGTCCAACCTGATCCAGTTTGTCTGGCCTTGGTAAACCTCGGTGGCATCCTGATTGTCAACACAAAGATGTTATTGTGATGACGGACATAATGCTACTTTCTGAGCAGTAGAATGGCTGCAGTGTGTTTGTGGATGCCTGTATAGGAAAATTCAATGTTGTTTAGGCCCTGTGCTGATGAAAGCACAAGCACAGCAGAATTCTGACTGCCTGTTGACCTATTGGAAACCACACTGCAGAAAGAGAGAAAGAGAGAGAGAGAGTGTGTGTGTGTGTGTGTGTGTGTGTGTGTGTGTGTGTGTGTGTGTGTGTGTGTGTGTGTGTGTGTGTTTTGGATAGAGGGAGTTGGGAGCCAGAGTCATGCAAGGACCTGTTCTAGAAGTGGAGGGGTGCATTTCAGTTCATGTACACTACAATGAAAGAGGTTCATGCACAACAAAGTAGTGTGTGTGTGTGTGTGTGTGTATGTATGTGTGTGTAAAGCCACAACCACAGCATCATGAGCGCTCTCCCTCTCTCTAAGGGAAAACTGTTGTCCCTGTCTGCTACCTCTCCAGCTGATTGCCCACCTGCAGGTCCTTAAACCTGACGCTGTTTAGTGATGATAGAGGGGATTTTCTGCTGCTGCAGTCGCTGAACAGCTCTCACAATGCAAATAGAACCATTTAGTCTGAATCAGATCATCAGAGCGTGTGGGACTTCCTACCTTACTCCTCTTGAAGAGCCAGAAGTTTTTGCTCCTGTTCTTTGACAAAAACTCCACTGGACCTTTGGGTGTGCCCAGGCTGCTGTCTGATGAGGCTCTGTTGATGCCCTGGCTGTAGTCTTCGAAGTCCAAATCCCCAGGACGTTCAAAGCCGGACTTGTTCTGCTCTATTATAACCATGGAGTCCTTCATTAAGACAAATACGGATAAGAATCAGACAATAAGAGACACAAAGACATGTTGCTTCAAAACTTGGTTCTTCGAGACGGACTTACATTCCTCTCATTAACATTAGTGCCGGCTTTAGTAATGCCCTCCAGGCACTTGCCAATGATTGGCATCACATGCTTCTCTGTGTCTGAGAACAAGATGTAGCCTTGTGCCAACTTTCGTACTCGCCTCTCATCCAGATCTTGTAATTTCTGGTAAACACACAGCAGACGTTGCCATTGTTAAGGTTGATTAAGGGTGTAATAAATACTCCACAATACAGCATGCATCTGCGTCTAGAGTTATACAAGAATCAGATATATTCGATCAAGCTCTCACAAAATCTCACAGCCTGAACTTTAGAAAGCGAAAAGGTCCCATGAATATTAACAGATTCAACCAGGGTTCATCCTTCTATCTTGGAGTCCATCTGGGAGAGATGGTTGTGGTTTTCTTTCTTTCTTTCAAAAATCTGGGTCAAATTTTTGGAATCAAAATGTCTGTTTATGACTTAATATAACAATTCATGCAAGCTACAAGTTTGGCAATGTATTCCCAAAGTAATTCCAGTTACGGACTTTGAATTCCTTTGAAAAACAACTTGATGTAGAGGTCACTTACATTAAAAATGAGTGGCATATCACTGAAATAGAACTGGCTTTGCTCTTTGTTGTACTTCTGAAGCTGAGCAGCGTAGTCGTTCTTACACTCCTCGGCGATGTGTGCTCTCATATGAGCCTGCTGTTTGGCCTGGCACCACACAAAAAAACACACAAACACACACACACACACAAGTTAACCGAGTGCATCTGATTCCACTTTTGATCATAGAGAATAGTCTTTCGATGCATATTTCATTTCCGCCCTCTCTTACTTTCTCAACATCTGCCTTTGTGGCGTTGATGTCTTGATCAGTCTTCTCCGCGTACAACGCTGCACGCTCCGCTTCCCTCCATTCCCTCTCAAAGCGCTTTTTACTCTGATGTGCGGGGAAGAAATCGAGAGGGAATAAGTTGAGTTCATTCAGTTAAGTGAGGTTACTGCATGAATGAAATATGAGGAGGTTCTTCTATTTTCAGCAGTGTGTGTCTTTTTTCTCCAACTTTCTAGAAAAAGACAGACGGAGACGATCGGGAATGCTGATTGTTAGATTTCCAATCAAAACCAAACAGCTCGTGGAATAGAAGTTCAAATGAAGGAGCTGCTTTCCACTCAGTCCATCTGTTTTTACTTTAGTTAAATATAGCCACCTGACCAACCGCAGTCAATGACTTACACTGTCGAGTTGCTTGTAGGTGCTCTCCAGACTCTGCTGAGCCTTCTTGGCCTCCATTAGATACTGCAGACATTCATAAAAATAGACCGAGTGAGAGGAGGAGGAGGTGGGACGGCGGGCGGGGGGGTCAGATGACAGAGAGAGAGAAAGAGAGAGAGAGAGACAGCCATGTGTAAGGGCAGACATAGAATAAACAATGACCTCCAAAAGCCACACAACATAACAGACAAGAAAACAAATACCAGAGTGTCTGTTTGAGACATCACGTCTGCAGTGAGAGTCTGTGTGCGGCTGCAGCTTTCGGCACTCCGGTGGGACACGGCCAATTCATTCCTCATAGAGAACTGGCACACCACGTTCAGACCTTACTTCCCTCTGGAGATACTAAGCAAGGTTTCCTTCCTTCCACAGCAATGAGATCTACACTCCTCCTCCTCAAAGTCTCACTCTCTTCCTCTCTCAGTATGCTGTACACTCTTCATAGAAACCTTGTTCTGTATGTTTTCAGCTTGTAGACTTAACAGATTACAGAATATTTACTATGAAGTGTCAACGACTTCTGGTGAAAACTGATCCAGAGCATTAATAACAACATAATTCTTTAGGTTTGTTTGGGAAATATGAATTTAAAAAGTGGTTTGTGGTTCCCAGATGAGAAAATATGCTGATTTGTCTTAGTTGTGTGGTTTTCATTTGAATTTATTAACCATTTGATGGACAAAATAAACTCAATAAAGTCACCTGAAGTAACATTTTTGAAGTAACAAGGGATATTCCAGCGTAAAATTAAGTTAGGGTCAAACACACCGTAACACCGAGTTAGACACCCCCACGAGAGATAAATGTTGCGGATCATTTGTTCATGGAAATGCAATCAGACCGAGACGCTAAGACAGAAGAACTACCACGTCTGCAGTGCAAAGTGATTAATATGATGATTATTTCTTCAAGGAAATGATAAAGAAATGATCATAAATGTTCTTCTTTGAGCTGCATCACCCCACTGCAGTCTGTAATGGACTGGCCCGAGGTCTCGCTACAAACAAGTGGTTGCTGGAAGAGAGTAGGTGAGTTGTGTTTAGTCTCTTTGCTAAAGAAATTAGGCAAAGTCAAAAAGATGTTTGGTGGCTAGTACTATGGCTGGGACCCTATATGTACTGTTGATGAAGTTAGGTGCTGTTCTGAGCATTATTTGTGGCAATAGAGTGGCGTTTTTGTTTGAGGTTTGTTTATGGCTCCTCAGACCGCTGTGTATTGCTATCGTGCGGTCATTACTAAAGTTGGTTTAACTAGAGAAGCAAGCGGTCGGCAACATTCATCTCTCAAGGGTGTGTCTAACTCTTACGGTGTGTTTGACCCTAAATTCATTTTACACCGGAATATCCCTTTAAGAAAATAAAGCCATAGCCCTCCACACAACACAACTAGCAAGCTGCAGTTTTGGGTGATCAACAAGACTGTAAGGATATCAGGACAAGTTTCTCTTGAGTGAGTCTGAACAAAGTGTGTTTCATGCTAAAAGTCTAGTGTAAATGACATTTTTTGATGAGTAAGCCAAATAGTTTTTAAAGCTCAGATATGGAAGTTTCAAGTTTGAATCCGCTCTGGCACCCCCTGTGGTCAAAAGTATTACTTCATCTCTTTGCCCATGCTATCCTGTGCATGCATAAGAAATGTTTTCCGGAAATAAAATTTTTCTTTTAACAATTAAACAAATCATCCAATGTTTTTTTTTTTCTTTCAAGGTGTTTTTAAAAAGCTCCTTTAATCATTTTTATCATCCAGATAGATTTTTTTTAGCGGGGATTTTCAGCAGACAAACAGAGGCTGCAAACTGACAGCCTGATTCAGCGCTGTCCTTGCTCACTGTTTATCACGCTCACCGTCTTTCTCTCCTGCTTGATCTCTTGCAGGTACTTGGTGAGATCGATGCAAATGTTCATCATCATGTTCTCGGCGATAAGCTCTCGCTGCCCTGCGTAGTCGTTTGTCTCGTTCAGGATGTCCAAAAAAGACTGGTAGCTGGACAGCCTGCCGTTTCAAAGGAGGGGAGAGGAAAGGGTGGAGCAATCAGGACAGAGTGATGGGACAGCTGATAAGATGAAACGCACATGGGCCCAAAGAGGAGGTGGGCCAAGTCATAATAAGAGGCTTGTGACTTCCTGATTCCTGGTTCCTTCCCCAAACAACAGCATAATGTGCATTAATCACAGATGGCTGCAAATGTTTGGTTCTCATTAGCTGATTCCAGCAGGCTTTCACCACGAATTATAAACATTACTAGATTATTTATGTTTGCTCACCTGCACTCTGGTTCATCTTTGCTGCTTCTTTTGAGGTTATATTTCTTTGAAAGGTTCCTGCAGACAGTAAAACATGTCAAACAGTTGGTTAGACAGATATATAGGCGCCGACTGAAGACAGCTCTGTAAATGCGCCCACTGATTTTCCTTAACAATAGGATTAAAACAAAAGTCCGCTGTAAACTTATTAAAATAGCTGTGCTTCATTCTTTCGCTCTGCTTCTGACCACTTCCTGTCTATCATGTGCCCAGTCTGCTCCCACTTCCTCTCCTCTCCAGCAAAGCTCAGCAGCTCTGCACCAGATGTGGGCCTGCACACTGGGACACAACTGGGAGAGAGCGAGAGAGACAGAGAGAAAGAGAGAGCGAGAGAGACAGAGAGAGAGAAAGAGAGAGAGAGAGAGAGAGAGAGCAAAGGCAGCTGGAGAAAGAGGCCAGTGTTCCTCAGACAAGTTTGATTCTGTCCCAGAGTTGTCATAAGACTCCGCACACATTTCATAACCAGCCTTTTAACATGGACACCAACACACAACAACAACAACACATTAGCAGTTGAGGCGACAAGAGCTCGGCCTACCTCAGTTGTTTGGCATAGTTTTGCTCGATCTCTGTCCTCTCTTTTACAAACTTCACATACTTCTCCACCAGCTCCAGGCCCGACTGCGTGTGCTTCTCAATGATGTCATATTGATCCTGGAGAAAGACGCATGAGAGACAAATAATGAGATGATGTCTTGAACTTGACTTAACATCTGCGTGTCAAATGGGATGTTCTGGTTGAGTTTGAGGTCATCTAAATTTATCCTAAAAGGGAGGTAAAAATAGGCGTATTCACATTTGTTTCTGCATATTTCGGTGCACAAATGATCCCAACTTATTCAGAGAAGTCTTAGGAATTGTGTCCTGTTTTCATTTGCAGAGGGTAGTCAAAGGACATGGGGGTCATGGGAAGGAAAAGGTGGTGCTGCGCTATGTGGACAGACACGTTTTCATATCAAGGATCCGTAGGGGATTCTTTTGCACAATACGGTATAGAAAATGAGATTTGCATCATCCTAATTAGCTCAACCTTTGACCTATTTCTTATATTGTTGTTCATTTAAAAACCCGCGCACAACGCAGCTAAATTTGCTGACTTTTCCTTTCCCTGTTTTACAGAATAAAGGAAGGATAACATTTTCCTCATTCTTCTTCGTTCCTTTTTTGGCGAGCAATTTATGACACCTTCAGGTTCAGACAAGTCTTTTGAGAGAAAGAGACAATATCTGAGGCAATCTCCTCTCACTCTACAATCAAAACAATCCCCCTAAGCTATATTGCTGCTGACTTGAGTATTGAGGACAGGGTAATACAGGAAAGGGGATTCCTGACAAGTTTGGCCTTGTTCTGATGAACCTGTCCTAGTTTTTAGGTAGAACAAAAGAGAAGAAAAATGAAGAATGGGACTAAGTTTAGCCTCTGCCTTTTCAATACAACTCATGTACCACCACTATACAAGGCAGGATTGAAAATATGATTGTAACTGAATGGAGAAGGAGCAAGAACTAATTTGAAGTGGTTGTTAAGAAGGCTTGCTGGAGGCCTTGTTTTTTGCTCTTGTCAAAATCAGAGATGCTTTCATGCAACTCGCTGCAACATGTCGAGAATGAGATGTGTCAGAACTTAATTATGAAAAAGGGAACTTAGGATGCATGCACACCAGCCAGGGCTGAACTGTACAACTTGTTCTAGATAAAAACAGATTCAGATTTAAAGCCAAATATCTCATTACAGAAGAGTTGATACATTAGAATTTCAGATCTCGATTATGGATGGTCAACTGCATGACTAAGAGGTCCTTATGTGAGAAGTTGAAGGTGTGCGAGCAGAAATGAAAAACTATAACCTCCAGGCACATTAAATATTAATCAGTCTGTGTGAAAAACAGTGTCAAGATTTTTTCAGAGGATAACATTTGTCTGGTAAGCGATCGTGGACGAGGTGTGGCCAAACCACTTTTTTGTGACTAACTTCTAAAAATGAGTCAAAAATGAGCAATATTTACACCCCAGTAAACGCCTTACTAAAGTGTACTGTGTGCAATCCATGAGCAGGATGTAATGTCTTATCATTTTAGCTGTGAAAAGAAAGGATTATGTGGAGAGTTTGATGTCCTGAAGCCTTTCTCTGGAGCTGTAACAGTCGTATGAATTTTTGCATCTTTCATAAAATGTGCTGCTCATAACCAAGTCCTGGTCTTGTTTTTGGTGCTTAATTTGTTTGATTTAAACTGTTTTTTACAAGCCTGCTCTGTTTTATTTTCCCATTTAGCACTTTATTACTCCCCGTTTAACGAGGGTGATAGTACAAATAAAGCTTTATTGTTAATTTTTCTCATATGTCCAGAACTATACTACACCATAGATGCGATGGTGTCGCAGCGTGGGGCCAAATGTGTTGATTTTACTATCCAACCGAGTCTACCATTTTCACACCAGGCTGCATCATCAACACATTATGAGGGGTTGTTGTCCTGCTGCTCCTTTTCACAACAGTGAAATGGCTTTTCAAATACATGTCATGGGATTATTAGTGATGCAGGCAGCAGGAAAAAAAATGATTTTGTTTGCGTTTGTGGCTTCATAACTATCAAACTGTACTAGCAGACTGAATATACTTCTAATATCATCATCAGTTATTCAATACAGTGATAGTAACTACCGTTTAGCCCTTTGAGGCATTTCTACTTCATCACTTTCTTTCTTCGATTAAAACATTTCCTGCCTCCAGTCTGAAAATGCATCCTCGTCCAAAAGAGGGAGCCTCAGATGACCTCTTAAGCAGAGCTTTTTAAGGGCAGAAAAAGGAGCCACTGATATATTCTGTAACTTAACCATGACAGCTTGATTAAAAAGCAGCATTACCCCAGTTAAGGGGCCAGGCTTATAAAAAAAAAAAAACTCTCTAAATCCACTGAATCAACTTGCTGAGTCTAAATGCAGCAATTTGCAGCCTATCTGTTTAAGCCACAGTCAAAGTCATTTTCAAATCAGATTAATCAGTAAGGCCAATTGATTAATGGCATATAAAAAAAAAACACCATTGGCAGATGTGTGCACTCACAGATAACAGATAAAAATAATATAGAGATGATGTCTGCGCTCACTGCAGGAAGTCTCCTCAGTGTGTTTCTGTAAATTCTGTTATACAGAATAATGCAGTTAAACATCTCTTCTGTCATAAATCAGTTATGTTTTGAAATCTATCGCAAAACCTTATTTATTGTATGATTTTATGACTCAAAATTCCAGTAAGGAACTTTGGGTTAGTGTCAATTTTGGCACCACCGGTATTCAAAGCAGTCTTTGTCAGTCCAATACGGACAGCTGTGGGGTGATGCAGCTCAAGGAAGAACATTTGTGATAACTTTATCATTTCCTTTAGGTCATAATCACCATATTAATAATTTTGCACTGAAAACGCAGTAGTTCCTCTGCCCTAGTGTCTCGGTCTGATTGTATTTCCATGAAGAAATGGCCCAAGGTCTCGCTACAAACAAGCGGCTGCTGGAAGAGAGTAGGTGAGTTGTGTTTAGTCTCTTTGCTGAAGAAATCAGGCAAAGCTAAAAAGATGTTTGGTGGCTAGTACTGTGGCTAGGACCCTATATGTACTGTTGATGAAGTTAGGTGCTGTTCTGAGCATTATTTGTGGCTATAGAGTGGCGTTTTGGTTGAGGTTTGTTTATGGCTCCTCAGACCGCTGTGTTTTGCTATCGTGTGGTCATTACTAAAGTTTGTATAATTAGAGAAGAACATTCATCTCTTGAGGGGGTGTCTAACACAGTGTTACGGTGTGTTTGACCCTAAATTAATTTTACGCTGGAATATCCCTTTAAAGTGGTGTCTTCTGGCAACCAAAAAAAAATGTCATCCTGTTGACCTCTGACAGGCAAATATACCATATATTGTGAATATTTTGTACGAGAACTGTAAATATGGGACTGTTTCATGTGCTGCTTGACTGCTGACATCTACCCCCTCACAGTCTCTTCCCTGCTGGTCTTATCTACTTCTGGATAACATGAAAGGGCATAAATATGAATTGTAGACTATTTCATCAAACAAAACAAAAATATCTTTACGAGACCTTTGATAAGAAATCCATCCAAAACATGTTATTGGCAAAAATAACCATACACACATTTTAAAGTTGCAAATAACAAACAATGATGATAGAAATGTGATCTTAGCATTACAGATCAGCCATCACCTGACTTGCTCTGTAAATATTGGCATCAGCCATTGTCACACTAAACAGAAAATACTGCGACTGGTTACTGCTGCATTTCTAGTTGTTTCATTTTTACATTAGCCCAGCTACTTTGACCTCAGTGTCACTTTGGAGGATTAAGAACTACTGTCAGAAGCATTTTCTCATCTTCCCCTTTTCAACACTGTGGTTTAGGAGAAAATACATAAAACTGCTTCATTATGGCGAGGATTTATTCAAGGGTATGAAATATTGCTTCAAAATTTAAAATTTAGAAGTCTAATCAAAACAGAGACACAATCATGTCAAGATGCACTTAATCTTCTAATACTTCCAGAACTACCAGCAAGATTACCAGCATCCAGTGAATGAAACATAACTTCTCAAGGAGTCACCCTGAAAGTCACCAACCAACACGGCTTGGGTGAATGTTTCAGCCCTGAGTCACCCCGGCTTCTCGAACAAGAGGGACCCAGCCCTGTCAGACCTGCCCCAGCCTAGTTCTCAGGTCTGGCCTGGCAACACTCACTATCACAGACACTACCTAGACACTTCCTTTGCACTCTGCAAACTTGTGCCTTAAAATAGCCACTGGATTAACGACAATCAGGGGACAGATGCCATAGAGCTGACTTTGCCCGAGGGATGACTCTCAAGCCAAACATTACCCGCACCAATTATGCCTTCAGGGCTTCAGCAAACCAAACAGGTGAGGATACAGGAAATAAACCCTGTGGCACAAGGACATTTATTCAAATAATGTGTACTCCACACTGACTGTCAAAGGTGGCGTCTGTGTGTTTAGTCTACATAAAGTGAAACAAGTCCATGGGATGAACAGGAAGACTTGTCTGCAGGGAAAGAGCCTCTGATTAATAATGGGGTACACATTTTCCTCTAACTCATCAAAGTAGGGCAAAACTAATTAGGCTGTTGCACCAGTATGTAGGATTGAAAAGGGACAGAGGAGGAGGCCTGGGGGGGAGGGCTGAAATCAGGTCACAACCTTGCTTTCCTCACTTTTGCAATGCTCCAATTACATATCCAGGTTCTTGAAGAAAGAGCGAGCGAGAGTTTTTGCAATTACTCCACATTATCAGAATATATTATCTGATATATTTTGGAGACTTGACAAATGAGAATTGACTCAATAGCACAGAAACTGTAGCAGTCATTAAGGTGAAATGCAGCACGCTGGGGATCTTTCAACAGGGATTGTTTGGATCCTGGATAGTGTAACTGTTGTTGACATAAAGTGGCTTACATGTTGTGGACTGAAGCATCCCTCCTCTTTGAGAATTCCCAGCCAAAGTCGTTAAGAAAATCAAGATTTCTTGAAACCAACATCATGTTTATTGAGCAAACAAATCCATCACTGATGCGCAGACATACTGCGCTTCATCTTCATTGGAAAAGCTTGTTTTGTGGCAAATTGCAGCATCTGATTTCATCTCTGTGGTTGCAAGGAGTGCCAGACTGTAAACAGTGGGGGTGGGAGAAACAAATCCATTCACATAAGTATCGCAATTTTTGTTTTACAATTTTTAAATCGATTTTTTTTTCTTTTTCTCAAATAAAGAAGAAATCTTAAAAACTGGCTTACATGTGCTGTGTATTTTTGGGGGCAATATGGTTCCTGGAATAGTCAGTAGACAATCATAATCGTTCAATGATTTCACTGGTGTTAATGATGCAGACAAAAAATCGAGAAAATCAACGAATATCGTAGAATCGCAATTTAAATCGAATCGGCATCGAAAAAAATCGGGAGAAAAGCATATCGTCCCTGCCTTAGTAAACAGTGAAACATCCCACGAGGTTCAACCCACTCCTGAGCATCTAACACAGTGTCCAGACCACAAAGTGTGACACAATTTTAGACATAAATGTGAGCATATAATGAAGATTCTGTTAGATAGTTAAAAATAAAGGAGACCTAAATCCTGCTTTTCAATGTCCAGATATGATAAACGCAGGTGATTTGGATTTGAAATTAGTCTGAACTTCAGTAACCGTGGAAAAGCACTTTGCCTGGTAAAGGCAAAACCCATAAAACACAAGAGTAACACCTCCTTATGGAGCTTCAACTCTTTGTTTCAACTACAAACTGCGGAGAAGAAGTGTCCGTAAACGAGGCTGTGCTCCTGAATGCACCGTCCTGCAGCTCCACACACACAAACTCGGCGCCTCTGCTCTCATTTCTTCCCCACAAACACGGTAAACTGTGCCTCACTTTATCGAAATAAGCCGCATGGTTGCCACCCGGACAAATATCACGACTTTCACAGCAAGCCAGATGACAGACTCACCCAAAGTTCTGTGCCCCAGTCCATGTTCAGCTTGTTGACCAAGCTGTGGTGAGAGTCTCCCGAATACAAAGAACTTCTCCAAAGTTATCCCAGCAGCAGCAGCAGCAGCTCGGAGGAAGAGGAGGAGGAGGAGGAGGACGGCCCTGCCAACAACTACTATAATCCCGAGGTGATAAATCAGTCGAAACCACTACACACTCCTCTAAAAATTACTTTGACGAACGACAAATATTAGCATCTTCATTTGTAAATTGATTCGGGCTGGCAGTCGCCCGTCGAGTTTGTCTAAATAATTGTCATAGCGAAGGAAAGAGGGATAAACTAGCTTTCATATCCGCGTCACTCCCAAATCCTAAATCTTAAAGGGCCAGCGCACAGATCCACGGGAGGCGCTGCTCACAGCACAGTAGGGGAGACTGGGGTAAGTTGAGCCAAAGGGTGAGTTTTTAAACTGGCAGTTTTAAAGCATCTGTACTAAAAACCAAAGAAACTAGAGATTAGTTCAACATTTTATTAACATACAAAGTAAATAACAAAGAATAAGATACACTTAGGAAAATATATAAACCATTTTAACTCAACAGAACAACAAATTTAGATAAATACTAGATAATACAGTGAATTAGTTTAGAGTCCTGAGTATTTTTGCAGGTATGCAAGACCCAAAATAAACAAATCGCTCCCTCAGAGATAATGAAGATGTCTTAAGCTGTAAACATTAGATAATGTGAACGTAGATGATACGATTGATCGCTGCTTTGGTCTGGTGGCCGCACCGCTAGTTGTGACTAAACTGCTAATGCTACTTGTGCCGTCAGACTCCACTTGGATTTTCATGCTTCCCGCATAATCACTCGGGAAATATTTCTTCAACTGATTAAACAGATTTGTTGTGCTGCTGGTTTTTGAGGGAACCGACTGCCGACATACCTTGCAGATCGGCTTAATTACTCAACGTCACTTTGGAGATTCCTGAACCACCGCCACACAACCGACGTTGAATAACTTCTCAACAACAACATCTTAGGAGGATGACTCAAAGTCATGGCTGACATCGATTTTGCTGCCCTAAGCTCCGCCTTTAGCTCCATGTTTGGTCATTCTGTTTACTTCTCTGGTAACTTACAGACGTGAGCAGGAAAGCTCGACTCTGATTGGCTGTTGTGACGCACATTTCCGCTATGTTTGATCGAGCAAATATGCTCACAGCTGATCACCGTGATCGAACTGAAATTTATCACGATCATATAATCGCCCAGTCCTAGTTGAGCCACCCCTTGCTGCTTATAAATGGTAAAAGAAATTGATCATGTGACCAAATATTTAGGAGATGGGCATCAATTCATGGAGTCTGTGAAGATTAGAAGCACATGGGTGAAGGGGTTAGACATTTATTTCCGAAAAAAAAAAAAATTTTTACTCTTGAAAGTAAATTTAGTATGTCATAAGTTTTATTAGAATTGTGTTCAGAATACACATCAATGTGAAGAAGTGACTGTCATTTAGGGAGCGAGAAGGTGAGGGAGGGCTGGGGTGGAGAGCGGAGGGGTGGTAGGGACATAGCTCAACTTACTGCGCTCCTATGGTCAACTTACCCCATACACAGGGTAAGTTGACCATAGGAGATTTTTTTTTTTTTGGAATGCTACATCATCAAGACAGTTATGTTTACACTCATTCTTTTGGTTTGCAGGGATGCACAACATCCTGAAATATTTGCAGATACACTATTTAGAGACAAAACTATAATTGCAGTGAACCGAAATATGAAAAATGGTTCATCTTACCCCACTCTCCCCTACTACACTTCATTCTGACTTCCTGTGTTGTTTCAAAGTCATCATATTCGTCTAAGCTGTGTGACCTGCTAGTCTGAATAGTCTTTGATCAATTCACTGAGCTCTGTAGGCCGTGTACTGTCCTGACAGGGCCCACAACGAGGATCAATAGAGTTCATCCTCGAACAAGAGCTGATGCTGTGACACAATGACTGCTGCTGGCAGCGTGATATTAATCACGAATGGTTCAATAACGAGTTGGAGATTTGACTTGTATCTTCACTACCCACCCAGTTGAAATGACTACTTGAAGTAGCCAAACCTTAAGATAGCACTAGTTAACAAAACCTCTCACTCATCAGTCATCCCAGTCAACATTGTTCTTTTTTTCTATTTACCAAGCAGCTGCACAATTGCGTTTTGTTGTGCATCTTTCAACACACACAGCATTCCAGTAGAAAACAAACTCAAGAGCCGAAACAGAGTCAGAAAAAAACAATGTATAATCTTAAAGTCCACTGATGGCAGTGATATACCAAAAATAAACTTTCCAAGTTTGAAAAGCTAAACTCTAAATACATGTTACTGTTTGTTTAAGATATAAACAGCAAACAAGCACCAAAAAGAAATAATGTAAAAGATAAAAATCAAGATTAGACTTCATAGAATGACAAAAAAAAATCTATGCTGTGATTGACCTGCTTTGACAGTAACAGAGTACAAATCAGAGCTCTTTCAAAGAAGATGACTAACTTTTTACGTTTGTTGAAAAAAATTATCATTTTCCCACCTCAGTGTAAGACTCTTACATAGCTAAATAAGTACAAAAATTACAGGACATTCTTTCAGGGCAAACATTTCTGGGGTGTCTGCTGGTGTCATCAATCCCCTAACTGATACTCAGCAAACAGTAAATATCCTAAGCAACAGGCTTCCCAGTCATCTGGATATCATCCGTAGAAACAAAACTATACTGTCCATTTTTTCTCCGGCGGTTGTGGAAAATGATCATGATGATGATGAGGAGGAGGAGAGCCACACAGAGAATAATCAAAATCCATAGCCATGAGGGACCACTACTGGTTTTACCTGTAAGAAAGAACATAGATTGAAGTCTACCTCTAACTTCTTGATGCAATAACAGCCTACAAACATGACATCAGATACACAATTTCAGATGTTTTGCACTCACTTAACACGATCACTGTGAATGATTTTGTCACAGAGCCCATGTCGTTGGTGGCATTACAGATGTAATCACCAGTATTAGTAGACGTGGCTTCTGTAATGCTGATAATCTTATGGCGCCCCCCAGTGGTCTCTTTCACATTCACTGCAGGGGAGTAGTTCCAGTGGATCATAGGGGGAGGATTGCCCTCAGCACTGCAGGAAAAAGTCACATTTTCGCCTGGGTTCACCTCTACGTTGCTGCTTTTTTCCTTAATCACAGGGGGATCTGTGGAGAAAGGGGTTCATGAATTACATGAAATCCCAAATGAGAAGCAAAGACAGGAGCAAAAATGGTGAAGAGATCAATACGAAAACTCACAGCGCACATCAGCAATGAAAGGTAGTGATGTGGAAGTAGGGAGCAGCTCTGGTCCTGCTGGTCCAATGTGCAGCTCAGCCTTGCACGTGTAAGCCAACCCGTTATACTCTCTCTTGGCACTGACACTCAGGTTGGAAGACACATTGAGTGGGGTCACAGTGGTGTCGTGAAAGGTTTGTGTTTTCACAATTTTGTTCACTTGGTACCACTTTATCGTGAGGTTCTGCACAGGCGCCACATTGATGACTTTACAAGTCAGCAAGAAGTCTTTGCCCTCCACCACTGGACCAGGAACCTCTGCAGAGACTGATACAGTGTCTGGGGTCTCTGTGAAGCAAAGAAAGGGAAATGGTGTTAATGGAAAGTATCAAATATTTTCACAGACATTACTATCATACTGACTAGAAGGCATAAGGAAAGGTAAAAAATAACATAGATTGAAGTCTGCCTCTAACTTCTTGATGCAATAACAGCCTACAAACATCACATTAGAAACACAATTTCAGATGTTTTGCACTCACTTATCACGATCACTGTGACTGATTTTGTCACAGAGCCCATGTCGTTGGTGGCATTACAGATGTAAACACCAGCATTAGTAGACGTGGCTTCTGTAATGCTGATATCCCTGTGGCGCCCCCCAGTGGTCTCTTTCACATTCCCTGCAGGGGAGTAGTTCCAGTGGATCATAGGAGGAGGATTGCCCTCAGCACTGCAGGGAAAAGTCACATTTTCGCCTGGGTTCACCTCTACTTTGCTGCTTCTTTCCTTAATCACAGGGGGATCTGTGGAGAAAAGGGTTCAAGAATCACATGAAATCCCAAATGAGAAGCAAAGACAGGAGCAAAAATGGTAAATTTACTCACAGCGCACATCAGCAATGAAAGGTAGTGAAGTGACAGAAGGGATCGGCTCTGGTCCTGCTGGTCCAAGGTGCAGCTCAGCCTTGCACGTGTAAGCCAACCCGTTATACTCTCTCTTGGCACTGACACTCAGGTTGGAAGACACATTGACCGGGGTCACAGTGGTGGCGTTGAAGGTTTTCGTGTTCACAATTTTGTCCCCTTGGTACCACTTTATCGTGAGGTTCTGCACAGGCGCCACATTGATGACATTACAAGTCAGTAAGAAGTCTTTGCCCTCCACCACTGGACCAGGAACTTCTGCAGAAACTGATACAGTGTCTGGGGTCTCTGTGAAGCAACAGAAGGGGAAATGTTGTCAATGCAAAGTGTCAGAAATGTGTGCAGACATTACTATTATACAGACTAGAAGGCATGAGGAAAGGAAAGTCTGAGGTACTCACTGTAAACGGTGATAACTGGCGTCACCACGCACTGTTCATTGTTCTTATCAGTGAGGAAGCATGTGGGTCTTATTGCCCACTCTCTCAGTTTTCCAACCTTCCAGGTGACTGTGGGGGGCGGTTTAACCCCTGTGCCTCCGACTATAGCCTCCCAGCCCATAATGAAAGCATCAGGGTCTGATGTGCTACAGTTCACAGAGATAGGATCTCCATATCTTACCACAACCTCAGGAGGCGTCAATGTGAGGGGGCAACCTGCCATTTGGAGGCAAGTATGTTTTAATCAGTTTGACTTCGTTAAAAAGTAAATATGCATGCAGATCTGACAGACAGATGTGTACCTGGTGTTAAAGGTGTTGTGTAGGTTGGTGTGGTAGTCTCAGGGACAGTCGTTGCTGATACCTCTGAAATGGTCTCAGGGGCAGCTGCTGGCTTGATCACTTCAACTTTAAACCACTTTGTAACACTTCCCAGAAGATTGTAAGCCGTGCAGTTGTAGATCATGGTGTTGTTAACACCAGAAAGAGCCAGATTACTTGTCTTCTCCGGCAAATACACCCCGTCACCAGTCCAGTTAAAGACCGGAGGAGGGTTTCCTTCTGCTTCACAGTCCATGGTGATACCGTCACCCTCTTCCAAAAAGTGGTATTGACCTTTTTTGTCACCTTTGAGTTCAGGGGCATCTGGAGAAAGAAATGTTAGCTTTTTATTCAAGCATAGAAAAGCATGATGTTAAAATTAAAAACTATTGTTTATCTGGGAATAAGAAATAGTTTACTCACAAAAAACAGAAACGTTGTGGACCTCAGATTTCACGAGAGTTTTTATTCCATTTGGCCCAAAGTCGAGAAAAGCCTCACACCAAAACTGAGCCCCATCATCTTCTCTGCTGATGCTGACAATCAAAGAGGAAGACTCATCCACTGGTCTTTTGGTGGTGTTGGTGAAGGTATCGGTCTTGATGATGTTTTTGTCTTTGTACCACTTCACAACAAGGTTTTGAACTGGAGCAACCTCGAAGATTTCACACTGTAGCTCATAAAACACCCCTTCCTCCCAACCAGGGACATACTTGGTAGGATACATGGACACACTTAGCTTATCTGTCAAATAAAATAAGATATTAGAGTCTGATGTGACTATAACAGATATTTTTTGTTTTGTATTTTTGTTTTGATAAATGTTTTCTCAATTAATTCTCAAAAAAGAATAAAATTCCATTCCATTGTATGATATTTGTTCATAATCCCTCTTACTGTATATGGTGATTTCCAGTTCTTTGCTGCACTTAAAAGAGTCATTTAGCATTACGATGCACTCAGCTGTCAGATTCCAGTCTGAAAGTTGTAGAAACTCAGCGATGAAACTCTTCTCATCCTCACTGTCCTCAGAGCTTGAGTTTGACTTCCTCCAGTACATCCCGACATGATCCACCTCTGTAGAGGAGCAGTTCACCTCCACGAACTCCCCTCGTTCTCCTATAACCGCTGGAGGATCCAGTGTGATTATATCAGTGCACAGACTGTCTGCATCTGTTGATGGACAAAATCAAATGTTCAGTTAAATTCAGTTAAATGAGCCTTCACTGCCCTCTAGTGGATTGAATCTTTAATGCTGCCACTAATACATCCTGGCTCCTGAACTACCTCAGTAAACAAAAATCAAACATTAAAAAGTAAAATTATCTATTTTTATAAATAGGATTCAAAAATTAGCAATACATGAGTTTATTAACCCTCCTCCTGTGTTTTTGATTTTAAATGCTAAAAAGAATCACTTAAATTAAGACTTTTTCAATTTGTCACGAACCTCTAATTCAACAAAATAAAAATAAAAAAGATTTATGGACTAAATTATAAAATGCTCTTATTAAAATTATGGCACTTGTCATGTTTGAGTCGCTGTTGACCCGGTTAGATCAATATCCAATCATTAGAGCATTAACTGAAATCATTACTGCACTGTCAGGCACCACACTGACAGTCAGATCCTCTTCCAATCATGTGAGATTTAGGAATTTCTCATTTTGCCATCTTTTTCCCTGCACAAAAAAACAATGTTGAGCATGCCCAGACATGTGAGATCAATTCAGTATGGTTGTCTGTATGAGGGGTATACTGACAAAGAAAGGCCCAGAGGCCCACTACAAAAAATATTATAAGCAATATTTTCATGTGTAATGAAGCCTAACAAGGTAACCTAGAGATGAGAACCAAACTGGATGATAGAGAATTGTTTTTAGTGTAATTTACAGCTGATTTAAGACACGGGTCAAAATCGACCATTAGCATGGTGGGTGTGTAGTAAAAGCTAACACAGGAGGAAGGTTAAGACAGTGAGAGAATGTTAATATTTCACATGCGGACATCCAGTACAGTTAGACACTTTCTGTCTCTGCTGTCTTGCGGCCAAGCTAACCAGCTGAATTGCTCTGATTGGTTCATCAAAACCGCTCACCAGCCCACTCTATGCCGAGCAACATTTGAAGCAGAAGTGGTAAACACATCCGTCATCGTCACTCTGGTGTTTCTATGTTTCCTTAAACATCCTTTTTAACACCTACCACACCCACTTCATATCTGAATGTGTTTCTTATCTAAAAATATTTTGCATCATATTTTATTCTTCTGAAAAGTCAAAGGCTTCTTACATGACGTATTGCAATATTCCTATATCATCCCTTAGACCCTGTAGAAGTGGTGGGGCACAAGAAGTTGAAGGCTAAGCTATCATCCCTCATGGACTATGTTTCCCACCTCCTGCAGAGCACTGTAACAGCACTGGACTGCTCCTTCAGTGACAGGCCTCTCCACTCATGGTGTGTGACAAAGAGATACAGCAAGTCCTTCCTTCCTGCTGCAGTCAGACTGTTTAACCAGACCTGCTCCCAGTAGTCCAGGTTTTCCTAACACAACTAACAGACAATAACTCAATTCTACCTCATTGTGCACTTGTTGTACTTATTCTTCTACGCTTGCTGTGCTGATCCTTTGCTGCTGCTAACACTGCAAATTTCCCCGCCGTGGGATGAATAAGGTTTATCTTATCTCATCTTGTTATTTCTAATTGTATCTCATTCAGAGGGTCATTCTTGTATAAAGTATAATTAGCTCTAATACATTTCCAAGTGCTTCCAATTGCAACAGTTGAAAAGCAAGAAAACTACCACAATATTCTTTTTTTCCCCTTTAATTCTGAGACACAGCTCAAAATAAAGTGATTTCTATTTTAAATCCCTGACAGAGTTATCATAAAGCATCATCATCACTCACCACACAGTAATATCATGAGCAGGAGGAGACCCAGGGTCCTGAGAGGCTGCATGCTGGATCAGCACGCGTGAGGAAGGACGTAGATTAAAGAGGTAAGGTGTGTTTCAGGATCGTCCAGCAGATGTCCAGCTTAAGTAGCGGGGATAGGATTAATCCTGGTTCAGACCTGATGATGATAATTACCTGCTGCTGACAGTTAAATAAGCTCAGGGACAGGAAAAAAAGTATACAAGTGGAAATGCAACGCCCTTAAGAAGAACAGGAAACTGTCTGCAGAACGGAAATGTGACACCTCAACGGTTGGCTCATAATTCAGCAACTGTAGATGACACATCCCTCCCAAGCTTGGTGAAATTATATGTTAGGAGTATTTTCAAAATCTGCCAAACATAATCTTATTTGGTATTGTTTATTGAAACATACATTGCAAAATGACAAACATCAAATTCTATCAAAAACAGAGCAGAATAGGATAAAACATATCAATCCAACAAACTGCTTCAATTTTACAGGCATTAGCTGGTCTCTGATGGAGATGTAAAGAAAAGCCAGATGCACAAACCAAACACTGTACAGCAGGGTTGTTCAATATGTGGCCTGTGGACCAAACGCAGCCCGCTAACAACCTGAATGTGGACCGTTGATCATATTGAAAAATATAAATATGAAAAAACAGTAAAAATATCATACAAATAAAAAATCATCTTCCACATGGTGCATTTAGTGTTTTGGTGGAAAAGCATCTATTCAGCTATACTATCAGATCTTCATCACTATTACAGCTGGTCTGTTTTCAGCGTGCACCCTCTGACATGAGGAAGAAACTGAAACTAAGACAAAATGTACTTTTTTTCCCTGGACCGCTCTGTGTAATGTATCGCTGCCAGTCTGGAGTATCAAAGTAAGGATCAGTTTCATGTTACTACATGAAATGATTATTATTTTCATTATTAAAAGATATCTCACACTATACAAAGTGACATTTTATATTGTTTTTGCAATAAAAGCTAAATCGAAACACAGTAGAATTCAACCAAATGCTGTTATTAGGCATAATCTTCAAGAATATGTCAAAATGTGAGAAGTTTTTCTATTATAATACTCAACATTTTATGCTCTTGCATGAAAATATCTTTTTGCAAGTTATAACATGATGCTGATCCTTATTTTTAAACTCCTTAGTGTCAGGAATAATCTTCTGTAGTGTTCGGCACACAAATACAACATTGTGTATTGTTGATTCATTAAATTGCTCCACACTTGGGACATGCACTATTCCTGTCAGTGCATCAGCCTACTGTATAGAGTTTATGGTGATGTCTACTCTTTATACATAAACTATAGGACTTTTGTTCCTGACATTTTCAGAACAGAATTGTGTTATGTGGGTTTGATCATCAAGGAAACTCGTTTCAGAGAGTAAGACCCTCCGTGGAACTCCGCCCAGTAGACCCCGTCCTGATAGCGGCTGCGATAGTGTCCACCTCGATACCACACACCGTTCAGATTGGAGTGAGCGCACATGTGGTACCACCAGCCTCCCTTTTGGTAATGAGCACAGTTACCTGGAACCAAAGCGAAGAACAGACTCATCAAATGAAGTGATCTAAACACAAACAGAGAGCGAACCATCTGAAGGATTGAAGGAGCAGACCTGAATAGCTATCCTTGTCTCGATCCAGAGTCGTGAAAGCTTTGTTGTTGTGCCATGAGAGGGAGTCCCCCGCGCTGCCCTGGTACTGTCCTAACCGCAGTCGGTACCAGTCACTCTCTGGTTCCAAATGGAAGCTGTCATACTCAGCAAACACCTGCCGGCCCTGCCAGTCCTCCAGAACCACCCTCAGCTTATACTGGGCCTGTTTAGTTAACCAGTAGAGATGTTCCAAGCCAAGCCAGTACTCCCCATCTAGGTTCCCAAAGCCTTGCTGCAAAATAGAAACACGCTAGTTTAATCTGAGAGTAAGAATGCAGTTTATGTTTTTTTAATCAATTTTTATGTCATTTATCAGCCACAAAATCATCCGATCACTGCGCCACAGCTGCTGTTTTCTGCACTGTTTTGACCTAGACAATCATTCGTGTTCTCCTGAGGATAAATCTGTCTGACTTTTGCTGATCCTTTAACTTCACCCACAGTGAGGGAGGTGTAGTTTGTTTATCTAATAAAACATCCCAACACTGGATGAATTAGCTCCAAAATTGGAGCAGACAGGTCATTTATTCCACCCAGAGGATAAATATGACCAACTTTCCCCTTAGACCAACATTATAGCTGCAAACATCAAGTCAGCACTCTTACATTAGCCACCGCAGCATGGCTGTAGACTCTCATACAGAGGATCAGACTGTTATTGTAGACTTGAGGTGTGTAGAATCACCTTGTACTGCTCCCAAGTCCTGAAGAAGTTGACCGACCCATCCTGTCTCCTCTGGATGACTGTCCAGCCTCCCTGAGCCTGGCTCTGCTCGCACCAGGCCTGCAGGAGGCGGTTTGCGCTCTGTGGGCGCAGTAGGTAAATTCCACTTGTGGTCTCACCTGATTCCAGTACATGCTGGCAGTCCCTCCACGGGCCTGAAATGAGAGAGATGCATATGAAAGTGAGTCATAACACCAAATGCATTTGCATATTTACAACGTTGAAATGCAAATTTAACATGTTGAGGGAGTCAAACCAGTTAATGAAACTTTGTTCTTGAACTGTTATTGTTGCACCTTTTTAAAGATTGTAGGATAAATTCACTCATGTATAAAGACTTTTTGCTTATCTTGCAACTTGCGTTATAATCAGTGTTTGCTACACCCTGTTCTTTTTCATCTAGAGGCCAGGTTTGCTGTCTCATATTCTTGCCCTTCCTTCCTCTGTTCATGCGTTGTGAATGTGGGCGTAATATGCTGCAGTAAAGACCACGAATTGTCATGCAAAGAGGCAAACCCAGAAAAAAAAAGTCAGCTAACATTATTAGTCAGTGAACATTAAAACAAGTGAACTTTGATACACTAACTCGAAAAGCAACAGAATAACGTGTCTGGTAAACAAATGACTATGTTATGTTGTACATGACCACCTGCCATTCATCTAGGCCATAATGCTATCCTCCACTTTAATGTAACTCAGCACAGATGACTGATTGAATCTGGTCTTGTGGCACATTTTGGCACTTTTGATCCAGGAAGTGCAGACAGCAGTTGTGTCTAGTTATACAGGTACATAATTTTATTACTTCAATGGAAATATGCATCACTGCCTCAGCATGTGGTTGGCAGCCTAAACAGGGGACCACATGGTGGTGTGTTGCTTCTAGTCAGACTCGCCACATCCTGCAAACTATGTGACATTGCAGACTCTGTAATCCTGTGTCTATGAAGTTGTGCCAGAGTGTTTTCAAAACGGTTTGACTTATTTAGAATTTGATGAAATAGCTTAGAAATTGGTCGCCTCAGAATTTTCCTACTGCAGATATATTTCAGATGGAGAGCCATCCAATTTTTTTGGACTCTATTACGTAAAAAATAAGATCTTACATTATAATAATCTAAATCTAAGACGTGTTAAGGATGTGTCATGACTCTTGATGTTATAAACTTGTCATTGTTTTCTCAAATTGGATTTCTCTTTTTCATGTTTTTTGTTTCTACAGATCTTGTTTGTGTCAAATGCATCAGTTTTGCTCAATTTTCAGTACAGCTTGGGCAGTTTAAATGTTTATAGAGAGTTTGAAATTCTTTTTGTTCAGCTTTCAGGGTCAGTGTCTCATTCCAAGGTGATAAGATAAACTGAGGGGTCTACACGGGGAAACTGTAAACACTCAGGGAGTTTCTTACACAATGATCAATGACTTTCCCTGACAAGTGAGAGCCCAGTCAGTCTTAGCCATGTCCACATCAAGATGTAGCAATGCATGTTCTTTCATTAGATTAAAGAGGAAGTGACACATACTGTGGAGTCACTAAAGTGCTGATTTGTCAGCGGGACAGCTGAAATCTTCTGCTTTATAAATGTAAGCAATCAGGCTGTTCAAGTTTTACAGCAGCAGGAACATTTAAAACCACGTGCTCGGTATCCCGATAAAAACTGTGAGCTGAGTCTGACATTGTTTAGGAGTTCCCAGAGAGATAGAGCTCCAGCCAGCAGGTCACTGACTCCTTCAGCTTCGGCTTATCTGAGCAGCTAAATAACTCTGACAGAAGATAGATGCTTTCATACACACGGGTTCAAGTCTCATCAAGTATCTCTGCAGCGTTACACTGCATTACCTGGAGTCTTTGTGACAGGGAAACTAATGAAAGGAAGATCTGTAGGAGTGCTGGCTGTAGTGCTGGGGAGGGACTGTGCGGTTGTTTCTTTCTGTGGTGGTGGAGCACTTTGGTCCCTTTGAACATCGTTGGTCATTTCCTTGGCGTCAGAGCTGTAATTTGGATGTACATTAGACTGGCTCTGTGGCGGTTCAGTCGTCACCTGTCCAGACAGATACAAAAATAACACATCATTGTCAGCTGTTGTGTGAAAACTCCGCATTAGAACAAAATGTACATCTTGTTCCCTACGAGAGAAGACTGTGCGGAGTCTCTGCACTGGCACTGCTTCTCCAAGCGAGCGATAAACTGGTTTTGAGAGCTCATCATGGAGGTGAGGGCTCCGTATTTCTTCTCCAGCTCCCTGTAGTTGCTGGACACCTGCAGAGCCTGTTGCACCAGCAAATGTAGAGAAGAGTTTGATAGTGATTTGGAGTTATTTATCTTGACTGTGGCATCAATACTTCTCTGCTTACCTGTGTTGTGGCATTTAACAGGAGGTTCTCCACCCGCCGCTGCTCCAAAGCCTGGTCTTTCTTTTGCATGACTTCATGCAGCAGCTGGGCGTAGAGCTGTGCGATGCGTGAATTCATGTTGCTGCTCTCTTTACGTAGGGCCCTAACTTCCATTGCAAGGGACCCCTCCTGCTCCAGCTGGCCCTGGAGCTTCTCCATCTGCTCCTGCTGCCGTTTGAGCTCCAACCGCAGTGCCGCCACCTCTGAGTGGTTGGTGGTCACAGACTGTGTGTTCAAACACAGAGCGCCTGTCAGTTTCTGCTGCGGGACAATAAAAGTGTAGGAGCAACGGCCTCCTTTATTGTCTGAAGATCTTGAGGAACGTTTCTGGGTATCCTCGCCGCGTGGAGCATCTTTCAGTCCTCCAGCTCCTGGTATGTTCAGACAGAGTGTTAAGAAAAGAGTCAGGCCCACTGTTAGTGTCTTCTCCATGGATGTGCTTGACTCCCGAGGACCCCCCCTGGTAGCAGAGGAGACAATTCTTTGAGGAAAAACCACGCAAGGTTAAAAATGTGAAAAACTTTGCATTCAATGAAACTGTGTTGGTGTTGTGGGTCCCCAGATGTTTCTTTCAAAGTAAAGGCACACACTTTGCCCCCTTGCTGGAATTTATTAGCAGGTCAACATTGGGGGGACAACAGTCAACATCAACCAGCCAGGATCAACACACAACTGTCTCACAGTCAACAGAAGAGCAGGCTCTGAATCCAGCCACAACAACCACGGTCAACACCATAAACACATGGAGTCAAATGGGTAAATATTGACAATGGTCACAAATATCTCCTCTTAAAACTTTCTCATTGAGTCATATGATGTAATTTCAAAATAAAGAAAAGTAAAGTGATTTTTTGACCAACTTTGAGTATCACAAACAGAGGAGGTAAATATCAGTCTGTGGTCAAACCTGGAGATCAATCAAAGCTCAGAACTTACTTTATCGGCTGACCAGTGCTCAGGATTGTCTTTGTCCTGCTGCAGTATGTGGCTGCAGCTCCCCAGATGCACTGATGTCAAAAAGTTGACTCACTCATTTCAAAAATCACATGTTCAAGGATCAGATGGAGTTTAGGAAGTGGCTGCTTTTTCCCAAATCCAAAGTGGTCCTGGGCTCTACATCAAGCAAAAAAACGACGTCTCATAAAATAAATCTCATTAAAAATTAGAATAAATTAATAACATCCAAGTTACCAAAGCTGGAAAACTGACTCTTCTCCTGTGGGTCTGTCCAAGGATCTCTGAAGAAGAAGAGGACAACTAATTACAAACTATCCTAATGCACCGCCTTCCAGCGCTCATTGTTTAACTGGCTGTTCCGAGCAGGAATGCCAGGATGTCTCCTCCCTCTGCCTTCAACCTGCTATCCCACCATAAACTGTATCCTGTGAGAAACAGGAGCAATGTGACGTTCAAATGCATCAGTTTGCTGAAACTGACTGTTTTTGCTCAAATATACAGTATTCAAAGAGAACAATCATTGACATTTAAACTGTACATGTTTAGCTTTTGCCTTAAAAAAAGGCACAATGAGCAGTTTCTATTCACTTAAACAGTCATTAGGGGGTTTTTCAAGTAACCGAACACAATAAAATGAATACTGATGCCTCCTAATAAGCTACAATAGCAGATGAGGCCTTCCTGCATGGATTTTTATTTGTAAGAAAATATGACTTTCACGTGAATAGGATGAAATAAAAGTTAAGGGGAGATGTTGCCATTTTGTCCACAAAGCTGAAAGTTCCTCAAGAGTTCAAAAAACTTTCAGCTCTTATTCACAAACTCATGTCATCACAGAAACATATCTAGTTGTGTTTTGCTTGTGTAAGTAATACACCCAAAAAAACTTGCTGAGAACATACGGAAAAGATGCACTTGTGAAAGTTTCTGAATCAGTGTCTGAAACATGAACACATTGTGAAAAAAGAAAAAAAAAACTGAATCCATCGGCCTTCGATCTTGTAGGGTTGTGTCTGTAAAGAAGAGAGCTAAAAATGAAAGTGTTATGAAAGAGTACTCGTGAATTAGGGTGGAGATAGATCTAGCACACAGATAAAAAAAAAAAACCGATTTCTTTATCTATGCACCTCTGAACTTTGATATGGAAACACTGTTCCAATACACGCTGTTTTCTTCATCCTGAGAAGCACTTGAACTCCAAATACTATTATTGTGTTTTTTCATCATGTTTGTGTCAAACAGATTTACGGTCAATGATTCAGTGTGCACAGGATGGCCTTTAAAGTTTTATTCCAGATCCAGATTTTGACTTTTGAAAGGAACACCCCATAAAACAAAACTGATAGTAGTTCCCTCTAATATTGCGCCAGGTGTACCTCTGTATTATTTCACTTGAGTAGTGGAGGATCCTTCAATAAGCGGGTGGAAGAGCAGCTTTTCAAATAGTACCACGCCTAAAATGTGCTCTTTGTGGTTTCTGGCATTGCGTTGCTTGCAATCTCTTGAGTTTCTTTGAAATTTCCCTAGAGTGAAAAGTTACCCTTTTTGCAGTTCCCCATTCAGTAAAACTGACTTTTAAAACACTTCATATTGTAAAGTTTCTAGTGTTTCATAACTCACTCTGTGTAAATATAACAGCGTAGGACTGCTTGTAAATTAGAGAATTGCAATTAATCCTAATCTTATTGTCAATATAGTTATAAATTTGCAACAAACACATTTTAGAGTGTAAACATGTCTCAATAAAGGAGAATACTTTCTGTAAGCCCACAGTGTTTTCTTCCTCAGCACAGTGTCACTTCACCAACCCACCAGCTGGGAAAAAAAGCTTGAGTATGATAGCCATGCTCAAATAACATTTTGATGGAGTTGCATGAATCTACAGCTATCGCCTAGTCTCAGATAGGGGATTGATGAGAATGATTTGGTATTCATAAAGGCTTCAGAAGGGCCATGTTACTGAGGCTGACATAAAAACTGTAAGATATAACTTACACTGCACTGTTCCTTATTTGTTCATTTTTTCCTGTTAAGCAGGGCTGCTATAAACATGTCTGAATTTAATTAGAATTTAAACATGTGATTTTTATTTACGTGAAGTCCACGGCAAATGTTGATCCATACTTTGCCTCAGAGTGAAAACGACGTGTCTTTGCTGTCCTCTTGTGGTTGTATGTAAAAACTGGAAGAAGAAACAGAAGTATGATGTGGTTCTGTGTAGATTTGGCTGGTAGATGCTTCTTTTTAATTAGATAGTTACAGAGCTGGCCCAAGTCTCAATGGGGCCCTAAGCAGAATTTGATTTTGGGGCCCTCTACTTCTGCCGATAATATTGATTGATGATCATTCACACACCTACTACAGTATAAATTTAATGCACCTGACATGTCTTTACATATATAAGGGGGTGGCCTAGGTAATAACATAAATAATACCAATGCAACCATACAAATAATACCAATGAATGACTGATGAATGATGTTCAGGGTGGTTTTAATCTCAAAATGTAACACAGTCAGCCTGGGGTTGATTTTCACAACGTTATTATTTTTACAATAATATACACTTGATCATACAGAAAGCATCACTTATACATGCAAAATATTATTATTATTATTATTATTATTATTATTATTATTATTATTATTATTATTATTATTATTATTATTATGCTCTAGGGGGGGGGCAAAATAGGCACTTAGTTCGCTTATGCCTTGGGCCGACACTGGATAGCTACGGGTATTTTGCTTCTAAGTCAGTTCCAATAAAAAAAATACCCAATTTTTTAAAAATACAACCTTCATAAAATGTTTGTTATACCTTCTAAAAGCTGCATATAAAGTGTATTTTTCCAGACCTAAAAAATGTTCATTTGGTTTCGAAGCATTCAGTGTAGCCAAATTTAAACTAGAAGTTGTTAAATAATGATTTTTCAACAAACTTTTATTAGCGCTACTCATCACCTTTTCTCGGAACTACTTAAACGACTTGCCAACATGCTCACTCCGGACCCCTTTGAGTGCGACACACGATAGCAAAGTGTGGAGGAGACATGTGGAAACCGTCGTGTTACTGCTGTAGCTTAGCCGACAGACGTAGATCCAACTTTTGAGTTAAAATATATAAATTACTTTATCGACATAGTAAGACTAGTGTCGAAAGGTGAAATCAAATGTGTTGGTAAAACAAAAGCGCTTTTAATTCTGCTGAAAAATGGGGAAATCAAAGGTAAGTAAAGATCTATGCTAGCTTATTAGCCGCCATTTAAAAGCGTTAGTTTGTGGGAAATATAGAAATTATCAACAGATTAACTTGTCGTCTGTGTCTTTGATACTGTTACCTTTATTAAACTAAAAGTTTGAGGCTGTAGTGAATGTGTTAAATCAAAATAAATGCTTTATGAGTTTTGCTGGTTTCTTGGACTGTAGTCTGAGCTCTCTGACAAAATCACGACCAAACTAAATGTCATGTTAATCGTGTTTTTGGTATGCAGTATTCTTCACCTGTTTAATCTATCCTTTCAGACCAAGAATCAGAAGAAAGCCCGAGCTCAAGCCAACCATGTGGCCGAGGAGACTTACGGAGTTATCCCCCACTCCTTCGTGTTTCATCGGGGTCAGATTGGAAAAAACGTGGGTCAGCTTATTCAGGACATGCGGAGGATCATGATGCCATTCACTGCAGAGTCCCTGAAGGTCTGTCTTTTGATAACAAGATCTTGACGATATGTTTTTAAAGGAATATTCTGGCGTAAAAGGGTCAAACACACCGTAACACCAATAGACACCCCCTCCAGAGATGAATGTTGCCGACTGCTTGCTTCTCTAGTTTTACCAACTTTAGTAACGGCCGCACGATAGCAATACAGAGAGCCACGTGCACACCTCAGCCAAAACGCCACTCTATAGCCACAAATAATGCTCAGAACAGCACCTAGCTTCATCAACAGTACATATAGGGTCGCAGCCACAGTACTAGCCACCAAACATCTTTTTAACTTTGCCTAATTTCTTTAGCAAAGAGACTAAACACAACTCACTTACTCTCTTCCAGTAGCCGCTTGTTTGTACAGAGACTTGGGCCAGTCCATTATGGTCTGCTGGTGGGTGACGCAGCTCAAGGAAGAACATTCATGATCATTTCTTCATAGAACAGCAATCAGACCGAGACGCTAAGGCAGAAGAACTACTGCGTCTGCTGTGCAAAATGACTAATATGGTGATTATTAGTTAAAGGAAATGATAAAGAAATGATCATAAATGTTCTTCCTTGAGCTGTGTCCCCCCCCGCTGCGGTCTGTAATGGACTGGCCCGAGGTCTCACCACAAACAAGCGGCTGCTGGAAGAGTTGTGTTTAGTCTCTTTGCTAATAAATTAGGCAAAGTTAAAAAGATGTTTGGTGGCTAGGACCCGATATGTACTCTTGATGAAGTTAGGTGCTGTTCTGAGCATTATTTGTGGCTATAGAGTGGCGTTTTGGTCGAGATTTGTTTATGGCTCCTCAGACCGCTGTGTATTGCTATTGTGCGGTCAATACTAAAGTTGGTAAAACTAGAGAAGCAAGCTGTCGGTAACATTCATCTCTCAGGGGGTGTCTAACTCAGTGTCATGGTGTGTTTGACCCTAAATTAATTTTACGCTGGAATATCCCTTTTGACATTGATATCACTGAACACACACATAGAATAACCCAGTATTTTGTATCAAGCATAAGATTTGCATGAAATCACTAATGGTGAAGCACTCCATCATGCTGTTCCTCACTCTGTATACCTGACCTGCTTGTGTTGGGTTGTTTTCATCAGATCAAGAAGAAGAATGTGCTGAAGGACTTTGTGGCTATCGCAGGACCACTGGGAGTGACACACTTCATGATCTTCAGCAAGACTCCCAGCACTTTAAACATGGTGGGTTTGGATCACACATCACAGCACTGCATAACAGTTTTTAAACGTGTCGTGTAATCCTGATCATGTTTCATTTGCTTTCAGAGACTTGCTCGACTCCCCAAAGGTCCCATGCTTCATTTCAGGGTGCTAAAGGTAAACAAAAGAATATAAACAACAGATTAATTGATAGCTGGGCTCAGGTGATGACAATTTAATGTTTGACTGTAAGTGATGTTTTCAAAGTAAACGCACTGATGCGCCCGCACAGCCAAAGTCCTTTTCCCCCCTCCTCTTCTCTTCCACTGTTGACATGGGTCTCTCTTTGCCCTCAGTACTCTCTCATCAAAGACGTGGTTTCATCTCTAAAGAAGCACAGGATGCACGATCAGCAGTTCACGCATCACCCGCTACTCATCCTCAACAACTTCGGGTCCGATGGCATGCACGTGAAACTGATGGCTACAATGTTTCAAAACATGTTTCCCTCCATAAATGTGCACAGGGTACGCCGTTTCTCCTCCTTCATCATCGTCTTTTCTTTGGATTGTTGAGGATTTAAAGCCTCAATGTTGGCATGATGAAAGTATAGTCTTCTGAGATTTCCTTTGAAGATTATTCAAAAGTAAACGCTTTCTGATCTTGTTTGAATCCTTGAGTCATTGTGCATATTGGAGTGTAATGCCAAATTCAGTTAAAAATGACAACATTGTTGTTTTCCAGGTGAGCCTCAATAACATCAAGAGGTGTGTGCTGGTGAATTACAACGCAGGCTCAGAAGAGATTGAACTGCGACATTAGTAAGTTAAAGATTCTTAATTATTCAGATAGCCATTGCAAAATGCATTTTTTAAAGGGAAATTCAAGCGTAAAATTAATTTAGGGTCAAACACACTGTAACACCCAAGTTAGACACCCCCTCGAGAGATGAATGTTGCCAACAGCTTGCTTCTCTAGTTATACCAACTTTAGAAACGACGGCACAATAGCAATACACAGCAGTCTGAGGAGCCATAAACAAACCTCAACCAAAATGCCACTCTGTAGCCACAAATACTTCATCAACAGTAAATATAGGGTCCTAGCCATAGCACTAGCCACCAATCATCTTTTTAACTTTGCCTGATTTCTTTAGCAAAGAGACTAAACACAACTCACCTACTCTCTTCCAGCAGCTGCTTGTTTGTATGGAGACTTGAGCCAGTCCATTACGGTCTGCTGGTGGGTGTCGCAGCTCAAGGAAGAACATTTATGATCATTTCTTCATGGAAATGCAGTCAGACCAAGATGCTTGGGCAGAAGAACTACCACGTCTGCAGTGCAAAATGATTAATATGGTGATAATTACGTCAAGGAAATGATAAAGTAATGATCATAAATGTTCTTCCTTGAGCTGCATCACCCCGCTGTAGTCTGTAATGGGCTGGCCCGAGGTCTCGTTACAAACAAGCGGCTGCTGGAAGAGAGTAGGTGAGTTGTGTTTAGTCTCTTTGCTAAAGAAATTAAGCAAAGTTAAAAGATGTGTGGTAGCTAGTGCTATGGCTGGGACCCTATATGTACTGTTGATGAAGTTAGGTGCTGTTCTGAGCATTATTTGTGGCTATAGAGTGGCGTTTGTGTTGAGGTTTGTTTATGGCTCCTCAGACCGCAGTGTATTGCTATCATGCAGTCATTACTAAAGTTGGTATAACTAGAGAAGCAAGCGGTCGGCAACATTCATCTCTTGGGGGTGTGTCTAACTTGCGGTTTTACGGTGTGTTTGACCTTGAATAATTTTTATGCGGAATATTCCTTTTTTTTTTTAAATGTTTGTTTCAGGGCTCAGATGATGACAGTTTTCTTACCTGATTGTTCAGTGATGTTTTTTCAAAGTAAACGCACTGATGAGCCACCACACATTCACTAAATATCTGTTAATCTTTGATGAAATGTCACTCTGACTCCTGTGATCGTGTCTCTTTCCTGCAGCAGCCTGAAGGTGGTCCCTGTAGGCATGAGTCGTGGCGTCAAGAAGCTAATGCAGGAGAAATTCCCCAACATGAACAAGTTTGAGGACATCAGTGAGCTGCTGATAAAGTAAGGCTCTCGTGAAGTTACAATTTTAGCTCGTTCTGGAGCCGCAGGAGGAATCATGATTTGAATAATTTCCTTGGTCAACCCTCAGGGGGGCGAACCTTTCAGAGAGCGAGGCAGAACAAGACGGAGAGCACAACATCACAGAGCTCCCGCAGGTCTACTCTGGCCGAGGCAACATGGCGTCCCAGCAGAGTGCAGTTCGTCTTACTGAGGTGAGTGTGCGTAGAGAGTGTGGCTATAAACAAAGCTGCGACAAGGGAGGAATCCAATGCAATCCGATCTGCTTTATTTATACAGCACATTTAAAAAAACAATTAAGTTAGCCAAAATTAAAAGAACAATTACTACAGAAAACATCACAAGGAAATAAGTAAAAGCAGGTAAAAATAAAATGAAATAAAAACACAAAAGCATAAGAGAAATAAAAGTGATAAAAGGACAGATCACACAACTCTCATGCCGAACTAAAAGCCAAGGAGTAAAAATGAGTTTTAAGACGTGATTTAAAAGTATAAAGTGTGGGGGATGTTTTTGATCTCGAGTGGCAATTCGATCTGCAATTTGGGAGCCACAGCCGAGAAAGCTCTGTTGCCACGGGTTTTCAAACAAGTTTTCGGGACGACCAGTTGGAGCTGATCAGTAGACCTCAAGGAGGAATGGTGCTTAATTGTTGCCCTGTGCTCACCACAGATCGGCCCTCGCGTGACTCTGCAACTGACGAAGATACAAGACGGCATGGGAGAGGGGAATGTCCTCTATCACTCCATCGGTGAGTCTAAACTTGATCTTTCTTGTCAATGTCTCCTGATGCACATGATGAAAAGAATCTGTATGACTGCTGTGATTTCTCTCTAAAAGTAAACGCTTACTGATGCATCTGAAGACGTACGAGTTCTCTCTAGATCTGGCACCGATTGTGTCTACATAAGAGCGTTTTTTTTTTTTTTTTCTATGATTGCCAGTCTCAAAGACGGAGGAGGAAATACAGGAGATCCTGAACAGAAAGGAGGTGCAGCTGAAAGAGAAACAGGAACGCAAGAAGAAGCAGGAGCAGAATGTTGCTCAGAAGAAAGAGAAAAAAGAAGAGAATAAGTAAGTTTTAGACGAGGGGATTTGCTTTTGCTTTTTGGAGTAGAATTAAGTGTAAGACTACTTTTGCTCATCTTTTAATAGGAAAAAGAGCTTGGCGGGCATTAAGAGGAAGCAAGCCGAGGCTGAAGAGGACAGCGAGGTGGAGGATCCTGGTGTGCAGGACGATCGGGCTGCTGCCGTGGAATCAGACGATGAGGTGGAGTACTACAGACAGGCTGTAGGAGAGGAGCCAGATGAAGGTGAGCGCAGTGGGTGTGCTTAAAACAAGCCAACGTGCTCTGGTCCAGTTTAAAATGCAGTTATTGACCCAGATATTTTACTTTTTCTGTGCAGACATGTTCCCTAGTGCCAAGAAAAGGCAGAGCTCAGACAAGACTCACGGACCTGCCAAAAAGAGGAAGCTGGCTCCCGGTGAATCAAGAAAAGAAAGAGATGCCAAATCACCGAAGAAGAGTGGTCCAAGAGGAGTGCGTAGGGACAGTACAGAGAAAGGATGGAAGAAACCCAGAGATGGGGAGAAAGCATTTGGAAAGAAAATGAAGCCAGGAGGGAAGACATTCAAAGGAAAGACATTTGCAGCAAAGAAAGCTGGTGGGGAGAAATTTGGTGGCAAGAACAAATTCGAAGGGAAGAAAACATTTGGGGGGAAGAAAAACAAAGACAAACCTTTCAAATCTAAAGGTCAGAAAGGAAAGCCAGGCTTCAAGAAGAAAGGAGCGGGAGCAAAGCAAGGCTTTAAACAGAGGAAGGGGAAAGGCTGAGGTCTAGCGCCACCTTCTGGACTCAAAAACTGAATGTGAGGTTTTGCTGGAGCAGAAGAGGGCAGCAAGGATCCATCTGATCTGCTGGTGGAGCCTGAACCTTTGAGTGCCTGGCTTTGGGAGTGACTGTTTGAGGATGTTTGTTGGTGAAAATCAGCAGAGGGGTGAATGAGAATAAATGTGCTTTATTTTCATACTGTATGAGTTCATATTAAAAATGTACCTGCTCTATAAAACGTTTAAAACCACCAGAACAATGACCGTCATGTTGAGGTGACAATGCAGCCAGTTTGTAAGGACTTTTGAAATAATAATAAAATAATTACAATTATAAGTTTTCCCTTTTTTTCCAGTCTCTTTTTGAATGGTTAAAGTCATTTTCCCATCTTTCTGTAGGTCATTACAGAAACTGATGTTAAATCTAATGTCTTCATTCATTTAAACTTTTAAGTAAACCTAAATCTTTGTGATTAAAGTGTATCATAAGTTTGAAACCAATAGTAAACCGTTCATATAATGTAGTACAGCTCCAGGGACAGGAATGGACAGGTTTGGGGATATTTCTCTAGAATCTGAAGAATGCATGCGGCGTTTGTTTACCTAAACGTCGTCGACTTCCGGGTTTACCTTTTAAATATTTTCAGTGAAGAGATTTTCTCCTGCCTCACCTGACATGTTTTCATGTTCACCTGTCTTTAATGTACCTGTCTGAGTTTCCTGCTCTCATGTCTGAGGAGGACCGAGACGGAGTCACACCTGCGCTGCTGTGAGTACAGACCATAGACTGTATATAGAATATACAGTGAATAGGATCAATACGATCAGATATGTTTGTTATCTTTGTTCTATGATTTGGGTAAGTGTGCCGATTTCAGGACAACGTGATGCAGATACAGAGGCGATAACAGAACTATCCTAACGTTGCTATAATTGACGTGTAATTCACGTTAATTGACTGAACACAAAATTTAATGAATGGTTTTTCATATCCTTATGTATGACATAAAAGACACTGGACTCGTTTATTTATTTAATTATTATTATTATTATTTTGTTTTGTTTTGTTTTGTTTTTTTGCGGCGTTCCCGGATGAGGATGAGGGATTTATGTAAAGTGATGCTTCTTACCATGCTCAAGAATTTCATTATAACCTTTTCTGAAAAGTTAGTAGTTAAATTTTTATCAATCTAGGACTGTCCGTTTTCCTACTACAGAGTATTAGGGCCACTTTAAGAAAAAATAAATTAAGACCCCGAGATTAAAGTCATTACTTACTTCTGATAATGCGGTGCTGATGTGCCAAACGATGAAGTATCTCCTTGTTTGAGAAACATATATTGAATTACATTTTCATGACATGCTCCATGGCTCTTATTTTAACATGTCATCTTAAACAACAGGTTAGAATATAACCTCTCGTAATTAATTACTTTACTACGACTTTATTCTCGTTACTCATTCCTTTAATCTCATAAATTAATGACTTTAATCTCGAAGTCTTAATTTTTTTTTCTCGTCGTATTTTTTCAATACATACAAATTAAGAGCACCAACAAACTTTAACGTAACTAACATTCAGCTAAATTGAGTCATAAATATGTTTATTGAACGCGCTCATATCTTCATGGACGGTGAACTGAGCCGCCCGGTTTATAACTCATGAATGGGAATGGGAGTTGTTGTAGTTCATTCCTGGGACAGTGACCTATGCTCACATTCCGAGAGGGGACGGAAGGTGCCGAGAGACGAGGGGAGTTGCCGAGAGGTGACAAGCAGAGCTGCAGATCTGCAGCACTCTCCATGCATTCAACATGGTGACAGAACATATTTTGTCTCATAAGTAAACAATTCGATTTGCAGTACATGTGAGACAGGTGGCTTTGAACATTTGCTATAATGGTGCTATAAGAGTATACAGTGATTTATTTGTTTTGGGAATTGCCTTGGGGGATGGGGATTAAAGCATAGTTGACTGGTGAAAAAAGGAACTTGCAGCTAAAAATGAACGTAAACTAGTTCCTTTTTTTGGATGATTAACTAAGTTCAGATTTTTATGAACAACACTATGAACATGAAGTAGCTCATGTTAATTGGTGTAAACTGAACTTTGAAGTAGGTCATTTTCTGTGTGAGCTGGCACAACACTACCACCAGTCTCTTTAAATAGTGAAGGTCACACACTTCCTGTGCAATCATTATAGACCTCTGTGCACTGTAAAGAGGACCTAGCACCTTGCACTTTTGTATTTGGCACTTACACAGTATGCTTGTCTTTAAATACCTCTGTGTGTTTTATTCCTATTACTGATGTTTGTTTTTGATTTATGTGTTTACAGCAACCTGCTAACCTGGGACTGGGTTAGGAAATTAGCCACCAATTTGTGAATTTCCCAGTTTGGGATCAATAAAGTCTATTGGGACTGGGGTTGGAAATTAGCCACCTGGTTGTGAACGTTTAATAATGCATATTGTCCCATTTTTTTAATCAATCTCAAATCTTAATCCTTTATATGAACTGTGGCCTGTTCATTACCCGTTTGTTTTGCCAGCACTTGCCATGTGATGGCATGCAATGTCATCATTGGTTCTCAAAATTGTGAAATTTGTGTAGAGGGTTAAGAGGAAGTGACTTCCTCTTAGATAAGTCTCTCTTGCCTACCATGTTTCACTAAGACAATCATGATTCAAGCGGCTCTTTTTCACTCTTTTAACTTTCTGATATCACACAGGAAATCAACGTTAACTATCAGCAAACGGTTCATACTACAGTGCGCCACAAGTCTGCCACTGGGTAAGTTGGAGTTTGGCCTTTTTCTTATTGATAAATTAAATCGTTTATTCTTAAAGCCTGGGATGTTTTATGTATGGCTTTAGTAAATCTATTAAATTAAGACAGCTTTTCCAATTTCCCATACTACACAAACCAGTCCTGAAATGTACTAAAACTTGTTTAAAAACTAAAGTGATATTCATTGAAGTGATGAAATTTGATACCACATATTTATTTACAGATATTGGACAGTACTGAGTGTGTGAAAGCAGCCAAAAGCAACATGAAGCACAATTTCGGTGACTGTGAGAGGTTTCAGATTGCCTTGCTGCCTTCTGTGTATGGAGTTGAGTTTATCGTTGCCCTGGCGGGAAACCTGTTCGCCCTGTGGCTGCTGGTGGTCAGAGAGAGGAAGAACTGGCACACTGGAGTTGTCCTGTCTTGCAACCTGGCAATAAGTGACCTGCTGTATGTTCTGACCCTGCCTCTGCTGATAGTCTACTACGCACTCGGGAAACACTGGGTGTTTGGGGACTCTGTCTGCAAGATTGAAAGATTTCTTTTCACCTGCAATCTGTATGTGAGCATCTTCTTCATCATGGCCATAAGTGTGAATCGGTGTGTGGCCCTCGCATGGCCCTTCTTTACCAGATCCCACGTAAGACCTGCCCACGCAAAGGCCGTCAGCATCGTCATCTGGATCCTTGTGGGAGTCATTTCCTGTCCTGTGTTGAAATTTGCTTCAGTTTGCCCTAATAAGTACAATAACAACACATTGTGTGTGTCTTTCTGTGAAAAGAGTCAAGGGAAGGAAAGCCCACATGTCACTTACAGAATCTTTCTTGCTGTGTTTGGGTGCCTAGTTCCCTTCTTGGTTACTTTCGCTTCTTACTGCGTGGTTATTTGGGTGGTTTGGAAAAATGTCAATATAACCACACTGGAGAAACGTAAGGTAGCCCTGTTAGTCTCATCAGTCCTCGTGCTATATGCCATTTCTTTTCTTCCTTACCATTTCTTTCAAAACTATCACTTGTATCTAAAAAAACGGGACCCTGACAAGTCTGGCTGCTGGGTGTACGACATGTATCAAGTGTCAAAGGGACTGGCAACTCTGAACATGTGCATCCATCCAATCCTTTACATGGCTGTGTTTGACAGTATAAGAGTAGCTTGTTGTGGAAAGAGCCAAGAGGACGACTACCAGGAGGGAACGAGAAAATAGAAAGGCCTGAGGATGGTGTTTATCAGCTTTTTTATATAACATGATTGTACCATGACTTAAAATGTGGGCAGATTTTACTTAATTACAAGATTGTAAAACACTTGCTCTTATCTCTTGACTTGTTTTTGTGGGTTTTGTTGGAAGTTATTTTTGTGCTAACTCTGTTATATAAAAATATATTTTTGAGATGTTTTTGTAGGTGTAATTTTTCTTGTTTGAGTTTTTTAATGCTTCTAAATGTACTTATTGTATGACCACTTTAAATCACATCAGCGAGTAAGAATTTGAGCAGAGTAATTACAGATGTGATTATTGTCTAGAATTGATTAAATGTGTACTTATATGATAAACAACATGATCAAATTTGATGTGAAAGACATTATCTAAAAAATCAGTACAAGAAAAAGGATACAAGTAGTGGTCTATGAGGAAGTGGTTTTTAACATTTTAAGTGAAGCAACAGACATCAAAATGACATGGCTAGAAAATCAGTTTTTGTAGGGGGTGTAGCAGCAGATCACAAATTTCACAACTCTGACCAGATCACAGATTTAGACTTCGACAGACTATTATTGTCATTCATATGTATTTTTATCTATTATACGCTTTTCAACTGGTACAATAACTCTTTTATTATTATCGCATATAACTGCTACAAAGATGTTTTGTAAAAAGCCATTTTAACATGAGAATGTCTTTAAGTGATTCAGAACATTCACAGCTGTATTCTTGAAAAGAAAAAGTAACACATTTCAACAATCTGAACTGAAACTCTGATCCTCTCATCAGACTCCTTTACTTTCTCAGTTGAGCCCCTGGCTTAACTTATCCCTGAACTACTATGATGAAGTTAAAATGGTGGACTTTTATGTGAGGGTTTTTGACCTCATGTTGTAGCTCATAGATACAATTGATGTACTAAACAAATTTTAAATGATCCTTTTTTTGACTGAACATAATTCTCATAAAACTTATGACAGACTAAATTCACTTTCAAGAGTGAAAAAAATATTTTGAAATAAATGTCTAACCCCTTCACCCATGTGCTTCTAACCTTCACAGACTCCGTGAATTGATGCCCAACTCCTAAATTTCTTTTACCATTTTCAATCAACAGGGGGTGGCTCAACTTACCCCATTCTCTCCTACAGCAGATTTTATAAGACAATGGTAATAATAAAAAATGACCTTTATTGTGAAGCCTCGTGTTTTAATAAAAAGCAGTACTTTTATTGTGAAATTTCAAACCGGAAGTATTAGCGGCGGCGCTTTGGCTCGGCTCACGCAGTTCCGTTCTTTGCAGCCCCGAAGCTAGGCTATGTAAGAGGATGCCGTCGATGGAATACGACGAGTGAGTTTTATTATGAGTTTTAAAGCAATTTATATGTTCTGTTGGCATTTTATTTATCTGATATTGCATATCTTTCCAGCTCCAAGCCCAGCTGGGCAGACCAGGTCGAGGAAGAAGGAGATGAAGGTAAAGAGTTTGTCAGTTAGCTTCTGTCACAGGAGGAGGCCGTTTAGGCGGCTTTCACTTCCACGTGGTTCCTCATCTTATAAAATGTATCCACTATTTGTGTAAATTATAACTTTTTATATAGGGGCACGAGTCAAAGACCTTTGTGACTGTCATTAAACATCGATGAAGAAGTAGAATATGGTGTCCACAGATGTAACGGTCTGTTGACAGTGGCCTGTTCCCGGCTAAAGAGAACTAGCACAGGGCTAACCGGCGCATTAATAACCTGTGTGTTAATGTCAATAAAAACACGAATGTAATCGCTTCCTGAGAGTGTTACTTATGTTAAAGCTGTTGTATTAAACGGCATTAGATTTCCCTTATTATGCTAGATGTTATATGTGTTTGAACCACAGATCAGATCTTCATTGTTTCTGCTAACGATAGTGTTGACAGCATACGGAAAACCAAATGATAATAATCATATAAAGTCCACTGTTTCTGGCTTATTTTTTAATATGTTACTTAAACCTTTTTTTTCAGGCACACTACCACCCCCGAAAGAAACCATCAAAGGAAACATTAAAACCATAACGGAATATAAAATCGATGATGATGGGAAGAAGTTCAAGGTAATTTAAGATTTATTGAATAATACGCTTCATCTGTTAAAATTCCTTACAGTTCTGTCTTTTACACAACTGCATCACTTCTCTAGCATAAATTTTGTCTGTATAGTAGACACATATTCGCCCAAGATCAGACTCAAGAGTGTTGTTTTTTTTCTGGTCTAAATTTTTACCAGTTGAAAGTTCAGATTTGCAATTTTACTTGACAGCACAGGACACATTCACTCTTTACTTTGAATTGAATAGATGTACTGTCGCAATCTTAATTAAGCAAGTGATTCAATGTAGAAATCTAACTATGGACAATAAGTAGGTAGGTAGTAACTGAGAACTAGGGCCCGACCCATATGGATTTTTGGGGGCCGATGCCAGTACCGATTATTAGGGCGATTACCGATTAATCGGCCGATTTTTTTACAATTTTTTATGAAGTAAAATAAATTTATATGTGTGTGTGTATATATATATATGTGTGTGTGTGTGTGAGTATATGTATATGTATGTGTACTGTAGATATCTACAGTGTATATATAACCAACAATACAATATACAACCAACAAGACTATACAAGAATAATAGTGGAAAGCATGTTCATTTACTTTATCTGATTTGAAGAGTATATATATATATATATATATATATATTGAAGTACTGATAATTGTATAAAGAGAATGTATCTGTATAATGTACTCGATGTATGGTGTAAGGGGTAGGTCTTTATAAGCATTGCTTCTGCCTACATCCTTTCGGTGATATTATACCGAAATAAATAAATCATTCATCCATTCATTCAATTAATTCTCACTGATAACCACTTAGTAGCACTGACGTTGCAAAAGCAGACCTTAATAACAGTGGAAAACAGACGTATAACTTTGAGTTATTCCTTAATTTCTGTATGTTTTGTACTAAAAATTGTCTGTTCTGAACATATTTTTATACCTTTTTCATTAAGTGAACCATTTAGACCTGTTCAGTGAAAGCCATTATTACATTTGCTTTATTTTTCTCTCTGCAGATTGTGCGCACTTTCAAGATCGAGACACGGAAAGCCTCTAAAGCTGTTGCCAGGAGAAAGGTTGGCTTTCAAATGAAAAGATGTCAAAGACTTTGGGTTAAGATGGATGTTTACATTCTCTTCATCTCTCCTTTCAGAACTGGAAGAAGTTTGGAAACTCTGAGTTTGATGCACCAGGTCCTAATGTTGCCACCACAACAGTCAGCGATGATGTCTTCATGACTTTCATCTCAAGCAAAGAGGTGAGAATTTGTGGCAAGCTGAAATATTTTGTGCTACTACTGACTGATATATATTAGGCGCACAAGTTCGGTTGGACTCATTTTCTCATCTCATCATCATTTCCTCAGGACTTAAACGCTCAGGACCAAGATGAGGATCCTATGAATAAACTCAAAGGACAAAAAATTGTGTCTTGCCGTATTTGCAAAGGCGACCACTGGACCACCCGCTGTCCATACAAAGACACTCTGGGCCCAATGCAGAAGGAGCTGGCCGAACAGCTCGGACTTTCCACTGCAGACAAGGAAAAGCCTGCTGGCTCTGGTACCATCGGAACACCTTTCACGTTATCAGACCCAGAGATATGTATCATGGTCCACTGTTAGAAATAGTGGATGGCTGTTCCTAAATCTGTGACTGATGTTGCCTTCCTGTCCTCTCTTTGACCAGCGGAACCAGAGCCTGTACAGCCAGCGCAGAGCAAGACTGGGAAATATGTGCCCCCGAGTCTGAGGGATGGAGGCACTCGAAGAGGGGAGTCCATGCAGCCTAACCGGAGGGGTGGGTAAAAGTTTGAGCAACGAAACCCAGTTTAAACCCAGAAAAGAATCACTCAGTATTATTAACATATGTTTGCACATTACAGCTGATGACAATGCTACCATTCGTGTTACAAATCTGTCTGAGGACACCCGTGAGACAGATCTGCAGGAGCTCTTCAGACCATTTGGCTCCATTTCAAGGATCTATCTGGCCAAAGACAAGAACACTGGCCAGTCAAAGGTAAGCGTCGCCTTCATGAAAGAATTACATCCATATATATGATCTTTATATTTACCAAACTAATAATTTTTTGGAGTAAAACGAACAGTGAAACTTATTTGAAAGACCAAGAAAATTCATCCATGGACTCATTTGTTCCTGCAGGGATTTGCTTTCATCAGCTTCCACCGTCGGGAGGACGCAGCCAGAGCCATTGCTGGAGTGTCAGGATTTGGATATGATCATCTTATTCTCAATGTTGAATGGGCCAAGTAAGTGCTTGTTAGCTCTGTGAAATAAGTGACAGCGTGCTGATAACTGCTGGTGCTGATAATGTTTTCTTTTCTTTTCAGACCTTCAAACAACTGAGGAATACACGAGAATAAATTCCAGGATGCTGCCAGATTTTATTGTTGAAATAAAATATGGTTGTTGCCTAAATAAAGAGAATCAGTGTTGATACTTTTTCTTGTTCAACTTTCTAACTTTTACAACTCATAGAGGAACTTCTCTTGTTTCTAATATGTCGTTTCTTGAATGGGTAGATTACTGTTCAATTGAGGACTTAGTATGTTGAGATGACCATCTTTGTTAAGGTTGGATTTTGAAAAAACTCATGTTTGGCTAAAAAAGTTCAAATGTGGAAACTGAGGATCCTTTGTCGGCTGTCATGATTGGCTTTTAGCTGCTCTTGCAAGTGTTCCAAAATAAAACTAATAAACCACTTCCATCTAGTAATTCTTCATTGCAACCATTAAAGTTTTAACATCTCTGTGTGTTCATCTCTCCATATATACATATCCATATATCCCTATATATGTACAGCTAGGATGTCAAAGGGATATTGTGGCGTAAAACTAAGTTAGAGTCAAACACACCGTAACACAGAGTTAGACACCCCCTCGAGAGATGAATGTTGCCGACCGCTTGCTTCTCGAGTTATACAAACTTCAGTAACAACCACACGATAGCAATACACAACAGTCTGAGGAGCAGTAAACTAACCTCAACCAAAAAGCCACCCTATAGCCACAAATAATGCTCAGGACAGCACCTAACTTCATCAACAGTACATATAGAGTCCCAGCCATAGTACTAGCCACCAAACAGCTTTTTAGCTTTGCCTAATTTCTAAAACTAAACACAACTCACCTACTCTCTTCCAGCAGCTGCTTGTTTGTAGCGAGACCTTAGGCTAGACCATTACGGACTGCAGTGGGGTGACACAGCTCAAGAAGAACATTTATGATCTTTACTTTATAATTTCTGTTAATATGATGATTATTAATCATTTTGCACTGCAGATGTGGTAGTTCTTCTGCCTTAGGGTCTCAGTCTGATTGCATTTCCAAGAAGAAATGATCATAAATGTTCTTCCTTGAGCTGCTTTACCCCACTGCAGTCAGTGATGGACTTGTCCAAGGTCTCCCTACAAACAAGCAGCTGCTGGAAGAGAGTATGCCATGGCCAGGACCCTATATATATATTGTTGGTGAAGTTAGGTGCTGTTCTGAGCATTATTTGTAGCTGTAGAGTGTTTTGGTTGAGGTTTGTTTATGGCTCCTCAGACCGCAGTGTATTGCTATCGTGCGGTCATTACGAAAGTTGTTATAAATAGAGAAGCAAGTGGTCAGCAACATTCACCTCTCTGGGGGGTGTCTAACTCTGTGTTTCAGTGTGTTTGACCCTAAATTAATTTTAGGCTAGAACATCCCTTTAAGCAGCAGTTGCCGTGCCTGCCCACATTACAGTTGTCTAAAATTAACCAAATATCCAATTCTGAGAATGAAACAAGCTAAAATATTCAATACATCTACCAAATTGAAACCTGTGCCTGTATCCCTTCACTCCCACATGTTTGAACAACAACTTCACAAATAATTGATAAGAGCTTTATTTGAAACATTAAAAACTACATACAATTTGTCCCACACGGGGCAATCATTTCCCAACATCATGATGAAAAGCACATTTAAAACAGATTTTAAATAAACAATGAATGGAATGGCACGGCACAGAATATCCATGGTGACCACTTTAGTGACACAGTTGAAAGCCAGCTTATGGAATAGAAATGACGGCCCTACACAGCTTTGTGGAACTGATTCTTGCTGGAGAGGGAACTTAATCAGAGACCTCCATCTTCTCTTGTTTGATGTTTTCTACAAAATAAAAATAAAAAACAGCACATTTGTAAAAACAGTTCATGCATATTCAGGGTTGAAATTTAAGTAACTACAGAAAAAGTCACCTTGTGCTTGCTCTTTCTTCACTCTGCTCATGGCACATTTTTTGATCTCCAGGCCAATGGCTCTGGAGAGAGGAGGGGGCACAGCGTTTCCAACCTGAAAGAAACAGAAGGAGTCATTTAAAACTTTGACTCAAAGTTTTAAAACGTTCAAGTTGTCAGGAGAACTTTGTTAAAATCGAGAGGATTTTAAATTTTCTGAAGCAGCCCTCAGAGAGATAAGGTTTAGATTTACTGTAAATCCAAAAGCACAGCCAGAGCTTATGCCTCTTTGGGTTACTGATCAATTGATCATTAATACAGATCTGTAGTATATAGAAGTGTAGTATGTTTCAAAACTAAAGCACAGTCCGGTCATAAGACCAAAGGTTTACCTGTCTGTGTTTGTCCAGGATGTTTCCGAAGAAGCGATATGTGTCAGGGAATCCCTGAGAGCGTGCGCACTCCCTCACACTGACCACTCTGTGCTGCTCGGGATGCAGAACACGGCCCTGAAGGAGAAAAAAATATTAGATCCAGATGCAGGAGATGCATTACAATCCTTGAAATTATCAAGTTCATGGCGATCAAATTATGAAATCTTAAAAGTCTGGGTTAAACTGCAAATCAGTGGATTATGGATTACGTCTTAAAACTTGCAGAGATAAAAACTTTCAATGAATGATCGAAACAGACTCCATGAAAAGCTGGCGTACCTGCTTGCCCATGGGTTCAGGATTGGTGACGGTTGTGCTGAAGAAACCGTCCCATTCCAATCTGCCGTAGAGTCCAGCCCAGTGGTTGTGGCGGTTCCCGGTGTGGGGCAAACACCAAGGGATCAGGGTGTTGAACTGCCTGTCTGCGGGGTCGCATGGCTTCCCTGACGCGGCAAACAAAATCAGAGATGTGTTAATGCTCGACGTTGAATCTCTTATTTTTGGCACTAAAATAGAAAAATCAACCTGCGTACCTCCTGCACAAGTGCAAACACCTCTGAGTGCACCCGTACTGCTGCGTCCATTCTTTTTGTCAGGATGGGTGTATCGGAGTTTCTTGGTCATGGTGCCGTCTCTCAGCCGGACTTCCATGTTGGGCAGGTCCCTCCAGTCAGAGCCCGGAGCCAAGGGGATGTGACGCATACGGCCTTCAACCAGAGCACTCATGTCCTGAAGAGAGAGAGAAATGACGTCTTTATCCTCAACTAGGAAAGAAGTGATCGTGTACATCTACATGTTTCTATCAAGCACCGCTCACCTTGCAGATATGATCTCTGAGGATTGGTTGATACTGTGTGCCTCTGATCTGCCGCTGGAACCAGGACTGAGGCTCCCCGTTGTAGGAGATCTCTAATGCAGCAGCGCCGTTGCGGATTTCAGGCAGGTCAGACATGGTGTCCCTGACAGTGATGGTCCTGTAGATTCCTCCGTTACCTCTGTTGAAGACAAAAGACTGTCTAGTCTGCAATCACACGGCCAATAAACAGTATCTATAAAATTCACAGAATATTTGCACTACCGTGTGACGTTGCTGACGTATTTCTTTTCGTCCACCACGACGCTCAGAGAACAGGCTCTGGGAGCGAACACGTGCAGAGGCTCAGGGTAGCGAGGTAGCTCCTCTCCGGGTGCAGCAGCAAGGATGATGGCCCTGCGCCTGGTCTGAGCAACTCCGTACTGACCGGCCTGATGAGGACAGGAAAAGAAAGAGGGAAAAAAAAAGTAAGTTAGAGGTGACTACAGTCAATCTGAGTAAGACTCTAAATGTTATTTGGATACATCTAAATTCTGTCCACCTTTAAGTACCAACCAGTTCACCCAGACTCACCTGAAGGACACCAAAAGTACACTGGTAGCCCATGCGCACCAGACAGCGAAGAGTCAACTTCAGGACCATGGAGCTTTTGAATGAAACAAAGTTCCTCACGTTCTCCAGGAGGAAGAACTTGGGTCTGTAGTAATCGCAGTAACTGCAAGAGAAGAGAACTATGTAAGTGTGCACTGAATAGTCTCCACTGTAGAAAACTTCACTCACAGCGGCGAGAATCTGCTCGCATCTACACTGACCTGAGATAAGAGACCACCAGTGAGTTCTTGAATGCTGAGTAAGTGCGAGAGTTGAAGCGGTTCATCCCACTGAAGCCTTGGCAGGGAGGTCCTCCACACAGCATCTCCACGTCCCCCTTCTGAGGCAGCTTCTGACCCAGAGAGTTTGTCTTCTCTCCGGACATGACCAGCTTCAGCAGGACGTTGCAGTCCTCGGTGAACACTGTGGTGCCTGGGTTGTTGAGCCTGAAGGCCTGTGCTGCGGGCTCCCACATCTCGATGGCCCACAGAGTCTCAGAGATACCTGAAGGCGATCAGCAGACAGGTCATCATCACAAAATGCTGTCAATCAATGAAAGTTGGAGGTCAGATGACATGGAACGAGCATTTACCAGCCTGGTGGAAGCCTTCAGAAAGTCCACCGCAGCCAGAGAACACATCCAGTGTGCGATATTTGGGCACTTTGGGAGCCTGTGGTTCACTCTGGGAGTCCTGTGGTTCCTGTGCAGCTGATGCTTTTCCTTTGCCTTTACCTTTTAGAGAATAATATGATAATTGGATAAGGAGTCCAGTGAGCCTTAAAAACATACTTTAAGTATTAAAACACTATATATTTACCTTTCCCTTTTCCCTTGCCTTTGCCCTTATTAGTAGCAGAGCGAGCATGATTCGGAGGGTCCTCAAAACTCTTGGTTTTTGCATTGTAGGCCTAAAAAAGAAATGTGTGAAGTGTAGTACAGAGAGGACAAACATTTAATATAAGGCAGCAGGGATAACATTTCAAAAAAAAGGGGGAAGATGCTTTACACCAGTGGTTCTCAACTGGTGGGTCCAGTTATAAATATTTAATGCGATATTTATTTGACATTTTCTGTATAAGCAACTTCAGTAGTTGTCGTCCTCATGTTGTCCCCTTCATGTGCTCTGAAATGCACTTTACTCAATAAAACAAGCAGATTTATGTTAAAGATTAAAGTTTTTAAAGTTTTTTTTTTTTTTTTTAATAACAAATAAATTTGCTTGGTCTGAATTCTATAAAAGTGGGTCACGACTTAAGGATCGTGGGAAAATGTGGGTCCCAGAGTGAGACCAGTTGAGAACCACTGCTTTACACAATACCAACATGCTGGCAGCTCTGAACTGATGCAATAAAAAGGGTTTTACAGATCATCTATAATTACTGCCCTTGTATAGAGTATCAACAACCCTCACCTCAAGAAAGTAGAAGCGATCGGGTCCATTACTGGAATAGTCCTGGACTGATTCGTTCAGGTCTTCACCGTATTCCACCTGACAGCGGCCGAGGACGTCAGACATGCTGACGGTCACTTCTTCATCGCTCCAGTATAACTGGTTGATGTCTGTGTGGTAACTGGCTTTGACGCCTTTGTGTGTGTTCTCCGGCCTGGCAAACAAAAGGAAAAAAATTGAAATGTTTTTTTCTTTTTTAGACAAACCCTGAGAGGCAGTCATGTTCAAAAATGACATTTGTTACCTGTATAACTTGTAGACCCGCAGTTTGACCTCTGCCGAGTCTGGTTTCCCGTTGCTCCGCCTGTGGCAGAAGATCTCCTTGATGCGCCCGATGCGGAATGGCTCCGGAGCGTCCAAGTTTGACCCTTTGATATAGTCTGAAGACTTCCTGTAGTACTCTGGATACAAGTCCTCATCCACATCGTCTTTTCTGTGAGAGCGCTTCACCGGACTCGCTGGCTTTACGCTAGTCACCCGAAACAAAAGTGCAGAAGTTTAGATACATTCTCCTAATCGTACATGTCAGAGTGAAGCACAAACAAAGTGAGTTACCTAAAATTAAAAGTTTCTGGAGGCAGGTAGACACTGTCTCCAACCTTGAACTGCTCCCCCTTAAAGCAGGCCGAAGCATACAGGGCCTTGGAGTCGACGTTGCTGTCCTCCAGGGGTTCAGAAACACAAGGTGTCTCATTGTTTTCTCTGCCTTTAGTTCGAACACAGCTGCCACAGAACCTAAAAGCAGACAGGAGCGCACTCATCACGTGTTCCAAGACAGAGAAAGGATAAATCATGGGTAAATTATAAACACGTTGATGGCTCTTACTTGAACTTGCAGTCGTCTACTTGAGTGGTCTTGGGCGGAGTCACAAATCGGGCAAAGTCGGTGTCATACCAGAACTGATAGAAGAAACTCTTTCCATCATCCTCGATGACTCTGAGGTCTACATCTATGCCCCCCTAAGATACACGAAAAAAAAAGGGATCAGGAAAAATGTATGAGGGAAAAAAAAACACATTTCATATGCTGCCAAGTGAGCGTACCTCCATGAACCAGTTGTTGGAGGGAGCCTTGTAGGTGACATTCACTTTCCCTTGTACGTAGTTGAGTAGCATGTCTTCACATTCATCAACAATGACAAGCTCCAGCGGATCAGAACACTCCCCCAACACTGTGTGAATCCCTCGCAGGAACCAGTGGGCGTGGAACATCTTTCCATTGTTGTCTTCCCACAGAGACGTGATCCTGAGACGGAGTTCATTATAGATTTAGAGATGCCACGAAGACAAGATGCGGTTAAAAAGAATCTAAAAGTGTCGTACCTCGCTAGATACAGAGGGATGCTTGGATCCTCTGATGAGACGGAGACGCAGTCGCCCACCTCCAGCTCTTCATCATTCACACAGACCTTCTGGTAGTACTGCTTCTTCCCTTCAGTCTGGAACAAAAAGAGGTTTTATATAAAACACATCGTTCCTGGCTTTCAGGAGGTCTTTACAGCAACAACCCTAGATAAAGACACATACCTGGATAGGATCCCCGATCCATGTCAGTTTGCACTGGCTCTGCTTCTTCCTCTTAGCATGAGCAATCTTTTTGGCCTTCTCTGCAGGGACATCTTCCTCCTCGACAATCTCATCATCTTCAGCCTCTTTGACCGCAAGGTTTGGGCATCTAAACAGAGGATTGTGGGTTGAAAATATTTCTCTTCATTAATTGTATGAAGAGATATGTGTGTATGATTTGCAAAAGGGCTGCAGGTGAAAGAAATCGAAAAGCCACTCAGGAAACGTTGCTCACCGTCTCTGCTTACAAGCCTGCTTGCTTTTTCCACTTCCTCCAAATTTAATCATGTCCTTACAGGCTGTGCACTTGCCACAATCAGGAGATTGGCAAACCTTGGAACAGAATCAAACGTGTTGGTTTCAGCTTCTTGCACTTCAGATGAGGTTGGATTAAATGTTAATGGTGCGAAAACCGCTCACCTCACAGACACCACAGCGCTGTCTTTTGGCTCCACCGCCCTCTTTACCGTTCTGCTCAATCTGATCAGAGAAGAAGGTATCAAAGATCTGGTACACCAGCTTGGTCGTCGTGGCTTTAGTCGGCCCTTTGCTGTCTTTCTCGATTTTCGTGGGGTGGCGGATGGCCTGTCTTCTGGCAGCTCTCCTGTCGGCAGAAAACAGTTTGCGTTTAGAGGGGAGGCCTGCTCAGCTTTGGCACTAGCACTTGATGATACATGGAGCGATGGCACTATGAAGCCCCCCCGGCCTTCAATACACCACAGTGTCTGGCCATGCAACAAAAGAAACAAGCAAACAAAACCAAACAGACAGTTAAGATGTACAATGCAGAGTTCCTGTCTGATGTAAGAAGCCAATCAAGTCCCTGCCAAACCCTCTGGTCGGCTCATAGTTAGAACTTAACATTACGGTACATCTTTACATCTCATTGTCTGAATTTGTAGCCGAGTTTTAACTACATATTTTGGTTTTTACCTGATGGTTCACATCACTGATCAGAACAGTGGAGGTAGGCATGCAAGTGGGAAACAACCCTCCTTTTCCACTGATTACTGTTTGGATGCACTTGAGCCCAAAAATAACAACTGATTTGCTCGGTTTGTGTTATTTAGAAATGTTGCAGGTTGAGAACAGAGTTTGCATGATTGGAATGTGAAACAAACAAACAAAAAAAGCAACTTTTGCATATTTGAAGATGAACAAAATACCATTTTTGTGAACTTTGCTTTGCTTACATTAAATCGTATAATCAATAGAATTAACTTTTGTGCAATGTCCTCTCCAATCACATTTTTATTTACTCAATTGTTGTTTTATTATGTTATGTGGCAAGAATTCAAATATGCCAGAAAACTACAATAAAATCATAAAACCCTCCCAAAAAAAGACAAAATTTAAAAAAATGAATGAAAGTACTGACACACTTCCAGCATGAACTTTGGTATAATGCTCTTTCTGTCCATATAAATTTCTAAATGCTCCACACTAAAACACACCACCATACAAGCTAATGACGCATTCACCACCACAAGGCCTACCTACCAGTACAGCAGCATGCTGCATTAGGAAATGTCAAAGGAATGTTAGACATCAGGGAGAACAAGGAGCAAGAGCAGACAAAAAGGAATCCAAAGGAAAAAAAAACGGGTCAAACGCCTCAAATTCCTCGAGTATTTTGGGATATTTTAAGTAAAATGTACACTGCTCATGTTTGTTTTCACTGTGACCTCAAGTACTCAGAGACAGTGCTTTAAAAATGTTATATGAATGGAGTTATAAAAAGGCCAAGACTCTGGGAATCATTCCAACCGTTGAAACAAGGGAGCAGGTGAGATGTCTATATGGATGCAAACCTGGAACTATCCTCTTAAAAAGGCCAAGGAGACAAAGTTAAGTAAATGAGACATCTGATATCAATTCATGGTAAGAAAGAACAAAAATTCAGAGTCATGATCTTTTTTTTTTTTCTTTTTTAAGCTTTACCTTTTTCCAAGGGTGACTCCTGCGAGCTTGATCAGGTCTCTCATGCAGGGCGTAACAATGATGGGCTGCTCGTCCGAGTCTCCAGCCTCGTCGTAGCTCTCCACCTGCTCCACCACGAACTGGGCATGGCGCAGCAGAGTGTCTTCAGTGAAGCAGTTGAAGTTGAGCCCTGCTGGAGGCACAGTGGTCTAAAAGAGAGGGAAAAAAAAGATGGGAGTTGATAAGAACGGTTAAACTGTAGTTTTTAAAAGGGGGTTTATGCTCCTGGTTTCAGAAATCATGTTGGTCTTTACCCTCAGATCTACACTCATATATTTTCAGACCTTTTTACTTGCAAAAAATTTTTCAATTTATGCATGTGTCATGGTTTTTGCAGTTTCATGGCGCCCTCATGTGTCAGTTTAATTAGTATTACTGGAATTGACATAAAAAATGGCTTATATCAGCACGTTTCACTTCTGTCATGTGCTTTGGATCCCTTCAGTGAAATTCGAGTGCAAATGATATTTGCAATCAGACACAAACCCTACACAGTTAAACCCTTTTGGAAATTCAAGACTTTAATTTGAAAAGAATAAAAAAAAGGGAAGCAACCAGTTATGGGAAGGAAGACCGAAAATTGGTCCTCACTCACCTCGATCTTATTGAGAAGGTCTTCATAAGTAGCATCACGGTTTTTCTGGAGAAACTCCACCACGATCTTGCTCATATAGATCTTCTCCTGCATCAGAGCGAAAATGGGTGCATACTCATCGCTCGGGTGCATCAAGATGTAGTCGGCAAAAGCTGAAAAAAGAGAGAAAAAGAGAGAGATATTCAAACTCAGTTTATCGCGTAGTGCAGAGGTTGATATAAGAACAAAGTGTGGAACAGCAACTACCTGTGGTGAAACCAATCAAAGCTTTCTCTCCTCCGTCAAAGCCAGTGATCCACCAGGCATTGATAGGTCCGAGCTTCTTAGCAGGAACACCACCTTAAGAGTTTTACAAAAGCAAAAGTTAACACCAAAGTTTAGTAGCTCAAAAAGGTCAAATCTGGTTACTTTTGTTTGGATTTACCATCCAAGCAGGGGTTGTCATCATAGATTGGTTTGACCACACAGCTGAAGTAGAGCTCCACATTCTTCTCGATCAGTCCAGAGTCAAATGGGCAAAGGTGGCCGCGCTTGTCGTACACACTGAAAGACACTCGCACTTTAGTCGACTTTACCTCAGTTGGTGTAAATAAAAGCTTGTGACCCTCTCGGTCTTCCTGTTATTTAACACAAAAGCAGAGTTTCATTTAAAACAACAAACGGGAAATCACTGACCTGAAGTTTGTAATCTTGTGCTGTGGCAAATCCTCATAGCTCTCAAATCCATCTTCATTAGAATCAAACAGAGAGAGGCGCTCGTCTGTCAACATTTCAGGCTCATCCAGCTGAAAATGAAAATAGGAGTAGTAGAGGTTTTAATGAATACAATGGATGATGTTTAAAAATATCTGCCCGAATATGACGATTATATCCTTAAAAAAAAAAAAAACTATAATGGTGACAAACTTCTTACCGCATTATCAGGATCCCCTTGAAAAAACTTGAGATCTGAATCATCCAAGTATTGTCTGCAGTCTTGACATTTAGGGGGTGGGGTCTAAAAGCAAACAACAACAAAGAAATATTATTCCTGTCACAATGTACTTATTAATCACTGTAATCGCTCATCCCATATTCAAATGATACTCCATCTTTGCGCGTTAAAAAGTTGCACAAAGCCCTAATGGAGACGCTGCTGTATGCAGAGAGGACATAAGAAGAGATGCACTGTTCTGTCTTCATAACACTGAACTACAAGACCTCACTCCTTACCTTTGCAGCTGAGACTGGCTTCATAATCTCGCTCTTTGTTTCTTGTAGAGCAGCACTGCAGGAAAAAAAACAAATAGGAGTATGTTTACAAGTGTGAGCTGGATCATCATCATTTTGTATTTAGAAGGTAGATACTTACTTTTCATCAGGGTCCACTTTGAGACGTTTTTCCTCCCGAGTCTACAAAGCGTTAAACGTATACACAGTGTTATTAATCCTGCTTGAGAAAATAAATCAATAAAAATATCACTGGATGATGAGAAAGGTTCACCTCAGGAGCGTCATTTTCTTCTTTCTTCACCTCGGTTTGTCCGTTAGTCGGCTCTCCATTTAAATCTTCAGACTTGCGCTTTTGTCTGCAAGACAGAGTTCATATTCAGCATTGGAGAAATGTACAATAGGTAAGCTGTACGTTTTTGTTGATTTAACATGCTTACAGGGCAACTGATGCACAGATACTCACACTTTGGAGAACATTGACATGATGGTGGGTTGTTTCCCACTGTTTCTTGTAACCCTGGTACTGTCTAGAGGAAAAAATAAGGTTACTTTTTCCCTAAATCATTCTTTTAAAAAACACTTGAATTACTTCATTTGATCTTGAAACTCATGATGAATATTAACAAGAGGTCTCTAACTTACTTGGTGTGTCAGAGTTGGCCTTGCTTTTGCGCCCACCCTTCCCTTTGGAAGCAGTTGGGGATTTTAAAGTCTCATCTTCTTCCTGAACCTCCATTGTCACCTCTTCGCCGTTGTCTTTGTGGGAGCCGTTTGTAAATCCATTCGTTTTCCCATTCTGCTCCACACTATCAGCATGTGAACCATTTTCAAGTGTAAGCTCCTTTCCCAGCAGGGCTTTTACTTTAGAGATGTAGACCTCCTGAGGAGAGCAACAGGCAAACAGAACCAAGTTAGACACGCCCCTCAAGAGATGAATGTTGCTGACCACTTGCTTCTCTAGTTATACTGACTTTAGTCACGTGTTTGACCCTAACTTAATTTCATGCCGGAATATCCCTTTAAGCGCCAAAATATTCTGGTATCTTGTTAAGTAACCAACCATTGAGATCTCTGAATTTTTCATTTTTTCTTCAAGGCTGGTCAGCTGGTCCTGAGCATCAACATGGAGGAAGTCCTGAACCAACTTCAGCTTTTCTTTCACATGATCCTGAAAAGGCAAAGAAAAAAACAAAGTTTAAAGTGAAAGCAAAAAGTGAGACAAGTAAATAAATCCTGTTTAGAAACTTCAGTTCATGGCTTTAACGTCACTTTGTTATAGGACAAACAGTATGTTGTGTATCCATGGGGAAAACCTTGGACTTTTTATCTTCAAACATATCAACATATCACGAGTTGACCTGGAAGGTACCCCCCCCTTTTTTTTTTTTTGAGAAAACAATAATATTGTTGATCAGAATGGTGGCCGCGTATTGTAAACCTGAACCCTCTGTAACAGTCATCGAGGCCTCAAACTTAGACTTTCTTTATTTGTTGTTGTATGTATTTATATGTCCATAAACATACAAAAAAAAATACACATATATATTCAAACAAAAACACACACACACACATTTATTTTTTATATTTCTTTTTAGCATTTATCTTTTTATTTTATTCTTATACATACGTTTTATCTTACTGTTCTTGTATATATAGTACCTTCTTTCTTGCAACTATTTGTACTTTTACTTCCTTATTTTTACTTGTCTATTGCACTGGAAAAGGAGAAGCTCTCCAATCTCGTTGTACTTTTAGTATGATGACAATAAAAGGACATTCTGATTCTGATTCATGGCACAGAATAAAACGCAGCAATGATTTCTCTCTGCAACGAAATGTCATTGCTTGGCTTCCCAAACTCAAGGCCCGGGGGCCAAATCTGGCCCATGGAACAATTATATCTGACCCACAAAATCACATCATATTTGTATTATTATTGGCCCACCAGTATGAGGTCTGCAGATTTCCTCCACTATAATATTGTAAACTTCAGCATCATTATTTAAACTGTCCTTAATAAACCACGAAAATCAAATTAAAGAGTAAGAACGATCTGATAAATAGTCAAGAATGTGGGGAAAAATATTTGGTGTTTTATTTCATGCTTTCAATTTTGCATTTCAAGACTACAAGTCAAACACGATTGGGTTTTTTATTTCATACTTTGGTTTAGCTCAACTCAGTACTTCGACCTGTGTCATTTTTATACTTTAGATTCCAATTTTTTTTTATGTTTCTTCTATGTCATTCTATTCATTTTCTCTGTGCTAAGCCTTTTTCTTAATTTCCCGTCACAGGTTTTTACTTCTTTTACCCCTTTTATTTATTATTTATCTCTATTTTTATCTCCAGTGTTTCTTAAAGGTAGCTCTTTCCTCATGTAATGTCTCGGTGTCAGGCCATGTCTCTCTAACAATATATCTTAAATTCTCACACTGTGTGCGGTTGTGTTTGTTTGTGTGTGTATGTGTGGGTGAGTGAGGGTGGGTGTGTGTGTGGGTCCATGGGTGTTTGTGTGGGTGAAAGGGTTGGGGTTTTTGTCTTTGTTGTTTTTAGCCTTTGTGAGGCACTTTGAATTGCATTTCCTTTTGTACATAAAGTGCCATATAAATAAAGTTGAATTGAATTGAATACAAACTAAGGGTAAAATAGCAGCATGGTGAGCAATGTTGCACTTTCTAGAGATAGAGTAGTAGTGGAATAACAAAAAAACAATAAATAGAAGTATGTATAAAAGGATATATGTTCTTATTTACACATAACAAGCAGTAAAAAGCAGGGGCACTGTGCAGCAGGGTGGGGGGTTACATGGACGGTCATTAGGCATTTAGCAATCTGATGGCAAGGGGGAAGAAAGTGGACGTTTATGGATAAAGTGGAGTGAAACCTATAGTGCTCCAAAGTGCAGTAAGTAAGTCGGGAAAACCCACCTCGTCTGAAGATCCATCTTTATCCAGCACCTGCAGCCTGTGAGCAGCACACATAACAAAACAACGTTAGTCTGAGCGCACGTTAAGACGACAGTAGTACACTTATAATCTCCGTGCACACGTCCTTCATATGATGTAGCGATAAAATCAGCTTAAGAGGTAAGCTACGAACAATATGCAGTGCAAAACTTCCTGCGTGGCGCCAAATCTCCCACGCTGCTCCATCCCATTGACAGGACGCGGGCTAGCATGCTAACAGGCGGCTAACAGTAACTCTGTGTGCTGCTGCAGGCTTGACAGTCGAGCGGTAACGAGCTAACGCTAACTGGAGCAGCCAGGACAAACTAAAGGCGAAGCAGTAACCAGAGAAGGAGTTTGAAGAGACTTCACTCTGGTTGTCATGGCTTTTTGGACATCTACAAACAGGCTACATGCATGCTACATTTACACGGGCATCATTAGCATTCACTTTACTAACGTACCTTTTCCTGACATCCTCTGGCAAAAACAGGGAAGTCCTGGATGGCATGGTTGACAGCTAGCTATGCACACAAAACGAGAGATAAAAGAGCTTTAAAATCGGTTAAAAGAGTGGTTGAACCCGCCGTGGCTGCACACTGACTGACTGCTTCTGTTCAGACTGATTCTTGCAATGGATGCTATAAGCAATTCGGGCGCGCGGGCCGTCTTTTCGCGCGGAAACCCGGGTGTTGTGGAGTGTACCATTACGCCGATCTATGGGTGAGGCTTTCCATCATTGTACGTTATGTTTACGCTTGAAATTAATCTTTTTTGTTATAAATACTCTTTTATGTAATAGAAAATTAGCGGAGACCTATCATGACTATAAACCTGTTGTACATTTATGGAGGGGATGTTTCATGAATAAGCAAACAACTCCAGTTACCCCCGCACTTTCAAGGTGTTGTAGACGACTGACCAAGTGAAATCAATCTGAACCTTATTTACTGGTGACCATTGAGCACAGTTGGTAGTTCATGCGAAGCTGGGATGGTGAAACTTTGGAAGCTTAAATAAACGTAATTAGGCCCAAATTGAAAACATAATCAATTAAAATTAATTTACTAATTCTCCTGAGTCACCAGAGTAAGTTTTTAGTGTTGTGTCGTTATCGAACGATTCGTTCAAAAGAACCGAATCTTTTAAGTGACCGTACTGAACCGAATCATTTCCTCAAGTGATTCGTTCGTTTCTCAATTGAGTTGAGCTGTCAGCAGGGCAGATGTTATAGCATGCTGCACTGCCAGGCGAAGGAGGGAACGCATGCACCGACGCCTGAATCACTTGATAAACGAATCACGCACTGAACTACACTCTCTGGAATCATTTTTGTAAGAAAAAAACAAAATTTTTTTTATTTTTTTACTGCTAAATTGCCACCACAACAACTTGCATACAATAGGACACAGCATGTAACAAGTAGTGCATTAAACCTGCAGCATCCTATCATTGCAGTGGTTTGCGAGGGAACGGTGCATGTTCAGTGAATTCTTCTAAACGATCAGTGAACGAATCACTCATTGAGCCCTATTTACCGAGCAGACCAGATAAATAGCATACTATCAGGACTTGATAAGCTCTTTGTTTCATTCTATTCTTTCTCAAACTGTTTATCTTGACATACATATGTTGTGTAAATTTATCTTTGACATGTATAGTTGTTTGATTTACATATGCATTATTTTGTTCAGTGTTTTTGTTTCTAGAGGGTTTTTTTTTCTTAAAGTTTGAGATAAATGAATAAGAAAGAAAGACAGTAAATGTAAATTTATTCATGTTAATGTGCAGGGCTGAGTTTGGGAAGAAAATGTTTGGAACAGCCCTTAAATATTGCTTGTCATACGCCTACTTTAACACTAGGTGGCACCATGCCGTCAAAAAAGTGAGCTTGGTCCTTTAGGTTGTCCCTATTCAGACTATTTATTTCTCTATATTTACATGCCAAACCAACCTACCATCTGGTGTCCGACGGTATAGCCTTTATTTAGGTCATATGCGATCTCTATATGCTAAATGGTGATCAATTTTTCATATTAAAACTGTTAGTTCATGGACACTGGTGTGTTCCTTTTGTTAAATGTTGGTTTTTGAAAACTAGTAAAGATTTCTAACACTTTTACTCTGAAGGAATTATCCCGCTCTAGTCTTGTGTTATGGCTTCAAAGTTATTTGTGTATACAACTTCACCTACAGGTTTCTGAGTCTGATGTCATATCCTGCAGGGCACTGGAAAGACCTGGCAGACTTCCCAGCAGCCTCCTGGGGCTGATTCAGCCAGTGTTCCCACCCAGGAATCCTGGACGTCTGACAGGAAACATGTCCAACTCTCCCAAGGCCACTATAAGTCAGCCCCTCCCCTCATCCCAAGTCTCCCTTTGGCTGAAAAACATCTCCTGGGACGTTCTTTTATACTATTCTCAGACAAACTATCTTACAAAAAGACATATTTCTTACCACACCCCGTTTTCACCCTCCCTGTCCTCTGCCCAGCTTCCCACCGTAGCCCTATCTTGTTTCAGCCTTCAAGCAGGTTCACGATTTCATTAGGCAAGAAAGCATTGATTAATCGCCAAGCAGTATTTGCATGTAAAATTTCAGACTTTCATGTTGAAGCTGGTTTTTGGTTTTTGTTCTTTTTTTACCTTGTCAGAGCATGTTTGGATTAAATCCTGTGTTTTGAATCCTTGTCAGATGTAGGCAGATTGGAAGACATCTCAAACCTTCAGGTAAGGAACAGCTGCAAAAGCCGATTTATTCACATCATAGAGTTAAATTCAAACACACAAAATGGATTCTTTTGGTATTTCATTTATTTTATAAAAAGGGAATGCAATTAACAAAAAGTCTATGTACCTACATTAGTGTTTCAGATTGTACCGATTTAACACAGGCAGCGTGCTACAGGACACACAAGGCTATTGCACACGAAACATTTCACACAAATCATACATACTGTACAAAATTACATACATACATACTTTACAAACATACATAGTAATTTCATGTATTTATTATAAAAACATCACAGAGTCAGGCAACACAATGAAGTGATAGGTACACAAATTAAAACATCTCTCTGTCAGAAAAACAAAACAAAATGGGGGAGAATGAACATCACTGAAGCTGCCAAAGTGCTTTTCACCATTTCTACTTGGCCATCTTAATTAAAAAGTCAATATAAAAACACTGAAGGAGGGTTTTTAAATGTTTGTCTACAGGATGAAGGTTAGTCCGATCCTGAACAGCAGGAACCGGACAGCGAAAAACAGGACTTCCCATGGTTCAAGGAAGTTGCATGTTTGAGGATGTCAGAGAATGAGGATGGAGCTAACCTCCCAAGAGGACAGAAACCGGATCTTCTCCCTTTTTTTCATAAGGAAGGCGGGGGGGTCTTTGGAAAGATGAGACGTGTTTACATCTTTAGCTGCACAAGGCATTATGGCCAACAAATTAAACCAGGATGTTCACAAATAGTTGTTGTTCATGTTGCTATATAAGACTTCACAGTGAAAATGTCCTGACCTGTTCAACTCTGCTCATCAGTGACTTGGTAATTCAAAAATTATGACCAATAATACTGTCAACAATGGAGCACTTGCCCCAAACACTTCATACATACATTCAGCCTTATTCCCAAAGAGGAAGGCGCACACAGAGACAGCACATCGCTGCTATGTTGCTACAACACTGTCGGGGGACATTCGCCCCATTTGTCAAAGCTGCGAGACAGCTGTCATTGAGTAGGATTCATCAGTGCCAACTCACTTCAGGAAATGTGCTTTCTGATTAGGCCTTCCTCCACGGAAACTATTAAGATACAAAAGACAACAGTAAAAGCAGGAGGGACAGATTGTGAAAATACATGAGACGAGGGGTGTTAGTGATGAAAGCTGGAGGTGGAATATATTATACACATCAGCGCTTACAAATAAGTTAGAATTCATGCATTACATGTATGCAGATTATGTATTTTTCAAAATTAATCAAATAGTTTAAGCAAGGTTATACAGGGAATATATAGCCCTGGTTAAGGGAGTACTCTTAGTAATTTGGCTTATCTGGAGCGCAGTGCTGAGTAAAGTTGATCACTGCCTCCAGCTCTGTGTAGAATGAGTGATACTGATGCAGGCCTAATGTATACATATGTATCAGTAGAGGAGAGTAATGTGGTTAAACCTTACAAACGACAACAATCTCTCAAGTAATCTACAAAGTGCAACTTTGTGAGCTTTGCATTGATGCAGTTCTTGAAAGGCCCAAAACAACTCACCATAACTTTGATAATATGCTTTTTATGTTTCCATTTTTTTTTTGGCCTTTTAAACAGTTTTACATGAAAAGGAAGAAAGACCAGAGGAATGTATATGGAAATGGTTTTCAGCTCCCAATAAGTTGATGAGCGTACCCATGAAAAAGCTACTTTCACATTTCTAAAAGTTCTCACCTGTGGATTGTTTTTCCACTTGAAAGATTGGTTTTTACACCCAGTACATGGGTGAATTGATTGAAGGCTTGATTGAGAATTCACACAATTTTGATTGCAATAAGAAATGTCTGTATTGGAGAATGCATCTCCAAAGAAAAGCTGTGTTACAGCCATTAGAGGCAGCTCAGTCCAGCGTGTGCTTGCATCTTTTTTTCACATCTCTTAGTCTCATCATCGCCTCTCTTCTTGATCTCATGAACACGCACTCGCACTCACACACATTCACACACACTGATGTCTTTGAACCATATCACACACAGGTTGTGCAGTCTTGCATGATCGGTGTGGTCTGGTGTTCATGTTTGTTGGTGCAGTGTTCCAGAGAGCTGGAGCTCTTGAGAGGGACCAGACACCGGTCAGCGGGTCGCCCGCTTTGCAGCACCCCCCAGCAGCACAGCACTCGCAGGAACTCTTTTCTCATGTCCTTGCTGCGCAGGGTGTATATGACTGGGTTAAGCGCTGAGTTTAGAGTGGCAAAGCCAAAAAATATGTGTGCATTAGAAAGAATTGGGCAGAACTGTATGCTGCAGGATGAATCCAGGAGGAGGATGGTAAAAGCAGGCAGCCAGCACATGATGAAGACACCCAGCACTATGGTGACAGTTTTTAACAGGGCGTAGGCCGGCGAGTTGGTTGCCTCCTGATGACTGGAGCGTACAATCAAGTAGATCCTCACATAGAGGATGACAATAGAAAGTAGTATGAGGCTGAAAATACTCACAACAAAGAGAATGTATTTCTTTGAGTAGAGCGGCAAAACAGCTGAGCATTCAGGGCGATCATTGATGCAGTTCCAGCCAATGATAGGAAGTCCCCCAAGAAGGATCGAGGTCACCCAACATGTTCCTATTAGAATAAACATGCGGCATGTTTTGGTCGAGCCGTACACCTTGACTTTGGTGATAGCTAAGTAGCGCTCTATTGCTATTGCCAGCAAGCTGAAGACCGAAGCTGCCAGAGCGATGAACGCTGTGCCCTCCCGAATAAACCACTGCACAGGCACCAGCTTGAAGGTCTTCGATCCTGACAAAAAAATGTTGGCTATGTAGGCCGAGCCTGCCAGCAGGTCAGAGAACGCCAGGTTGCCGATGAAGAAAAACATGGCGGAGTGGAACTTCTTATTGCGGCAGACGGCGACCAGGACCAGCAGATTCTCCAGGATGATGATGGTGCAGAGGACCACTATGACAATGTTCAGGGTTGTGAGCTGTTTTTTGTTCTCATAATGTCTGACCAGCTCCTGTGGGGTCATATTCTTTGCATAGGCATAGTAGTCCTGGATGAGATTGGGGTTGTAGTACTGGGAATACCTGCTCTTCATGGTGACAGGGTGACAGAGCACGGCGGATTTACGGCAAAGATTCATTCACACAGAGGAGATGTGCAGAGTGTCTACGCTGATAATCATTGCCTTTGAGGAAAGGACAGGAAGAGGGCCCAGGCTTGAAGGGGAGGCCGCCCAGTCCCACAGTCACGTCTGCAAAGCTCTATGTGGGTCACCTGCAGACACACAGAAAGGAAGAGAAAACCTCGATTACTGACATGGTTCACTTTTTAAATCAGCCATGACCGAGCAAACATTGGTTTTTTAAAATCTGATCCTGATTCTTGAATCTTTCTTGACTTCATTTTAGTTTCCATCCTTCAAAAACCCCAAAAAGTGCAGCAATATTTACACAAACTGACATGAAAAATAAATACACACTTCTATAAAGTATAACACTGATGATTACTGACACACAGTGAACACCCACGCAGATTTCTCAGCCTGGTATGATCAGAACGGAAAGTAGCATGTTGGCCAACAGGGGAATTTTACATTTTGATGAAAAAATGTTGTGAATCTGCACGGGCAGGGATCATCTTCAGGTAGAAGAATAAACTCTCTGTGAGGCAGCGTGCTCTGCTTACACCGTGAACTGCGCGCGCTCGCAGACTGAAGGGGACATTCCTCTAACCCTGTCCGAGCACTCTGTTGTCAACACATAGCATTGTTGTGGGGAGCGAACCATTCCACTCCACTGAGCTACCTCTTGAAACTTCTGCATAGCTTGTGGATCAGTCAGACTTCTTCTTCCTGACCCTGCCCCCTCTGACCAGCTGACAGACGGCAAATTAAACAGATATAGATGTAAAAACACCAGAGCTTCCTGAACTGAATGAGAAAAGGTTATACAAGACTTCTCTGCAGTGCATCAAAAGCAAAAAGTCATGACTGTGGGGCCTGGTTGGAATTATTCCCATACATATAATGGCATTAAGATGCTCTGGGCCATATGTTGTGGTATCTGACGTATCCAATGACAGAATACATATACTGGCTTAATGCGAAACCATTGCGGGAAACCTTTGGAATAATAAGTTGTAAAATTTTATAATGACATAACAGAAAGAAAACAATTAAAACGAAAACATTTCGAACCACTAATGTGGCTCCAAATTACACCGAGGAGCCTTTTCATTAAAAAACCCTATATACAAACTGAAACCAAATAAATGGGCTGCAGCTAAGAAGCCGAAAAACAAAGGAAAGTTTGAGGCTCTGGAAATCTAATTAGAGGCAGCCCCGGTGTCTTAAACCTGTCAGAAGTAACAGGATCCCTCTGCAGACCAGCTCCAGAGGTAACTGAACACTGATGCTTTAACTGCTTGTCTTCACGGCAGCTGTGAAACCTTCAGTGGAAACTGGGGCTGAAGCGCTTCACCATTCTGCTGGGCTTTGACTCAAAAACCCGGGAGACTGAAGGATGGAGAGGGATGGAGACAAAGGCAGACAGAGAGCATGCATGTGGAACGGCATCTGGACACAAAGGCAGGAATCTGAGACTCTGCCGTGACGTCCGCGCGCACAAATGCATCAATGTGTTGTGAACTTCACTCTGCACGTGCTCTGATATCTATCTTCTCACACACACAGTTAATTGTGACAGTCATAGAGTAATGTAGCAGACAGACAACTTCGACACACAGCTCTTATTGGTTGCCAGCAATAACTAGCGCACTGTTTCCTCAAGCAGGAACAAAGAACAATAGTCTCCTTCAGTGAGGAGAGCATTGCCCTTCAGCCTTAATTATTGGACAGCACACTTCCATCTGTATCATAGCAGAAATGTATTTACAGTTAAGCCCTCGCTTATCAGAAACCTCTGCCACAGGCCCGCTCGGCCCCGACCCCGCTAATCTGTTTTAGCTCCATTAATGGACACAAATAGGAGGATTGAAGCTGAGCACATGCACCAGCTGCACCCGGTTATTACATTATGTTATATTATTGCATCCTATAATGACTTTAATATTGGAAAAGTCAGCCAGTAAAGAAGCTTTTTATCTCCACATCCTGCAGTCCTCTTCAAAGGATGCCCCAGTTTGACTTTGTTTCATCTTATTTCTCTCTCTCTCTCTCTCTCTCTCTCTCTCTCTCTCTCTCTCTGAGCTCTGCCTGGTTTTTTCAGGACTCTCATGTGTTTGTGTACACTCAAGGTCCTCCCGTCACCTGCAGACCTTGGCGTCTGTCATCAAGGGATTCTCTTCGCGTAGGGAAACTTGACGGGCTGGTTCGCCTACAGCGCCGTCTCACCGCAGCCCTGCCCTACACCTCCACCTGCCATGTGCCATTCAGAGGTTTCTATGGCGATTGGACAACAGGAGATTTCCTGCTTTGTAACCCCTCCCATGTCACACTTTGTCAAAGTTGTGCCCTGCGTTCGACCCAGACATCCCTGTCACACTTCCACAACAGACAAAACACATTGTGAAAAATGTCACGCCATGTCCTGAATGACTCCTTTCCTCACTCACACAATTGGATAGCAGCAGCAGCTCAGACCTAAAATATCTACTTCAGTTTGTCAACAGGGTACTAATGCAACATTATTTGATATCAGTAGCAGAGTCATGGTCTTAAACTTAACACCCTATAAATGGATAATAGGGCTGTAAAGTCCTAGTCGACTTGTTGGTCGATACATGCGAAATCTACAAAGTTCTGATTCGATTTTTTTCTGTGTCACTTTACAGTCTATGGTTAATTTCATCATGAGGAACATACCAAGTGCTAATGCGGGTGTTTTCAGAGCACCCCCTTTCACAGGTCTCAGAACACCCCACCTGTTTTCACCATTTTGAATTCGCCTAACCCACTGAAGACCAGCTAGAGACAGGAAAATTGAAGAGCGTCCACATTAATTAACGTCCAGAGGTTTGCCGACTATTTATATTTCAGCTTTTTGTGTTTAATTACCTTCTTGTGCTGATATAAGTTTATTTTCACCCCGCCAAGCCGCGCTTAGTTGAATTTTGGTTGAAAATTTCAGGGTTTGAGTCGACCAAGAATGTCTTTGGTGGATAAATATTTCTGACTTTAAAGAGAGTAATTATACATTTTATGAAGCTGCGGAGACCTTGTATATCCTATATATTCATTTGGGTATATTCAGGTATACACACTATCGATTAATGTATGTGTTTTCCAATGTTTTCAAATCATTCAAACCCCTCTATTTCATCAAAACATAAAACTGAAAAAAAAAGATTGTCTTCTGAAAAGTTTATGCTAATTTCTAGTTCGAATTGCAGTAATTCTTGTGTGTGATTCTTAAAAACAACCCTGAGAAACATCTCCAAACAAACGCGGTTGATTTGCAGCAGGTAAGTAACATGACAGAACAGAGCAGAGGAACTGAGCATCTCAGGATTAAAGACAGGAACAGGTTCACCACTCTTGTGAGGGACTGCGTGAACAAACAGATCGACACTTAAACAAAATTTAGATAATCAGAAGCAATAAAGTACAGAATCAAATCTGGATGGCCCTAAGGCAGTACTGCATCTAAAACAGACATGACTCTGTAGTGGAAGTCAATGCAGAGTCACTGTTCATGAACCCCGTTAGTCGCTGCTTTAGAAAATACAGACTAAGACTGTACCAAAGAGGAAACCCGACATAATAATGAAGCATTAGCAACTTCTCCGAGCCAGAGCCTGTTGAAGATGGAGAGGAACCACCTGGCTTGTTATCACGCCGTACTGATCTCTGCACATACTCGACAGTGTGGCTCTGAGGTAGAGGAGTCTTAGTGTCTCATTTGGAGCATCAGGAAACTAAAGATACGACAAGATTTTCAAAATAAGCATAAAATTTTCAGTTTCAGCGTTTGATATCTAGTCTTTAATCTACTTTAATTAAATATACGGTCTAAAAACCTTTTTGAAACTGGGGTTAAAGATCTGTCAGTGTTAGACTAAGCTTACTTTTATTGCAGCACATTCAAGCAGGTTGATGCCACATACTGTTTCAGATTGAATTGCGCTGATGTCAGGGGTGCATTTATTACATTTATTACATTCTGTTTCATTGTTAAATTTGTCTAAAAGGACAGAGATGGTGGAAGTTTTGTAATGTCCTTTAACGCAGGGAGGTGACAGAAACACAAATAACAAAATATCCTGTCTGGATTTCGTTTGTAAAGGTGGTGAAAGAAACAGCTGTTGATGGGAGGGTTAAAATGAGCTCCAAACAGACAAAGGCAGCAAAGTGAGAGACAGATACCTGAGACAGAAAACCCTTTTAGAAAAATCCCCAAGCACAAAAAACTGCACACTTTTCACACCTTTGACAGATGACGCCACAGTGCTTGTGGGATATATTTTGCACATGCGAGTGATTTTCACAGCTTTGCCCACACATACAGATGAAACCATGAAAATCATCAGCCATGCAACCTCAGCTCCAAATAGCAGCATGTAAAGACCCATATCGAAATGATGATTCTGCTAATAAACTGGATTTTGTTTTTGTCTGAAGAATAGACAGATCTCTCCTGTCCATCAAGGGACTGACAGCTGCACAAAAGCCTTAGGTGCTTTTCCCTGAAACACCTGATAAGCCCCAATTAGCAGAGCGTCTGCTCACCAAAAAACCAAGGCAACGCCCCCCATGACACCACCTGCCACCTGTGACACTCTTTTTCGACCTGGATCCACTTTCTCTCAAGGGGGTAAAGCACTTAGAATAAAAGCAGACCTCCTAACCCGTGATGCGGGATGTGTCAGTGTTTGCAGGCACATATAAATTTAACGCTCCAGTCTCCTGCAAACATTTTAGCTGGAAAAAGTGCAACGACTGATGGTGTACTCGGACAGTTTACAAAAGACTTTGGAATGAAACGTGCTTCGTATTTGTTAACCTCAGAGAACCACCGCGCAGGTTTAGCCGTTGATCATTGTGCGGTCTGAAACATCCTGTAACACATCCTTCGCCATCTGCTCTTCACAATTGCTGTTGCATGCAAGTCACAGCAATAGCAACACATGTGGCCAAGTCTTAGCAGCCCGAGAGTTTGAAAAAAGCTCGTCTTTGGTGAGGGTTTGAAAAAATTCATTATGTATATTTTCCATTTCAAGGTGATTTAATGACTTCCTTTGTGAAACTGGGGTTTTCTGCCTCCGAACTAAAAGGATATCCATCATATAATACATCTATAATAGAGTCTTTGTAGTTCAGTTTCCCTGCAGCAAACTTTTACATCACTCTAAAACCTAAAAGTCTTATATCAGAGAGCTTTAGTAGTAACTACATAAAATCAAGCCACACATTTTCTGAGTGGACTACAAATGGAGGAAGTCTGTTAGTGCTGCAACCACAATGACCAACAGTTGAATGACGAGGCACTGACTGTGAGCTAAACGGCCAAAATCAAGTCCTGTGGAGACAAAAACAAAGAAAGGAAAAAGACAGAAACAAGGTGAGTTTTAAAAGAATTCAGGCACAAAACCTTAAAAGGTGTGAGTGTCAACCCCAGAAGAAGGGCAGTAAACACAATGCAGTTTAGAAAGAACAAATCCACAGTCAAGTGTCGACATGTCAAACGAGGTAGAAATCAGTTAAGTCTTAGTGTAACAAGAAATCACTGCGGCTAACACAGAAGCGTCAATTAAAAGGAAATGAAGAAACAAAACGTGCTGAAGGAACTTTTACTTTCTGTAGCTACCCCCTAACTTCTAAAGGAAGATTTCTCAGGGGTCTGGCATGAAAAAGTCTGGAAATTTTGGAGTAACCCGCCATGAAACAATTAGGAAATTCTCAGGTTTGTGCGTGTGTAAAAAGGGTGGAAGTTCTTCTTTCTCTTCTCTGACTGCTCAGTGATTCACTGTGTTAGTCTCTTACTCACTTCTCAGTAAAATCAGACCTTTTTTTGTGTTGGAGTAGCTCCATGCAGTCATACTGTGCAATCACATAAAGCGCAGTGATGGTCATTGTGTCCTGGCAGGTGGCCGCACATCACCCTGTTGCTCTATCCATCACTGAACCCTTAGGCTCTGTTCCTGAAATCTTTTCAAATCAGCACAGCAGCGTTATCGATTGTCTGAAGTCAATGTTTCCAGTATCAATGTACCAGGGATGATTCATGATGGTGCAATGACATAACTCTGCTACATCCTGGGCTTTGGAGTGACCTTGTTCGTTGCACAGACTAAATAAAAACCCACAGCTACTCTTGTTCAGAGGCATCTCCTCTGTAAGGTCAAAACAGACGACTTCTAAAGTCATGACTACCTTGGCTTATCTTAAGCTGCCGCTGTTATCTCTGTTCCTGCTGTGCTGCCAACAAGCTCGCTGATAAAAACCAGGACCCAAAACAGCGATGATGAAGACTTACAGCTTGAGGGAAACATTCAGAGACATACAAGCGTTTGAGGTTAAACTGAGCAAAAAAAAGCATCAGCAACCACAACTTCCTTTTAGAGTAAGCTGTTTGTTAACCAACAAAGGCATGCTTTAACTGCAGAGACTGTTGAAGTTTATCTTTTACTAAAGACTTCAACTCTAAGCGCTACTGTGAGAAGATTGTGAAATCCTCAGCGTGCTGTTTATCCTTATCTTTTCTCGGATGTTAACTGTAGTTTCAGCTAAAACTGAGGTTAAAATTCTTAACAGACAGAAAGTCTGACACGTTCTGGCGTTCAAACCGCATACCGTGTGCAGGCCTCGTACTCTGGGGACAAATGCGTGGGCTGATGATTTTGAGAGCGACACGGATGCAGACATCTATGCAGTATGAGTTGTTTTGAAACAAAAGCTGCTCATAAATTTACAAGGGGAATAAAAAGAAGTTTTTATAGGGAAAAGAGCAAGCAAATAAGAAAAATAAGGAGAAAGCCTGGCGGAGTGTCACGCTGTAACTTGCGTGGTCTTCATGCAAGAGCAGATATGAGATGGAGGTCTGCAGTATCTCACAGTTTGTACCGTAGAGAGGAACTCAGCGAGGGAGCAACAAGAACTGGCAAAGAAATGTTTTTTCCTTACTGATACGTGTCACATACAAGCACAAATTACATCCTTTTTTGTAGAGAAAAAGAAAGAAGTATCTGTTCAAATAAACTCCACTGTCATGATATATGCACCATGGCATTAGATAAGGGGCAGCAAGTTCCCTTTTCTGGTAGTGGCACAGACTGCCGTTTCCTCTTTTCTCTGTTTTGAGATTTGATTGATGCTTTTAACCTTTCCATCTCTTTGTCTATAAGCTGCGAGATATTAGTGGAGTGGGTGTCCCATATACGAGGGGCTTCATCGTATAATTAGAGATTACCCCTTCGCTCGTCAAACACTTTGACAGTTTGGGTGCACCCTCTTTAGAGGGGTCCAATCTGTCCACACAGCTCAGTCAGGAACAAAAAAAAGAGGTTTTTTTTTGTTGCTCCGTTTCACTCTGACTCCTCAAAGTCTCTCGTCTTGTTCTCTGTTCCTCTTTCTGGTTAGTTCGACTTTCAACCTTAAGGTGCTTTGTTTGTGGTTGTTGTCGTTGTTTTGCTGTGGCTTTGAGAGAGGTGGTGAGAGGGGTGGAAACAAAGAGCAGCGTAAAGAAGGGCATCACACAGCCTCAGGAGCCGTAACCCGCTTGACTGGCAGACACCAACCCCCCTCCACCGCCCCCCAATCTAAGTCTGCCCCGATGGGGGGGTTGGGGTATCTCCAAGGGTGGCGCCTGAGAGGCAATTACTGTAATACCTTCACCCTCGGACCATTCCTGTCAACTTAAGTTATTCCAAATTATTCATGTTTTTTTATCGCTCTATTTTGCATATATTCCCTTTCATGCTGCGCTCTGATTTACAGAGCTACATGGCTCCCACTCCATCACCCCCTCCTCTACTCGTATTTCTTAACTTTACCACAGAGATCAAAAGACAAGGCCACAAAGAGGTGATTAAACGCACATCAAGAAGGATTTATTTAGCACACATCTGGGGCAGACATGTTCTTACAGTCGTCTACTATTAAAGACGTCATTAAAGCACATAGTCTGCATTTGGATCACCATTCAGGGAACTCCGCACCAAAAGACTACTTTCTCAGAGCTGCGTCTGTGCATAAATCCTCCGCGCTCTACTCATTATCTTCCTTACGTAAACTCCTTGAAGGCTTGTTTTTATTTCTGAAGCATGCTTTTGAGAACCATCTTGAGATTTCCTCAGCTTGAAACACCAACAGCTATTCTCAGAACTCTTCTTTTACATGTTACGGTGGTAAACCACAGGCGAAAAAAATTCATCGGCGTCTACATGTTCAGAGATGTGAAGGTGTCAACCACGTGGAGCGCTCAGAAGATGCAGGACACGTGTACACGCTATTGAGACACAGGGAAAGTTTAGAGATCAGGTCGGGCTGGCCTGCATCAGAAACCACAGATCTGAATGCTTGATTCGAGTTTCAGCTACCTTCCCATGTTCTTGTCTTTACATACAATGAGCTCTCCCCTAATGAAAGGCTTGAACCCTTCTTTAGGTCTCCATTGTCCTGACTCCTTACTTCTATTCTACTCTGTTGCAGACCTTGAACTCCACCCCTTCTCATGTTCTGCTCCTCCATTGGGAAACCGCGCGGTTGCCGTGAGAGCTTGTGGTTATTTGTTGCTCGGCACGCCAGGGAACAGAAGACATGACAACATAGATGTATGCAATCTGTGTATGTTGGTATAGCTTTAGTTCGTTCCGCTGATGTTGCAGAGATAGTTAATGCAACGATCATTGCACACAGTCACAGGACTGCGTGCTAAGATCAAATAGAAGAAAAGCCGTGGACAAAGCCACGCACCCAGCGATGGAAAATGATACCATCTACGCCGGCGTGCACACAAGCCGCCCTGATTGCTTCTGCCGAGTGCCCCTTGATAGCATGATAAATTGATGGAGGCCCTCCATCTCGCCGCGCGGTCCAGATTCAAAAAAAGCGGCTCCAGACTTTCTCTGGCAAACAGGGGTCCATTAAACACGGCTCTGTTGTTGGAGAAAAACACGGTTGCCTGGAGAGGGAACACTGTTGTGTCCACACAGTCGTTTCTCAGTATTTTATGCGATTTAAGATTTTCCTGCTTTGAACAGAAAATTAATATCTTGACAATAATTCTGGTGATGCCAACATCAATTTGCCTCCATATCTTAAACTGTAGGGCCAGCAGAGTTACAGCTTGCATTTAAAGCCCAGTGCGTGGAAAAAGCCCTGAGTGTATTTAACGTTACAGATTTTTGGAGGGATACCATGTCTGTTTTACTTCCTGGCAACTCAACACAAATAAAACTTTTTTAAAAAAGAAAAGGCCCCACAGAAAACTCCCTGGCTTTTTTATGCAGCTGCACTGAGTCTTATGCAAGCTTTTGGTAGAGTTGTTTGCCAAGGGATATTTCGCAGAAATAACAAACAGGTCAGAGAGTGGGGACTGCTTTCACAGAGTTTCTCAGAGGGTAACGACTACTTGACTTTGACAGAGACAATGCTCATCTTGAAATGGACATGTTGGAGCAGTTATCACATTAGTTTTGAGTAAACAGAATCCATTTTAATGCAATCTGTCTGTTGCAATAGAGTAGTCTGGCCTTTGTCATGACCCGGCTTGTGTTTGGCTGGAGGTTAATTCCATCCTGTGTCTAAGCCTGAAGAGACTGAAGCCAAGTTCTTCGCTTTTTAAATCATCTTGGTTGTTTGTTCGTTTTAACTAAACAGGCCGTTACAGCTATTCCGCTTTATTTTTCTAGTCTGTCAGCCATTAGGAAAATCTTTAAAGCTCATTAGGTGGAGATATGGAGTTAACTTTTGGTTCCACTCAAGCTGAATGGATTCAACAGGCTCTCACTGGCTGCATGGGGTGATTCAAAATCCAAGAAAATTGTCTCCAGCTTACTTCTGGATCTGTAGGTGGGGTGTTGGAGTAATCCTGCTGAGTTTTCCAGCTGCCCAAACAAAGCTTACTGGATAACAAAGACTTCCAAGAGAGAGAGAGAGAGAGGAAGAGAGGAGAGGAGGAAGTAGCCAGAACCACGGCATCTTGGTGTGTACCTGCTCCAAGAGAATGACAAGAAATCAGAATGAGCGCTCTAATTCCCCTGTGTGGTTCATAAATCACACTCTGTGACCTGAGGTGAAGTAAAAAAGTGCCACTAACCCGATTCAAAGCCACAGGCGAAACCAGAAACCTTGAAGTCAATCTTTATGTCATTGTCTCTGAGAGAGAGAGACAATGTTGCACAGTGAAAATGTCACTTCTGAAAAAAAAAAAACCATTTGCAGCTTCATTTATTTCCAACTGGCAGCATTTCGGGAACAGGAGCCGGTCCAAGCTTGAAACATGTATGAAGGAGAAGAGTCTTATCTCCACCCCAGTAAGCGTGAGGAAATCCTGGCATGCTGTTACAAGCATCAGCGCCTGGTCATGGGGGGAGGCGGTGGGGGGGTCTTCTAGTTTGTCTAAGCACCTCAAGTGGAAAAGGAATGTAACAGGAGACCTTAAAGCTAATGGATTCTTTCATTGCTAAAAAACACCTTCCTTAAAAAGTCAGACCCCCGCTCTTTTCTCCACCAAATATCAGCTCATGTAAATGTTTATACAATTATCATCACAGCTCTGACAGCATCCTCCTGCAGCCCGGAGAGATTGTTTTAAAAAGGGGAGACGGTTAGAGCGGGTAAAAGCGCACGTGCATCTTTCTCCCTGCCAACAAAGAGCAAACAAAGTCTTCGGTGACATCCCATTCTCAGTTACGTGTCGAAAAATGGGTTAAAAAAAGAGGACGCCATATTTATTCCTCTGATCCCAGACACTCCCAGCTCTTGGCTGTGAATCATAAAGCTACATGCTGTCAGCTGTGTGTTGTGACTTGCGCTTCGGCAGCTTGCGAACAGAAGGCGTTTATTTTGCTCCAGCTGCCACACCCAAGGAAAAGTGTTTTTCAGACATAGGGGAGTACCAGCTAGAACTCGGAGTCTGTTGTACCCAGATGGTCATCTGAAGGAAACTCTTTTAACCACAGAGAAAAGCCCGAGAGCGATGTATAAACACATACATTGTCTCCTGTGATCCTATCCTTTTTTACTCTCTGTATACACGCCTGACTGGTTTCATTTAACCAGGTAGCAGTCAGGTAGCCTCTGGCAAGTCACTGCTCCTCTGATCTCTCCGTGTCGTTACCCCTCCGATCTGCCTGAATAAAGTGGTGAGTATAAACAACAAAAGAGAAGTCAGTGTCCCAAAGGAAAAGCCTTCTCGCTGCTTCCTTCTAGCAACCCGCTCTCAGGCCTGAGCTGAAACCTGAGCATCCTTCTGGGATCCACACCACCCACCCACCCACACATCTCCGCCTTCAACCCCTTAGTGACCTGCTCCATTTTTTTTTTTTTTTGCAAATCCAGTTCCCACAGCTGAATTACCATTAATTTATTTATCCCTCCACGCACTTATACATCTATTTATTTATTCAACCCATCCATTTGTCTTCACTTCTCACGCTACCCCTGGCAGTCCCCATCAAGAGGGGTCTGATTACAGGCGTCATCATGTGGAGGAAAACAAGGCCACTGGAGCGCTGTGACCCGGGTCAGCGACATGTAGATCCTAAACTCATGATGTCATGGACTGAGTCTGTCTGCCTAAGCTTTAAAGTTTCTTTATCGACTTTTATACAAATACTAGATGTGTTCTGGGTCCACACCACAAGCACCCTGGGGTTACTCGCACCCAGGCCAAGGATGGCGGAGTGTGTGAGGAAATCTGGCAGCGATGAGGCTCGGTCGAGTGGCGGGTGTTGTTCCGGTGCAATGAGCCATGTGCACACGCTCGCTAGTCAAACCCAGACGGCCAACCGGCTGCATCATGACCCTGTCTCCAGCCAGTCCAAGGCATGCTGGGAGAAGCACCTGAGTCCATAAGCGCTCGTGCATGCCCCAAACAAAGCGAGCTTCTCTGGCATAACACCAGCATCAATGAAGCTGCTGACAGGGCCTTCAACACTTGATCATCCTCTCCTGACGCTGCTGAGCGAGCTTCCTCTTCACCCCCTTCCTCCTGATGTTATCTCTCTAAGATGTTTACCTTAATGCAACAGGCTTTGTAGCATCCGCGTGCATTTGAGAGCTCAGTTTCTCACCCTGTTACCCCGGCTGGAGTTTGAGATAATGCCTCTCTTTGCAGTTTCAGGCAGTCTGCTAATGAGCCGCAGCACCGTGCAGAGCGAAGCAGACCAACCACAGGATGGAGGGTGATGGATGAGGGCTTTTATCTGGGCAATAAACATTAGTCCCTCCACCTTATCATCTTATCTGGCGGTGATTCGAGGATTCTCCCGCAACAGGATTTGGCATGACTGGACTCCTGACACCTCTGTATCCCTCTCTGCTAGGTTTACTCTTCCTGATGCATGGAAACAACAGTCTGTTCCTGTCTGGCTCGGTGATAAGGAAATCTCAGACACAAATGACTGCACTGGCTAAGATCCTGTGTTTGTCTCAGAATCAAAGAATTACAAACATTTCCCACTTTTTTTCTATGTAAATGCATGTTTTTGTTAAAGTGTGTAAGTATAATGCAATGCTTATTTAAAGCTAGGGCTGGGTGATAAAACGATTTCCCTGAATTTCAATATAAAACATTGTCAATATGATTTTTGATAACTAGCATTCTACCATGTTTTGGTAGACTACACGAATAGCCAATGAAAAGGGGGGTCCGCTTTGTGCTTAACCAATCATGTGCTGAATTAGAACCAAGTAGCAAACAACTGCGTAGAAACAGGCTGCAACCATAGCACTTTAACAAATGAAGCCAACACCAATAAGCACTGTTAAATTTCATTTTTATATCATGATATATATCGATATCGACTAATATGAAAAAGAAATCATGATAATCTTTTTCCCATATCGCCCAGCCCTATCTAAAGCTGACATTAATATAGTGTAAAGTGCACTCAGAACTTCTTAGAGTGCTGTGCTTTCTCCCTCCAGATTAACTCCGGTACATGGGGGGATAATGGGGGCTTTTGTCTTATTAATACATCCTTTCAATACAATGCCGTCTTTAGAGTGACGGATGAACAAGCCCCAACAACATCGGAGGGGTCAGCGCGGGAGGGGGCGCCGCACAGCAGGCTGTGCAACGGCTCCAACCAAACAGTAGAGGCCCCTGCGAGGACGCGCCCAGGGTGCACGCAGCTCATCTCTGACCCCCCCAAACAACAGCTCAACATACAACATATGATGCAGCAAAGTGCACTGACCCCTGCTGCATGATCGACAGCTGTAGCCCCGTGTGTTAATATTTAACGCCACGCAGTGTTATTCATTAAAACACACAGTGTGTGTTGAACAAACGCAGCTGCCACACGAAATCCAAATATACACTGGGTGCATGTGTGTGTGTTGCATAAGTGTTAGTGGCAAGTAAAAGTGCAGAAGTGGCGTGTTGCTTAATGTGGGTTTGTTGCTGTCATGTTGAGTTAGGAGCTAAAGGAGCATTTCAAAATTTAGGGGGTTAAAGGGGAGCTTTAGTTTGGGTTTACGCTTTTATTCCTTGATTTAATGTTGAAGGAGTGAAGATTTTCTCCTCCAGTTTATGTTTAGGCGAGTTGCATAGTGGTTATACTTAAACATAAGATCCCTTTGTTGAGTTGCTGCTGCACATGCAAACTGTCACACACACACATACACATACAATGTTCTGAGAGAACTTACCCCATGAGAAATAAAGTGGAGAGTAGCCAAAAGACGCTCCGGCACACGTTGGTTCACATGTGGTCACCAGCTTTCCACAAACGCTGCGTCAAACTCCGGCGTTTCTCCTCTGATCCGGGGTCGGGAGGCAACGGTGACAATCAAAACTTTGGTGCAGACTCAGAGCTACACGGCGTGTTTCGTCTCGTCAGTGGTAAATCCATACCGGTCTGTGCGCCTCCGCGTAAAACCTCACACAGATAACGCGAAAGCAGAAGGGTTCCCCAAAAAAGAAGACACAAAGAAGACTTTTGTTAAATAAAGAGACTCGCACTTTCTCTTTTGTCGCCCTAATCCAACACTCCGTCTGCTTGTCCTGCTGCTCTCTGAGAACAACAGCTCCACGGGGCTGTGGAGCGTCAGGGAGGCGCGCACACAATACGCGGTCACACACACACACTTACACACACACGCGCGCGCGCAAACACACACCCACACACGAGACGCAGAGTGTATGGAAACGTCATATACCCATAAAAAGTCTCGAGTCTCTGTGTCGAGATGTAACAATGATGCGGGTTTGTGAGCGGCAATTAATTTGGAAAAATACCCTCTGAGCCTATTTCTGGAGCTTTTCCTCACTCTGCAGCTCCCAAAATGAAGTCCAGATGTTCCACCTCTTCACTTCCTCCCAGCAGCAGAATCCACACTTTTCAACCCATCCTGGCTCGGCTTCCCTTCAGAGAAAAGTCCTGCTTTAATTCTTCACAGGAAGACAGACTATCAAAATTGTGCATTTTTTATTTCATTCAGTTATTATTGAAAACAGTCAATACAAACAAGTGAATGAAAAGGAGCAGAAAGAAGAAAACTCTTACAGAGTCTGCCCCTTTTTCATGATATATTAATCAACTAAACACATAATAAGAATAAACTAGAGCTGCAGGCCAACATGCCTTTTTACAGTTCATTAAACAACCCACAACACCAACAGAAAAGACCACATTAATTCAAATTTTTTTAACAAAACAAACATACCAAGACTTAGATTAACATATTTTCCAGTAGTTACTCACCATACTGACTTTGACACTTTTTCACAATGATGAAATAAATTCAATTAAAAAAAAAAAAAAATCAGTCTTGCAAAAGATTTGTTTCGTAAAACTGTGGAAACAAAAAATTCAACATAAAAAAAATTAAATGTCAAAAATTCAGTGTAGAGGTCCGTACACACCGGGAACGCCGCCGATATACGACACGAAAGTACGACGCGAAATTACGCAATATTTGGACTATACGCATCATGCGTGATGCGATTTTGCGACTTTCCAGGGGGAAAAAAGACGCGTACCGGGTGGAAGTGAGAAGACTGACACAACAGCAGACTGAGTGTTTTTCAGTTCTGATTAGACACTAGTGTTGAGATGGCTGTCTGTCATGATAGCATGTACTGAGTCAGGGCCAGTACCAGATAAGCACATTAAACTATAATCCATAAACGTAAGGTAACAACCGAGACCTAACAGTGCTGTGACACCAACGAGATTGAGTTTGAGAGTGAAAATGCAGATGGTATGTTGTATCTGAACAGGTTAGCTTACGAGCTAAAGTTATTTAGCACAGATGAAAGTTAAAACAAAGACGTTTAGCAAACTGTTAAAGCACACAAACCATCATCATATGAGAAATCCAACGCTATGACTTTCCACAAACTATCCTTCATGTCGTTATCTTTGTAATATTTGTGTCTTTTATCGAGGATCACTCTGTTCTCTGACATGTTAACAATTAGCTGGTCGGCCATTTTGGATATGCTGGTGAATCTGATGTCGCAACAACACGAAATCTGATTGGTCAGAAGTGGATACATAGTACGCGAAACTTTACAAAAATCGACCGTGATACGAAAAAATAAATGCCGCAATATCGCAGGATGGGAAAACGTCGCTGATGTGAACGCTTGTATTGACAGGATACGGGTTCGAATAAAAATATTGACGTCCAAAATAATTGCACGACAAAAATGGTCCCGGTGTGAAAGAACCTTCAAACAGACCGACTCAACATTCAGGTAATCGGGGGGGAAACAATCGATACCTGGTCAACCATCCATCATCCAGCCAATCAAATAATGCTAGATTGGTCATGTGGCACAAACCCCAGTGAAAGATGAAGGAATCGATTGCTTCTGAATACCTGGATGTTGAGTTGGTCTGTTTTACACTAAATTTTTTGACACTGAATTATTTGACACTGAAATTTTTTTATGTTGAATTTTTTTGTGTTTACACAGTTTTTTTCAAGTCGCATTTTTACCACACAACCATTTTGAGAGACCAGCTTTTTTTACACTGAATTTATTTCATCATGTGTGCTTGAAATTCAATGGTCTTGAAATCCAAAGTCTGATGGCACAGATTTACTTCCATAGTACTGGCTTCTACTAATAATTCGTCAATTTTTCCAGATACTTCATTCAGTGTTTTTGTTCAGTCAGTGGATCGACCCCCTTCTTTCTGTAAAGATGTGTAACAGGGTGAGTTAAAGGTAAGTCAGGGGCTTATTAGTCATGAGGTCTGTGGCGAGACGTACAGAGGGGCAGGTGGCTGCAGTGAAAGAGCCTCTATCCAGCCCCAGAGGAGGTAATAATGTCTTCACAGTCATAACTCTGAGAGCCAAACTCATCCCCAGTGGCTGTGATGTCATGTGTCTGAGATAAGATTAAGGCGCTGAGTAATGTTGTTATCGTATTTTTAAGTTACCTCATTAAACGTCTAGGGGATCCCCGGCTTCTGTACTGGAGAAATCTTCATGAACACTGTGAATCCAGGTGGTTTCTGGTTGTTTTCACTTTTTATTTCTCAGATTGAGTGGAAAAGTGTGCATGTTTACAGATCAGGAAGTGCTCTTTTAGACTGACTTTTGTTTGTTATGAGGTTTGAGTCCCACCTGGATGAGTGACATGTGAGCACATCACGAGGGAAAAAGCTCCTCTCTGCTTATCATACTGTCTAACCATAGGCTCTTGGTTTGCGACTGCTCTCTCTAGCAGTTTCAGCAGCTTTGACTCATGTCTACTGATGGTTTACTGGGGGAGAAAGGATCAAGATTGTGCAATCCACTCGTACCGCACTCATCCCTGCCGCCCACGCACTAACAGCAGCAGCAGCAGCAGCAGCAGCTGGTATGTGGAAAGAACTCACTGAAGGAGCAAAAAGGAGAACTTGAAAAGACAACCATCAACTTTGCAATACTCTCTATGTTGCCAAAATCCTTCAACCTGCAACCTCAGGAGATGGAGACAACCTTAACGGCTCCATCCTTTTGTTTTCTTCAAAGTACTGGGAGGTTGGACAAGCGGTGTGTAATGAGACTGCACTAGACTAGACTTTATGGACTGACTTCTCACTGTTACTGCATTTATGATGGGACTCTTTCAGGAGCTGCTCCACCACTAAAGCCGCCCCACTGCTGTGTCTCTCACTAAGTTTTTAAGGGGAGGGGTCAAGAGCCCTGACCTCACTTCCTGTTGGGGCTCCTCACAAGCATTCCATTGTCTGTGAGAATGTGCACAGGCCCCGGGGACTAAGCACATCTGGCAGCTGTTATTAGCAGGAAGATTACTACATATGCTGGTGGATGTGCCCCACACACAATGCTCCTCATGAGCACAGAGCTATTGTGGCACAGCCAGCTGAAAGGTAGAGAGTTAGCTTTTATTCTCATCTAAATATAATCTTGAATATTGTCTCTGCATATTCCCATGGACGTCATCCTCTCATGATGATACACTCAAGGTGGGAGGACCAATAAATGTTATCATATCTGACTGTCTTCCAGGTCACAAGTCTTTCAATCTCATTATTCTCATAAACTGTGGTCATTTTGCTGCTCCCTAGTAGATTATCAACCACAAAGAGGACAAAAAGTTAACTTCAGGAGAGAAAATTTAGCAACCCATCACTAATACAAGCGCAACAATATGATGGTAGATAAATTTGTCGTAGTCTTTCTAACTTGCAGTTTATTTCCCTATGATGAAGGTGAGATCATATCATATTTAAAGAGGTGGTATTGTGTTGTTTTTCATATTTTCAAATAAAAAATGTTAAGTTTAAATGTCGGCCCTCTATTTCTGCCAATAATATTGATTGTTGATCAGTCACACACCTTCACAAATCTCTTTGATTGCCATTCCATGACACGCAAACATAGCTTTATCTTGGCGTTTTTCTCATCTTCCTCTTTCTTCCTCTTCTTTTCTCTTCTCTTGAAGGATATGTCCTTTTCTGCGACATTGTTTTGCCCTACAACTACCTGCTCTTTGGATGCTAAGTGCACATTTCACAGCAGGAGGCACATAACGGTCATGGAGCTTTCACATATGGTCATTAAGACTCATAGCCCTACATCAGCTGCAGCACTAAATGTTTTTACTTTATTTTATTTTTACAATAATATATATTTGATCATACAGAAAGCATCACTCATACATGCAAAGACTAAAAAATATATTTTTTAAATTTCTTTTGGTTGCTCTTGGGGGCCCCCTATTGGCCCAGGGGCCCTAGGCAGGCGTTTAGCTCGCTTATGCGTTTGGGCGGCTCTGGATATTACTCCCACAAGTGAACTTTCCAAGTTTCAGACAGATGACCACAAATTTGTCAGACTTGAAAATGATATTTGAACGTTCCCACCCTGAGTGTGGCATCATGATGTCCACTGTAGACATGCAGTCCAGTTTTAAAGGAATAATCACATTTCATTTTTAGTCACAGAGATTATAAGAGATGTTTTCATGTTTCAGCTCAAACACTAAGGACAAAGAGAAACTGCCAGAAACGACACCTGCTTGGTTACTTATTTATCTTTACAACAAAGCTGGTTTCAACATTTGCATTATCTTGACATAAAACAAAGATCGTTTCCTTATTTGAATGGAAGTGTGATACCAGCATGCAAAGACAGATTTATTATTATTGTTACTCAGAGCTTTCTCCACAGAATCTAGTTATCAGCGCGAATTTCCCAACGGACATCCACAGACCCAGCAGCTCGGAGGGGGTTTCCTCAGGTGTGTTGATGCAACTCTACTGGATGTTGAAAGCACCTTGAATGTTACTTAAAAAAGTGACATTGTAAGTCAACCAACTACTCTAAGCCTGTCTGATTCAGACTCACTGATCTCCTGATACAGACATAGGAAGTATTTGGTCAAGTTTGAGCAAAGACATCGTGGTGTGGGTACAAATAATGACTCAACGTTTACTTTAGGTTTCACCTGGAACCTGAAAGTCCAGTCTTCTCGGTGAAAGTCCTTCTTTGTTTGACGATCCACCACCCTGACCACCTCCTTGAGTGGACTTTTATTGTCTTTTAACTACATCTTTCAGGGCAGTTGTCTCAGTATGAGGTAGTTTAGCAGATG